AAAGTAGGAAAGCCGTGTATTTACCTTGAGCGTTTTGTCGTGGGGTCTCTCATCACCATACATTCTCTTATTTCTCCGAATTTACTAAAATAGTCTCTAAGGCTGTCTGTGGATAGAGAAAATATGTCGGGTCATTTGACAGAAACATATGGGCACATGCTGTTGTCAGTGTATTTCAAAAACACCCCGCGATGCGCATAGGGGTCGAATAGAGGACTTCAGATGGACGGAGATCAAAAATAACATCGTGCGCACACACTAGTGAGATATCCCATACAGTACACTACTGCACAGTGCACATTCGCACATACACCGTCAGCAGCAGCTCCACCGAGCACTCAGTCACAGCGACAAAACAACAAGAAATACTGGATACGCTGTAAAAGAGAATAACAGTCTCACCTGGTGAGGTTTGCCAGCTGAGGCCACCGATAAACATTTTACTGTAAGGGGAAAACACAACAGAAGTGAGTCCAGATGTCAGTTCGGCCATTTTGACGACTAACTACTTCTAAAAGCGACCTTAAAGGATAAAGGAAGACTATGAAAACACATTCGCGCTTGGTAATTACAGTCTATCTACATGAAAGGGGGAGGCCACTCTCGCTACAAAGCTCAGGTCTTTAAAACTGCATCTGGAAAGCGACCCGTGCACCGTTTAAGTGCGTACTGTGGGGACGAATCCAGCACGGCAGTCGAAGTCCTCTCCAAGATGTTGTAACATGAAAAAAAATCGTACCTAAGGATTAAATTTAGAAAGATTCTTACCCCGGGTCATGTTGTGAATCATTTAGGCTTCCGGATGTGGCTTGACTCCCGTCTCCTTCCATATCTATTTCAAACTATAGGCTGGGACTACAGTCACAGTGACAGACACACACAGATACGGCAGGAGATATGCAAAGCCCCGCTATGAGAATATTACTGAGCCGGGAATGAAAGCGTCACACGTGGGATCAGCTCAGCCCCCTGCTCCCTCCTCCCTCTCTCGGCATGCTCTACCTTGGCCCACAGGGGGCGGAGCCTGCCTCTGTCACCTAACCAATCCAATTGACGTCAATTCAGGCAATCTGCAAACCAATCCTCCGATTTGTCATTTAATTAAGCAATAAGCCACTAGAGGTGAAAGTGGGTTATTGCTCATCTAAGTCAGTGGACACAGACAAATAAAAAAATGTCTTAAAAGTGTTGCACTCGAAAGTATTGTTTCATTCTTATCATTCAAACAAAAAGTAAATCTCCACAACACAGCAATGCAATACTTTTCACTGATTACAATGATTTGTTTTTCCTTCCGCCCTGTAATATAGTCCCTTAGTGAGAAGCAAAAAGTAGGGCAATCTCTATTTGCAGGGTAATATCAAAACTATCCTTCTTGATACTGCACAGAAGTGTCTTTTGTGGACATAAGTATAGTTATATTTAGATTAAAGTTGCATAGGTGTATAGAAAAATGTTAGGGAGTTACTGCGGAACAAAATGTCTACAAATCTGACTAAAGACTAATTTATTTTTCAAACATATGGCATAGATGATATGATCACAGTCACCCTGTGAAGGTGTAAACATGATGACATGTACGACTGGTTGCAAGTGTGGCAATACTTTGCTCTGTTTCTATTTTTCTTGTGGTTTAACTGCTATGTGCTGTGTTGGATGCATGTTAATCATGACTATATTCAACTGTAGTTTTTGTTGTTTTGATGCTAAATTTAAAGCACAATGAACTTACCAGTGATGAAATGCACCTTGTAAATAAAATCGCAAATACTTTTGTTTCATAACTGAATGAAATTAAAGCTGACACATTTTTTTATATAATTGTCATAACAACTTAATTTGAAGGTAAATTCAATGTTTGAAGAAGTCAAACAATATTTAGTAGTGATATTTTAAGCCTAAATGTAAAGCACAATGAACTTACATGCGATGAAATGTGCCTTGTGAATAAAATTGCTATCGCCATCTAAGTCACAAATACTTTAGTTTCATTATCACTAATTTTTTTAATTGTCAAAACAACTGAATTTGAACACTTATTCAATGTTTGAAGAAGTTAAACAGTATTTAGTAGTCGGCTAAATGTTATCTTATAAGAGGTGACCTGTTGTTAACGCATTTCTATGGGTTCACATTTAATAGGCATTTAAATATCAACAGTACAGTTAATCCAGCGAAGCAAGATTTCATCTCTCAATGATGTAAGGTAACACAGCACAGCTCAGACTGTAATGAACACATGGATGATTCATATAAAAAGTGGAGATTTTCATGCAGTGATATGGGCTGATTATTAGAGAAATTCTCTTGAGCTATTAAATCTGTGTTCATGCTGGTTCAAATCCGGCGTAAAAAGATCCCAGAGCAACATACTGAGAATCTGTAGCTGACCCTAATGTCTGACCTTTAGCTGCGATATTCATTATGAAAGCCAACAAAGAGTTTTCCTGTGGGGATCAATAAAGTATACGATGCATACATATGGAGAAGTAATTATAGATCTTTTCATGTAGATGACCTGTAATGAGCTTCCAGGCCTGCCCTCTGCACACTGTGAGAGGATATAAGCTGCCTCTGCCCCTTCATGACCCCGCAGAAGAAGGAGAAGAAGCAGGATAATGAATGAATGAATAAAAGAACGTGCATGACATTTGCCGTGGGAAAAGATACTTTTGATGTACATTATCTGCACAGCATGTTTTGAGTCGAACATAGGGAAGAATCTCTTGTACAAATTATGTTAAAGTGACAAATTATATACATCTGTTTGTATCCAGACAATCAATTCTTTATGAACGCAGTTTTCATTTAACTCAGCATGAGAATACTCGCACAAAATACTCTGCAGGAAACGTGACTAGTGATCTTATTTCATTATCCACATTCAGATGAGTTTTTTTTGAATAGGCCTGTGTGCTCGCTGTTAAGGGTATACCAGAGGGAATGTCTTATCTGGCCAGGCAGCATGTTTTTGAAACAATGACTTAGATAAAACCCAAATAACAACACTTTTGGCAGTTTAACAGCTACAACTCTGTCATTAGAGAGGGGAGAAAACTACATTTACAGCCGTCTGTATCTCTAAAGCAAAAGTAAAGAAACATTCGGTTGCAATTCTTTTAAGCACAGGAGTGTCAGAGAAGATTGAAATGCGACACCTTGTGCGAAACTATTACTTAGTGCGTTTCTCTTCCTTCGATTTGGCAAGACATCAAAGATTATTTTATATTTTCTGTAATGTTTGGAGTTGTCCTGCAGCTTGTGTATGAAAATCACATCCACTCATGTAACTGCAGAGAAAGAGAGAAGGAAAGAAAAGGAAGGATATAAATTGATACTGAATCCAAGCTCCGAGGAACAACAGGCTCTAAAGCCCATCACAAGGTGTGCAAAAATCACTGTGGATTTAACACATGAAGAGCTGCTTCTGTTTTATGCTCAAATAACAACATCATGCCCCAGGTTTTCACAGTGTGCTTGTGAATTATTCCTTGTTTTAAACATAGTTATCATAGCCTCTATATTTGCTGTGATACTGTGGAGAGAGCAAAGTCAAACGCGACATAGACGGAGCATGAGGTGTGACGTTTTACAATATCTGATCAAGGGTTGTGAACAAGATTTGAACCCAGAACAAGCTGATGCCACAGTCGACATGCCGCGTTATGTTCAAGATCTAAACCTGGCATTACTACTATCAAATCCAATATCAAATTTCAGCAAATATCTTTCATTTTTTATGGGGGAAACTATTTCAAGGTTCGGGACTCTAGATCCTTTGCTACAATGATTGAAGAAGAAACATGTATAGATTTTCGAATTAGCTTTTAATCTGGGCACCCACAACTGCCTGATAAAAGTGCCTTAAATGATTTCTCTTCTATAAGTAACTTTAGGTGCCCTGACAGGCCTGCTGTTGGAGCAGTTAGGAGTTTATCGAAGAGGAAAAAGAAGGTTTATATTTACTACAAAGTATGTGCAGACACATTTTTCAGAAGTGTTGCTGACTGCAAAGTGATATAAGCATTTTTAACTGTGACAGCTTTTTGAGCCGTGTTGATAAAAGACTGGATGAAGTATCTCAAGAAATGGACACATTTTTATATTCTGACTGGTTTCGACTTGTCTGTTTTTGAATCAAAATAATTCAGTATTTACTCTCTATGAAGGAAATGCAGAAAATTCTCCAAAATCCTCAAGCTGTATTATTGAAACTGTAGCTTGCATTCAGTGCTGAAAGATGAACCTCCCCTCAATAGGGAGGAAACTCAGCATGCAAAAATGCTCGTAACTAACCGAGCCTTTGCATGAAAACTGGAGGATTTGGGGATTGAGAGTGAAGTAAAATTGATAGTGTGTGAAAGAGCTGAAGGGAAAGAGAAAGCAAGAGAGGCAACAGACTTGGTGGCAGTGTTATGAGACGCTTTTTTGAGAGGAGGCATCCTGTTTCCTGTTGCAGAAATCATTTCGCATTCTGAATCTTTGCTTGACCTTGGACAAATTCATGCAATCTTATATGGAAGCTATGCATGCAAAATGACATTGGGTCTTTCAGTGCCTTTAGACACAGATTCGACATTAACCACATATGATTTCTAACAGTACTCCATGTTAACTCGAGTCTGTGGGGATTTTTATATCTTAACATGTTTAATGCTTAACTGGCATATGAAAAAGAAACCACATGTATTGATTCAACTATAAAAGAGAGATCATATGCATGAATTTGTCTAGGGTATTATTCAAACACTCTAGAGACATTAATTTCATCCTTTGTATTTTATGAATGATTCCATATTGATCACTGTGGATTGAGAAAACTGTGCTTTGCCCAGGAGGGCTTATTACACAGAAATCCAGAATCCAGAGGGGAAGCAGTGCAGAAAAGCTGCAGATGTGAACAAATTGTCTCCCTCTAGTGTCCTCTTCTCCTTTTTGCTTCTGCTTCTTCTTCTTCTTCTTTTTCTGCAAAGCTAAAGCACCTCTCATTTTTAGGGCAAAAGGAAACATGCATAATTGACAGGCCTATTTCAGGAATTAGCCACCCATCTGACCACACATCTACCTGCTCTGCTCTTTCATCCTCTGTGGGATTATTCAGCGTCTCAGAAAAGTCTGTCTCACCTGTAAAGGATCATTTCATGGTAAACAGATTTAATGAACATGCTTGTTGTCATTGTTTATTTGTATGTTTTCCAAACGGTGGCCGTGTTTTCACCTTGCTGACTAATCATGACATGTTAGGATTGCTGGGAATGTGCAAATGCTGGGTACAATTGTCATCACACATAGGAACTGTTTGAAGTCAGATCAGCAGGCAGGATGTTCTGGTGATGAGTGATTTTTCTCCCCCTTATTATGCCCTCTGTTACCACGCAGATGAGTTAATTAAGCTGAGCCAGAGGCTATGCACTCGCATTCCAGGTAGATGTGCCGCTGCGATATTCAGACGTTATTAAAAAATTAAACTGTAATATTGAGTTTTGAATATCCTAAATGCATAAGGCTCTTGAATGGTTGCAAATTATCATTGGAAATTTTTAAAACGTGGTACTTCCTGGAGACCATTACACCAAAACACCTCAAGGTAGCATTGAAATAGCTTAGAGTTGCCCAAAGGACCACAGATTCTTCAGTGACCATAGCAGATCCCACTCTTGTCTCATTTCTATTGCAACATATATTTTTCCTCTGACAATACTAAGCATTTCATGTGCATTTTTGACCTCAGCACTAAAAGCCTATTTGCATGTGGGGCTATTCAGACCAATCAGACTCCAGCACAAGTGGGAGATGACGACATCATTTACCTGCTCCACTGGGCTGGGAGATAAGCTCGTGCCCCTGCTGCTCCCCGTGATGTTCTGTCTGCTGTTTGGACGACTCAGGAAAGAGAGCTGTGTGTTACAGATGATGACGAGTGGCATTAAAGCAGCGCGAGGAGCCATCCCATCACCTGTACAGTCAGCAGAGGGGAGAGAGATGTGCGTGTTGGCCTTTAGAGGAGCTTTGGTAAGGCAAAGTTGGTGGTATTGCTACCTCGTTTCCCCACCCAAGATGAATGTAAAACTATCCCAATCATGTAAATACAAATGATTTTAATGTAAAGCGAAGATGATTTTTATGACACTATGATGAAGATACTTTATGCGTTGAGCACATAGATTGTATATACAAGTACACCCTGGTGAGTATCCAGTATAGGTCTTAAATCCCGCCTTCCCCATTCGTCCTTATAGGGTTGTGGACACACTTCAGAAATTTATTACACAAAATATAACATTTTTTATTTTTTACTTGAGTAAATAGTTGCTCATATGTCAGTATCTGAATCAAACAATTCCTACAAAGTGTTTTCTAAAGCACCCTTTAACAGTTTTTATATGTAATTTGTTCTATAAAAAAAGGTTTATCCTAATCTATCCCACACTCTGGGAATGTGCTTTTAATTTTGCCCCCTGTGATGGCCTAAACTGCCACTACCTCGTGTTAGTATTTCTTTTTCTTTGGGTTTTAACACCAGCTTTGTTTGTAGTTCAAAAAGAGCACATTACACACCTTTCTGTTGAAATAAAATCACTTTAATTACATGTATGGCAGTTGTTTTCTAATTTTGGTGCACACAATTTAGTTAAAGAACTGTCACATGGTTGATTTTCCACATCATGCTTTAATCTCAAGTTATACTTACTCCTGTTTTCTTTTGTTTGAGTTTCCTGGCAAAGGGCTGTCTGCTGATCAAAGATGGCCTTTTAAGCCCTGCCCACAGGAAGTGGGAGAGACCATGGAGGGGGAACACAGGGGCAGCATGGACTTTTATTTAATCTCCAATCTTCTGTTTGTGTTCTTTTCAGTTTGTAAAGGCAATTTAGTTTATTCTGTAAATAGTTTGTTTTGATGATTTGATGCTATTTTTCTGAGTTTGTTAAATGTTTAGTTTGGAGTCACATTTAGTTTCCCCCTTGTGTATCTGTTGGACTAGTCCTTTGTCTATTTAAACCCCCAGCATGTCTCACTTTAATTACGTCTGTTTGATTATGTTAGGTGGTAGCGTTAGTTGATTTTGCTGAGTTGACCTCTTTTAGAATGGGCCCAGGTTTTGTTTCTTTTTTTTGTTCTACCAAATTAAGTTGAACATTTGTTATGATTTGATCTATTTTTCCAAGTAAATAAAGGAACAAGATCTTTTTCCACACCTTTGTCCTTTGCCTGATTGCTTGGTCCCTTACACCCCCCTATACCATGACATTAAAGGTTCAGTTTGTAGAAAAAAAGAGTATTAATCAGTATTCAGTATTTAGTTGTCATATAAACTGAAATGTTGCCTTGCATCTCTCCTATCAGTGAAGCAATGTTGGTCTTCAAGAACGAGAATCTCCTGAAATGCATCTTGGGTAAGATACTCAGACCATGAAGATTTTAGCATCGGAACGCCAATCAGTAAAAATTCTTTGTACATTGAAACTGCTTTGAAAAAATACAAGAATGTTTGTGTCACTAGTTTTTGTGTTACAGCACATGGTGTTACATGATGACAGCCACCATGGACGGGGACCTGCTGCTGGTTTTAAAATGCTTATTCTAAGTTAAGAAAAACAAAGTTATTTCTATACAGGGGTGATAGCACACTGCCTTGAACATGCTTACAGATGTTGTATTCCATGTCTACCAAGCCTGATGTCAAATGCTTCTGACACACACTGCACCTGTGTGTTTGGTAACTGGAAGAGTTAAGTCTTACAGTTAGCAACCAACCATTAATGCTGTAGAGGCTGGTCATTATCCCCCCCAGCATTCTTTTTTTCACAGGGAAAAAGGTTAAATACAGGAACAAATGGCACTCTGGTAGCAATACCCTGAGAACTATTACCCTTTTTGTTTTTAATACGTAAATCTAGCATCCAAACTTAAAATTTTCTCTTTACTACGTGTGAAAAAGTGCTTATTAATGCTTGGTGTATTTATTGTTGATGAATAATAAATTATTGGCCACCCAAATAAAAGTTTTCCTATTCTTTTCTTTTCCGTTTCTTTGTATGAATGCATATACCCTTATTTTTAGATCTTCCAGAGGCTGAGATAAACAGCCTTCTCTGTACTCCAGCTACATGGTGCTCTCTGTCGTCTGGGTCATCCTCTGTTTTTTTTCTCCACTAGCCAATTCACTCTCTCTCCCTTTTTGCTTTATTTCTCCCCTAAATGGCTGCCACCATACATTCGCTCAGTTGCCAACCACTTCTTATTCTGCAACCACTGACCTTAACAGTGACCTTGCCTTGTCTGTGCCATTGAGACGAGAGCCAGAGATGCCATATCCTCAACCTCCCCCCGCTATGCTGCAGGCTAGAATTTTTGCCTGTCTCATCAGTCTTCTGGCTGCTGGAGCACGCTTTGTTATTTATTTTTTTTCCCCATTTACACGTTTTGTTTTTCAGCTGATCACTGCCCCTGACTGGCAAACATTGCTCTAGAGCACAAAGGAATGGTGAGCCTTGGCATACAGACCCAAGCTGTCAATACAGATTAGGTTTATCAGATAAACTTTATCTGCAACATTGGAGCGTCCTTTGGTTGGGTAGCAGCCTAATTCTGGGGCACAATTGATACTGTGACGCAGGCTCCAAGGAGGGTGAAATTGGCAGCTATTGTTTTACTCATAAGCAGGCTGCAGTGGCCTTTTCAGAGCATGCTGCACTCTGTCAGATTGTTTGTACACCCTTGTCTATTAGAAATTTAATAAGGTATACATTACAGCTTTAGGTTGCCTTTTATCTAAAATACTTTGCATGATTTTCCCATCTGGGTTTGCAAATACTTCCCAATGATTGCCATAGGGATGCAATCCTTCTTCCCTTTCTCTCAGTTTGTTTGTTACTATGATGATTAGATCTGTATCTGTATCTGTATCTAGGGGTGGCATTAGCTCAGGAGGCAGAGCAGTCGTCCTATAATCGGAAGGTTGGCGGTTTGATTCCCCCCTATCATGAGTCTGTCCATTGTGTCCTTGGGTAAGACACTTAACCCACCTTGCTCCCAGTGTGTGTCCTCCACTGGTGTATGATTATGAGTGATGTGTGGTGGTCGTTGGAGAGGCTGTAGGCGCAAACTGGCAGCCATGTTTCTGTCAGTCTGCCCCAGGGCAGCTGTGACTACTAAGGTAGTTTACCACCACCAAAGTGTGACTGTGTGAGTGAATGAATGATGTATCCAATGTAAAGTGCTTTGAGGGTCTCTGATAAAGCGCTATTTAAAATCTGATGCATTATCATTTGTTATTATCTGTTTTTACAGCTGTTTTAACTGCTGTAATGTTTTCTTTTAATGTTGAATTCCCACAGAAGGCTGACGATATTATGGCAACATCCACACTTGTATTTTAAAATTCAAACAGTCCCTCTGTTTCTCTATAAATACAAATCTGTTTTATAGTAAAGTAAAAGCTGCGCTGTAGTTTTCTCTTTAATTATCTACTTTGTTGTCAAGATGAATGATTTTTTTTCCCTTGTTAAACCTAACACCCTTCAAGGTTGATTAAAGATGGCTTTTGTGAAGCAAGATCCAAACTGGCACCCCACAAAAAGACAGAAAAACAGCAGCGTTCATGGAAGCCCTTTAACCCTTTAATGCCTTTTGTATCATATTTGATACTTACTTTTATATACATCTATCAAATCAATATGATCAACAAATTACAAAAAAAACACCTGAAAACAGTCGGATAAATGATAAAAAATGTCTTCTTGTAGTTTATCAGTTTCCAAAAATATCTAATCTATCAAACGAGATAAATAAAAATATTTGTTAAATTTTAAGGGACATTTAGATTTTTTTGGTTTTCAGTAGTAAGTGAAATAAACATTTCAGCTCCAAATAAATTCGATTTTTTTCTGGCCATAATTTGTGGTGTCAGGCATTAAAGGGATAATGTATCTGGAAACGATTAACAACAACCTTCTGCTTTTGATGTTTGTCAATTTAAAGAGTTGCATGTTTGATTTATCACTATTCATTTCCTGTGAATGCTGTGTTTCAAATATTTTGTTGTGATTTAAGGTTAGAGGGGGAAGGAGGGGTGCATTATTGACAAAAGAAGTTTTTTTTCACCCCCTAAAAGTTCTCATGAGTAACTTGGGTTAGGGTCATGTTGTACCGTGTCAAAGACCAGCATTCGACATATTTTGGGACAAGCATTCATTTCTGTCTCACCACCACAAGAGGGCACTTTGAGCACATGTAATCAAAAGAGGAACTGATGTCATTTGTGTTTATTTGTCTCTGTCCCCGTGTGCGTGTGTGTTCATGGAGGAGTCACAAAGTGGCGAGCCTCTTTGTGTTTTCTTTTAGGGAGCGGTGAGTCTAAAATCACACTCAGGTCCACCACCAACAGCACTCTCTGGCTGCTCTTACTGAAGGGGAATGATTACTGAAGGGTAACGACTGAAATGCTGTTTTCTGAACTCTCTGTTATTTCTGTAGACAGTTTTAGAAAAAAAAAATACCACAGCCTGTGAGCTTGGTGGTGAGCCAGGATTGTGCTCCTATCTCAGCTTAAGTGTCGATACAAATCTAGATATTCAAGTTTAAAAAGAAAAATAACCCGCCTAAGGTTGCACAACACTATGTGATCTATATCCTCTCTATGTGTCACTATAAAACTGATGGAGAATTAAAGGTACAACAGCACAACAGGGTTAGGAGGTCACCAGTAACAATAGAAGTTCAGTGAGTGTGAGTCTTATTGAGTGTGGCTGAGGCTGAGGGAGTGAAAGAGAGCAGCTCACTCAGAACAAGCTGGGCTGGAGAGATGAAGAGGGGAGGGCTGGCAGCAGTAAATGATGCTAGCACTCTACACCTTGTCAGTTATTAGGAGACGCCAGAAGAGAAACTGACAAAGCTTTGTGTTGTCTACAGAGAAAATAATTGGCAAGCAGGCCAGCTCGCTGCAACACCTAAAGAACTCAGAAAAGATGTTTTAAAGTTCTGAAGCGAAAGGGAAGAGAAAGATATGTATTTATGTCCTGCATCTCTTATAAAGATGAATGTTTTTATAAATTGGAAAATATGAAAGCTGCGACCAAGGCAACCAAACCGCTGAGAGTGGTGATGTTTGTGACTATAAGAAGACTTCAAATACACACAAATGACACAGCTCAAAATAAAAACCAGAAACTGTCTTTTGATTCAACATTAAGTCAAAAGTGGAAGATAAATTAGCTCTCTATATTTGCTGAAATATATCGTAATTTAGAGAAACCTGATATGATCAAAAAAAATAAAAATAATGAGATTGAATTTAGAGAGACTGAGGGAGGAAATGAAACCTGAATGCACTTTCTCTCAACCTTAATCATGCAGCATACAAACCACAAGTTTTGTTTCTCTTTTTGCTGCGCTTACAAAGCTGAAAATACTCCAAATTAATTTAGCAGGTGCTTAAGTTTCCTCTGCGAAGCACAGTGTTTACTCTTCTCTTTCTTATCACCTTTTTTTTCGTCTTTACCCAAAGGTACGCTGTGTAGAAATGAAAATATTCAACAGCATCTGGCTGTCAGATCGTGGATCGATGCTCCCTTGCTTACCCCTCTTGTTGGTGAAGCCTCGGTGGCCTTTGAGAAGAAGAAGCTCCTGCGGTGCATGATAAGTATTATTTGTCAAGTTTTTACCATCAAAAACAGCAAAAAGCCTGTCTATCGTAGAATCGAATTGGACTCAGTTTTATGTTGATCTAAAAGGCTCAATTTATATATTCAGCTGTATCTTTTGAGTATTAGATTCCATTTCTAAGACTTTTCTGCTAAATGCTACTAAATACCAAACACTGTACCTTTAATTATGTTTTGATTCAACATGATACCAAAGTATTTCTAAAATCTTTGTGCTGCTGAAATGAACCTTTATATGACTTGGTAATCCAATGATCCCCTGTTCTAGCCACCCACACAGGTCTGATGCCCTGTTTCCTCCTACGTACACTCAGTCCATTCATTCCTTTGGAAATCTCTGTGATATCTGATTTGCCTGTGAAACACCACCCCTCCATCATATTTCAGTTCAGAAATGGCCTCGAAAAGTTTAGTGTGGACATAAAGTAAGTGTTGGACATCATCTGTGTATTTACAGATTTGAGAAGAACAGCCACATATGTTGACATGATGTGTGATGCCTGGCCCACAGTGACTCCAAATTGCCTTTCCAGGGACTGTCTGACTGAAGCACAGGGTCACCTGTTCAACAGGCTCACACCTCTCTGTGCCTCACAGGCCCTGGAGGCAGTCCGGGGTTTTTTGCAACAGATGTTTCTGCATGTCACTTGCTTTCACTTCCCCTCAGACTTCAATAAAGTCATACAAAAAGCACACACTATACAGGCCTAATATCTCACCAGCTATATTTCCATTCAGCAGGGATGTAAACATAGTTTTTCACTGGGTTTAATAATTTCAGTTGTCTAGAAAGGCAGGTAGGTGCAGGAGTGACTGGACTTTGTGTTTTTGTGCTCAGTGCAATTTGTCTCACACTCTTTTTAAAGAGTTAAATATAAACTTTTTTAGGAGACTTCAGCTCTGGTTTGGTCAAGGACTAAAAGAAGACGTTAAAGACAAAAGAAAGCAGTCATGCAGTTAAGAGTAAAGAAAATGTGCCAAAAGAAAAAGAGCAGTTGAGAAAAAGAAATACACAATCATCATCGAGAGACAAAAATTTAGCACATTTTATTCAATTTGAGAACTTAGCTCTTCTTATTTTATCAAAAAAGTCTGTTGATGTGCAATTCCTACTTATTTAAGCATGTTTGTTTTTGTTTTTTTTCAAAAATCTAAAAACCTGCAAGCTGGAAGATTACTATTATTTCTGTTTAATGCAGTGTGGAGTATCTTTACATTTCATCTAAAGGAGCTGAGAATGTCGGCGCTTTAATTTTCTGCAGTAATATAGCGTTAGGTTAGCATTCCTGGAACGTTCATTCACCATGCAGATCATTTTCACCAGCGTCACTGAACCATGAAGGACACTTAAATCAGAGATGTGATCAAAATACAGAAGTATGCAGAGTTTAACAAAGAGAGTGATGCAACACTCTCCGTTTGTTTTTTTACCTGTGCTCTGAATCAGTTCTCATACACTGTATGTGTCATTACAGGATTCTTCTGCACACCCTGTTCCCAGAGAAGACTGCTCCTCTGGTGAGAAATGTAGAAACAGGAAGGCTTAGAGTAAATCTTTACAAACAGGGTAAACGCTCAGGATTTGTAGATAGAAGCTTGAAATGTCATACTTTTTTTTTTTTTTCAAAGCCTATGCATTTGCAATAAATTTAAAAGATATACTATCAAGGCCACAGTCAAGGCCATAGTAGTGGGGAAAAAATGATAAATGAAAATAAAGAAGTGGTTGGTTGAAAGCTGTTGAGTTTATCTGCACAAGGCTAAATTCAGCTCCATGATATCTGAATGTATAGTGCCACCATGTGCTAATCTAAATTCATTACATCTTTCTTTTGCAGGCAGTAAACAGGACCTTTGTGTTGAGGCTTGGAAAAAAAGCTTATTAAAACAGATAATGCTTCTTGTTTCTTCTTTTTTTTTTTTAACCAAGTATCATGAAAGTCGCATCTTATCATACTCAGTCTAGCAAGGTTATGAAACTTTTCACAAAGCCTTGTATTGTAAAGGGCCTTCTGCTTTGACATCTTACATTTTATACAAACAACAGTCAAAAGTCTTGTGCTGATTTTGTTTGTGCTATGGATTCAGACTGAAAACCAGGCTGTCAAATGTTTTTTCTGTTTTTTATCATAGGCATGGGTGCAGAATGAGAAGCAGCAGCAGCAGCAGGTTGTGCAGGAGAGTAGGCAAAGAGTAGGTTGGGTGAGCCGGGCTGCTGTTGCCAATTCCACGAGGACTGGACTGATTATGCCGTCTCACACTCCTCGTGCGAAGCGTGGTTGTTCTCTTTGTCTGTGTGGTGGGGCTCTCTGTTGTGAAGAAGCGGTCTGTTGCAGGAGTCATGTCAGCTCTGCTTGAAGTAATGAAGCTGGTGTCAGAAACTAAGGGCAAGTCGGAAGTGTGGAGGGAATCTGCAGTTGTTGGAGAAACGAGATAGTAATCTGTATGTAGCATGTGCTCTGCAATAGAAAGATGATTGATAGTTCGGTGTTTGCCGGTGCTTCTTGGTGCTAAAGTGGAGGAGCTAGCGGATGTGGTTCTGAAGTTGTTGAGTAGTGTGTTCGGGATCTCTTGAGGGGCGTTTGGAGTGCTTTGGAGAGACGAAGATGACACATACCACCACCCGGTGACGCTAGCTTCTGGAGCCACGGAGCCCTGGTCCTGAGCGCTCGCTGCCAAAGGGGGCAGGTTATAGGGGGCAAAGTGCCATCCTCCAGTCCTGCTGGGGCGCATCCCTCCACAGGTAGGCTGGGTGTGGCAGGGGCAGCCCAGGACGCGTGTAGAGGTACGCTGCGACCAAGAGCGTAGGTAGGCGACATCCGCGTAAAGATGGCAGTCCCAAGGGTTATCGCCAAGGGTGACGACTTTTAGTGACACCAACTTGTCAAACACTCCATATGGCAGTGAGGGCAAGTTGTTAGCATGCAGATATAACTGAGCTAGCTTCAATAGGCGGTCCAGAGAGCCTGGCAGCACCTTGGCAAGTGAGTTGTGAGACAGGTCAATAGTTTCCAGTTGTGCAGGAAGGTTGGTGGGTAAAGTTCGGAGGTGATTGTGGCTCAGGTTGAGGGTGCACAGATTAATCAGTGTGTTGTTAATGAAGATGGCTCGCTCCAGCCTGTTGTTAGAGAGGTCGAGCATTCGCAGATTCCACTGGTAGACCGTGTCATTCTTCTCCAGCAGCTGGAGCCGGTTGGAGGAGGCGTAGAGGTTCCACAAAGATCGAGGCAAGCCAGTCGGTAGATGGCTCAGCCGGTTGTGAGACAAATCAAGGAAACGTAGATGGGTGTGCGTGGTGAGCTGGCCGTCCAGATTGTGGAACCGGTTGTGGGACAGGTTGAGGGAACGTATGTTGTGCTGAAGGTTGTCAGGCAATTGTCTCAGACCCCTCCAGGAGCAGTCTACCTCCCGGTGGCTGTGGCTACAGGTGCACAAGGAAGGACATACCGCCAGGACTTGCAGCCCCAGAGAGAGCAGAAGAAGGAATTCCAGGAGGGTCTCATGAGGGGAAAGTTTCAGCAGCACATGCCTGCTAGAAGAAAGACAAGGAGACAGGGATGTTAGTGTTGTCTTACAATACTCCAGTGATGAACCTGTCTAGCCTCAGATAAAGTCTTAAATCACAAGAATGACAAGACCACAAGTTCAGGGACATCACTTCTCCTTGGTGTTTTCCTTGGGTATTTCTTGTAGGATTGTTGGTATTCCATATGGATTACATTTGATTTGTATGTTCCATATATTTCCATCAAATGTCAGACCTTTCTGGTCTTGTTTTCTTGGTCTCGACTCAGTTTTAATTCTTAAATTGATTTCATCTCGTTCCCAATCTTAAATATTCATCTCTTGAACATGATTCAACCAATTCTAGGTAGTCTTTTCCTATAAAATTTGAAGGTGCACTTTTACAGATGTGGTGCTAGCAGTGTCTTAATAGTGAGCACAGGAACATATACAGTATTTTCTGTCTTACAGAGATGCACAGGAACTGCATAGCTAAATAAAACATTTCATCTTTTCTACAAAGCTCCACCCTCTGCTTGGATCTCTCTCTTTCCTTCCTGAATTGTGCATTCATAGAAGGCTGCTCAGTGTTTGCTGCACATCACTGCATTGCTTGCAGATACAGACATTCAGATTAAACGTACTCCTCTGACCCTGCAGGATGCCTGCAGGAATGTTTGGAGGGATCCTGGAGCAGATCTTTTTAAAGAAATACACAAACTGTGCAATTATACTATCAGTGAAGAGGCAAAATGTGTCCTTTTCTGTAACTGATAAACATTTGACCTGGTCTGTAGGATGATATTTCAAGTCTATTCAAGAATATCATTCATCACAGCGCCTGACAAATCCCTGTAGTCATTTCCCCTGGCATCAGTTTGTGTCTTCAGTCATCAGAGCAGTCAGTCCCAGGCTCCCAGAGGAGGAGAAGTAGCTCAATAGATGGGTTTTATTAATGACTCCACAGAGAACTCATGCATCAGCTGCTGCAAAGGCAAGCAAAGACACGGCCAGGAGCTCGACACTGCGGTACATGTGAGTTGAGCTGGGGTGTGGCAGAATGTGTGTGTAAAAATAGTGTTTGAATTTGTCTATAACTCACCTTCTCATCTTATCATTCCAGTCACTTTTCTCTCCTCCTCTTCTCTGTCCAGCCCTCTTCTTTCTCCTCTTCTGCTGCTTTCAAGTTTGGGACCAGCTGCTGCTCTGCTGAAGGTGATTTTTTTTCCCAATGCCTCTTAGAATTTGACCCCTGCTCTCTTGTCCAGCGCCGGTTTTTCTGAAGTTGTTCTCTCAGCCTGGCAGTTTGGTCTCTTTGTCCTCTCCGCCTGTTATATGGATCTTTTAGGTTAGAGCGATCATGCACTACTGCAGGCTCTGGGTTTACTCTGTGCAGTGAGAGCGAGGGAGTGCAGGGGTGTTGGAAGGAGGGGGGTGGTATTAGAAGGGGGGTAAGGAGAAGTGGAGCGCATACTGGAAGGGTCTCCTGCTGCTGCTGCTGCTGCTGCAAAGGACACTCCTCTTCCAATGATGTGGACTTAAACATTAGCTGTACTATACAAATGACAACTATTATTTTGTTTAGTTGAAATGATTGATTTCCCAAATACATTCAAGTCTTTATCACCTTATCAGTTTTCCACCTCTCGAAAATATCCCTTACAAAGAAAAACTGTCTTTTAATTGGTTATTTTCTCTCTCTGAGTAAATTCAGCAGTGCCACAAAAGTGTTCAAAATTTATTGCAGAGGACTCCTGTCCGCTGCAGCTCCCCATCCACAATCTGCAAGACATGCAGCCCTCCCTTCTTTATCACTGCATTGCTGTACTTCACACAAGCATTATTACCTTGGATTTAATTGAGCAGTTTTATGAGGATTCAGTTGGATTTAAGAGCGTCAGCACATCACAATCTAAAGAAGTCAGCGCTGAAGTCAGAAATGACACATCCCACCCTTACAGGGATTTAACAGTTGTCTTCATGCACAAAATTCGCCCTTCTGCTTTTTACACATTTGCATTATGAATGTTTTCTCACCAATCACAATGTCACATAAATGTATGACCAGATACGCTAAAATCACTATCAAACAGATCTTATGTAATTTGCAAACAACTTCCTGTATCTGTGGTGAAATTTGGAATATTGTCAGCAAAATATACAGAACAAAAACTCTGTGTCTGGAATGAAACTGAAAAACAAAAAAAGCCACTATAGAGGAAGTAATTAAAGAGACAATGCAAGATAACATCCAAATTTTTTGATGTGTTGGCAGCTCATTGTTCGTGGGGATTAAACTGAGGGAAAGGTTGGACTCGTCATGATTTCCTAACTTTATACTAGAAGTTCTTTCATTTTGTAAAGATTCATTGTCAGTCTTACATCCACCTGGTAGTCTTTTATTTCATTTGTTAATAAAACTGGCTATGCTTGGCTAGCAGTGCAGATCTGTGCATTGTTTTGTATTCAGCCTTGACACATCCTACAAAAGGAACTTCTCTAAAGATGGACGCTCTTATTCCTCTTTGACTATTCAAGTCAGTTATCTCAAATCCCCTCATCTTAGTGTTCAGCTGTTTTTAATGAATACTACTCTTTTTGGTTTATTTGGATGTATTTTAATTGTATCGCAACATCATTGTGAATGAATGAAACCTCAATGATTTTCTAGGCTTGAATAAAGGTTGATGACGATGATACAGTAATACATTGTCCTGCACGAGAAATGTTTGATTGACAGAAAAGGTAAGCACACGTACCTTCTTAATGCCAAAAAAGGTTTAATGAATGGCCTCTATAACATAATTGTATATTTTTTAATGGGGCAACACCATAGACTGTATATAGAATGGACAGAGTCTGCCTCCTCGCTGGGTGAAGGCACTCTGAGAACAGCACCCTCTGGTGACGGGCTGCAGTATAGGTCATAAATCCTGCCTCCTCCAGCAATCCCTATGGAGCTGTGGACAAACTTTAGAAATTTATTACTCAGAATATACATTTTTTTTCCCTCCTGGTTGCGATGTTGACATGTAGTTACTGTAAGACTGGTTTGTGATCAAGTCCTCTTTTTTTCTGTGCAGCTCCATTTTTTTAAAGTTATTAGGGGGTTCATGTTTTCTATGATTAACACTTGATACAGCCTATGAGGGTACGAAGATTGCGTTGCTCACCTGGGGGATACAATGTTTGTGCCGAGCGTCATCACAGCGACTCTCCCGCCGAATGCGTTCAAATGCTACTGCACAAGTGGTGGTGTGCATTCAATGCGCAATGTTGGTTTCAGGAAATGGAGAAAAATCGAGGAATTACCGCTTGAAGCTTTTTGTCTTCAACTCTGTATACTGGCGGAAGGCACAACCAAGTTGTCCATAGTATATACAGTCTATGGGCCACACCAAGATATCTAGATTTGCACACTAGTGGGTTACTATGCAGTTGTGGTGCATGATTTTAGTATTGTTTTATTTTTTAGATTTTCTATGTGTCATATATTTTTATTTTTCTATTGTTTTAAGACTGAGGTGTGATAATGCTCAAAAGTTAGAATCAAAGGTTATGTCATGTCCAATCCAGCGATGATGATTTTTAAAACTTTTTAAAGTTTGAATAAAAGGTCTCACAGGGTTGAAGTGTAGAGTCTATAAAAACTATCTCTGGGGTAAGAGAGCCTTGAATCACCCTCACTTCTCTTGAGTCTAACATGCTTCAGGCCAACATATTCAAAATCTTCCCTGCATTGATGTGATGTGCATTCAACCACACTCCTTCAGCCTGACTTTACAGCCCATCTCTAACCCAGAGCAGCTGCAGCTTCAATTCTCTGCATCTACTTGCTATTAGAAGTCATGATAGAGTTAAAGCACAGGCTACACTGAGAGAACAACTCGTTCTGACTTTTAATGAAAGGTGTATAACCATCATGACGTCACAGGGAAGAAGGTGAACAAATATCTCAACAAGACAGCGGAAACAGCCATATTGGTTTTGTATAAAGGTTTATTGTGCAGCTTTGTCAGCTCAGGCTGAGGTGAAAGAGAGCGTTCTTTCTGAGTTGAGTGGCACTGCCCGGAGGAGGCACAGTCTCTGCCTGCTAATCAAGCAGGCTCCTCTGTCTCACTCTCTTTGACACACGCTCTAACATGCACGCACATAACCACTTCAAAGGAAGTAGTAACATAAATTAAAGCCGCACTTCACAATTTATGGTTTGACTCTAATAGATGTAGCATGCGCTGTGTCATAAATCTAAATTTGAAGTCAAGAGTGAAAGATGCATATCCATTTGTACAAAAATTCTGTCATCAAATTACGGTAATACACTTTTCAAAACACACAAGCTAAAAATAATACAGTATCAGTATCTTATCTCTAAGCAAAAGCTGCTGGAAAAAGTATTAACGTACAGTCAATGTGTCTAAAAGAGCTTTAAGGAAGTGAAGATAGCTGCTCAGGAAACCTTGGCTTTAAACACACACTCTACACCACATCCTTTGGTTCCTCTGCACCCTCGTCTGCAGATGGGAATTCACTTGTCTCCTCTTGCCCCTTTGAGGGAGTTGAACTCTCTGCAGCAGTTGCAGGTGAAGCTGCAGCTTCCTCATTCTTGTTTGCTTCTCCACCCTCCGTCTTACTCTCATCTCCTGTTTGCCCATCCTTGACTTCTTTCTCCCCTTCTTCTTTGGTGTTGCCATTACCCATCTCCTCCTTGGTGTGACTCAGGTCGGACATCAGCACGGCAGTCTCCTCGGGTTCGTTTTCTGGTTTGCTCTTGTTCTTCTTGTCTGTCCCCATACGGTATTCAACGGTGCTGACTAGGTCTTCATTGCTGCTCAGCTCCTTGACGCGTCTGCTCAAGCGGCACACTCTGCAAGCCAAGAGCAAAGTAGAGAGCAGCAGAATAAAGCAGACTAAGATCAGTCCGCCAGCCACCATGTACACTAGAAGACATTCTTCATTAAAGAAAAGGCCACTGGATGAGTTGGGGAGTGTTGAGCCATCAGAAGATGAAGTGCTGTGACTTTTGGAGACAGTTGTAGGTGACCGAGTGGACAACAAGCTGTTGACTGCAGTAGTGCTGCCCACACTAGATACGTAGCTAGGATCCCCTGTTGAAACATCGAGTAAATCCGTCACTACTTCATCACTACCAGAAGTGCCAGGGTCAGCAGTGCTTTGCGCTTTACATAACGGTGCACCCAGGATCATTACGCTGCACATCAGGAAGAGAAAGGTGTTCATGTCGAATCTGAGAAAATGGAGAGTGGTGGTTAGTTTGAAAATAGGTCAAGAGTACAACGTTAATAAAGCAAGCAGAAAAAGAAGAAGCCCAGTAACTGTAGCAACTTGACTTATCATTAAGACAGAATAGAGCCAGAATCCTTTTTTTATGAGTTTGTTTTTCTGCCAATTACTTCTCAAAAGTGGAATTACTTTAAGCAGTCTTCCCCCATTTGGCGCTAAACTTGTTTTTTTTCCAAGTGTTTCATTTTGAGCTCTGGTTCTTTGCTTCTAAATATTTGTGAGCAAGAGTCAAAGTACAACAGAGTTAAAAACAAAATTACAAAAAACTCGTCCCCTGTGATGTAACCAATATTCTGTTGCTTTCTCTCTGACCCAGTTTGTACCAGCCTACAGGGCCATGTAGGTCACAATGGTAAATTGTGTTGCTGATGCCACTCATAAGGTAATCCACAAAATGACCTCCTAATTGACGGTAATCTGACTTGTAAGCAGCACACAACAAAGCTCTATTCAACCCTGTCGTTACGATGTCAGTAATATGTATAATGTTCAATCCATTTTAACTTTCAAAGACACTCAGACAGTTTTGCTTTTCTTTTTTTATCTCATCACACACTGGTTTTTGCTCTGGTATTTTTACCCTCCTAAACCCAGCTACAGCTTGGATATTTAAATAAAAAAGGGAGGTGCTGTAGAGTGCTGTCATTTCCCTTGTGTGGCACCCACCCTCGACTGGAGTGACATGTGGAGATGCATGAAATACCCGTGTGGAAGCAGTTAATCTTCTTCATGTTTTTTTTTATTTCTAATCTGTTTGCTAGATAATAATATTATCTTTAGTTTTTTGTTTTTACCATCTAAGATCTCCTCCTGGGATCTTAAAGACACATTTTTAAATGCATTTTTTCTATTTTTAGCATGTTTTAATATTTAAAAAAAAAAAAAGTAAAAACTCAAAAAAAGGTCATCAATTACAAGTAGCATTCAGAGAGTGAGAAAATTTTGTTCCTGTTAAAAGCTTGCACAATTTTTGAAACATTTATTTGTCTAAAGGAACTTTTTAACAGACCAATGTCATCCCTTTAAAACAGCAGATGAACTGACTCAAATCAAAGTGACATATTGATGAAAATCAAACTTAGGACAGAAACTATGAAAAATAGTAAAAAGGGTACAGCAGTATACATCCCCCAGTATAGATCCCTTTTAGAAACTGTATTCTGAAACAATAAAAATATTTTGTAATCAATATGTAATTTGACAAGACATTGTGATCCTTAAACATTTATTATTAGTTGGTACTCATTTTAACTCATTTCAGTTTTCTTACATTTTTTAAGTGTTTTTAAAAATCTCTTGATAAGTAACTTTCCTGAAATGTTTTATTCTTTTAAAATACAAATCACTGGCTTGATTCCCATTAGAGATTATTTGCATTTACTATGAAAACATTTACAGAGGTTTTCAGTTTCTGTTATCTTATTTCAGACGGGGATTGAGTTCATACTGATACATACAAATGTACAGTAAGCTGTTTAGACTGATGTCACTGAATGCTGAAGTGAGAGTACACCATACAACCATTTACCCTGTCTGCTAAACAGAAGTCTGTTTTAAGAAATCCACTCTAATACCAACACATTTTATCAGGAGAATTTTAAAACGTTAAACAAAGATGCTCGCAGGCATTCCTTAAAAAAATACAGTCATCTTTAAATTGATGTTCAAGTATTTATCTGTGATCCATTCTTAATCATCTTGAAGTTTCTGAATAGAGTAAGAATTGATTTAACTTGTCACTTACATTTTTGGTGATCTTGATGTAGTTCCAAAAAGAATATGTTTTTTGTGTCGGTCTGAGTAAAGCAAGATAACCTGTGCGTGTGTGACTGGAACCGCTGCCCAAATCAATGACAGACTCATCTGGCTGGCTTGTTCTTACTTCTGTATTTGAACTATAATAAGAAAAGGGAAGTGGTTTGGTGCTCTACGCAGCGCTGTTGTTGGTCACGCACGCATCTGCTGGTGGGCAAACTATAAAAAAGTATCAGGTGTGCCATGTGCTTGATGTCCTAGAGATCTAAGCTCTGTCTGACTGCAGTTCTAGGAGATTTGAATGAATGTAATTTCTTAAGTGAACTTTGCAGACATCTTTAACTATTTGAAAAAGTATAATAAAACTCTAAGAGAATTAAGTGCACTTGTGACCGAACTATAAAAAGCATGAAAGCAACGCAACCAGTTAAACGCTTTTAACAAAGTGACGAATTAGCACAACAGCGTACTTATTCTGTCAGTGTTACATGTCTCTCTACTCGTTTACTCAACTTTTGCACAGTTTAAAATAAATTTGGTGGTCACATGTGCCACCACAGGCGCTCTATGTTAGATTGCTAAAAAAGTCTGTCTATATCAGTGTCATCGCTATCTCTCTGGCCAAACCAACATCAATTACACATGTAATTATAGTCAAAGTTGAATGTCATGTACCATTATTACAGCAGGATGTGACGAATAGCCACTTATTATGTAATGCTGGAACAAATGATTCACAATCAAAAAATAAAAATAAAATATGCAAATTTGCATGGACTTTTTACAAAGTTCCTCATCTGGTTTCCTTTACTTATTATGTTTCCTGTGTACCTTGCGATTCAACACTCAACTCGCTCTACTCCAGTATACTCTGAAGTTACAGAGTTAGGAAACCAGACTCACTGACAAACTATTTGCTTTTTTAATCAAATCAACAATATCATGAAGGAGTTCAAATAAACTGAAACTGACAGTTGAAGAAAATAAAACTTACACAAACAATAAATCTCATGGGGTCAGTATTTTCAGGTTGACTGATTCAAGTCATGTTATGAATGACTGTGGCTGAGTTTTATCATTCAAATCTAAAGTCAAAACTAGGGATGGGCAATATGGGCAAAATAATTTATCATGATAAGATTTGCCATTCTGGCGATAACGATTAAAGTCTCAATTAAAAATGTTATACTTGCTATCTATATTTTTGACTCATTCTGTCTTGAGGACACCAGTTGGACTAGTCAAATAAGATATTTAACCACAAGTTTGAGTGGTAGGTTATGGAGAAAACTAATGACATCAAACAAGTCTCAAATGTGAAAACATTTTCAACATTTGTTACGGGCTACTCAGAAACGTCTTCCTATTACCTTCGGCCGTATTTGTTTGTTATTCTGACCTGCATGGGCTATTGCTGCGAGTACGCCGCTCTCGCTTCCGTTATCAACTTGCATTTATCATATTTATCATGAGATGGCAAATATTTATCATGGAGGATTTTTCTGACGATATATAATGAACGATAATTTATCGCTCATCCCTAATCACAATATAAATTTATTGATTTGTTTGGCCATGAAAATCTCTCACATCACCCAAAAAAGTGGCCATAGATGCAGTACAATTCAAAATAACAATACTGCACCAATTTGTTCTGATGAAACAGGAAAGCATCATCAGTCTAATTATGTTTGGAGGAAGTGAAAATAAAACTGAGGCAGGTGAGTCAATCTCCACACCATCCCTTGAGTGGCGGGAAGTCCTGTTAGTCCGCAACAAAAAACACTGTAAAGGAGAAGCAAAAGACCAGATTTTAAAGTCATGAGGTGAATCAGAATAAGACTGTGGATGTACAGATGTTAAAATGATGTTAAAAGTATGAAAGGTTCTTTAAGTTGATGAGAGCACAATTTTAAGAAAGCCCATGTAGGGATAAGAGTTACATTCTGAAGGTTTTTGCGGGTCTGGAGGAAGGGTAGTAAGCAGAGCTGTTTCTCATAATCTGTGTAGTTCTTTGTAAGGGCAGCTGCTCAGACAGGAAGTGTACGAATGACAGAAACTTAAACCTACCCTTTTCTCCTTTGTGATGACTTCAGAGTATCAGTCTGAGTCAGCTGCAGCTGCATGTCACTTTTTTAGAAAGTGCGTGTCATAAGGTCGTGATCACGGTAATCTCACTTGTAATTGTAAAAAACACAAAGTCTCCTGGTTTGGTTTGCGGTCTTGTGGAAAAGAGTTTAAGCAGTAACTTATATTGTCCCTCTATGACTTTCAATGAAAAACAGTAAATATTGATACTTTTAAATTGAATTCAGGATCTATGCAATCTGGATTTTATGTACTGTTTTATCATTTTATAAAATCGATTTAATATTTTTTATTGGTTTGTTTATCTAAAACTGCTTAACTTTTCTTACTTAAACCTATTTTTGTCTATCTTTAACTGGTTCTCATGGTATGTAAGTCTTAATGACACTCATTTCATTGGTGTTGATGGGCATTAGTTTCTACATCTAAATCCATTTGTCTGATGGATTTAAATACATACTATGTTTTGTAAATTTTTGTCTTTTTTCAGATGCTTTGTGGAGAATTTAATACCAAAAGTGTTACACAAAGGGTGACTGATTGATGAAGATAATTATATCTGCACCGTTTTTGTTTTTGTGGAATTGCTCGAAACACTACTCTCTGATTTGCCCAGCATAATTCTCCGGACTATATCATCTGTTATATAGATTATATGATTTTATGATTATGTTCGCCACCTGTAAAATGACTGTGAGATTGTGTTGTTTTTCAAAATTGGTACTTCCCCCAAAGGATTAAGATGTTACAAAGAGTACTAGAGGTCCGAGAATAGAGCCTTGGGGAACTCCATGTGCTTTGTTTATATTGTGAGTTTCTCACACGCTGATTAGTACAAAATAGATTTGTGTGTGTTTTACTGATATAGTTTGACCCATGTCCCATTTGTCAACATGAAGGGGAGTGGTTTAAAGACCTGGACTGCAGCCCCCTCAGTGAAGGATCCCCGGATGTTTTGGCTTCTCTTTTGGACAATTTACGAGTCAACCACCTTTTTTCTAGTCATTGTCCCCAATCTGCTTTCACTGTGTTGAATAATTAGCAGAAATTCTCCCTTCTTTCTAATACACTCAATCTTCTGGGTCTAAACTGAAGGCTTATAACTGGGAATGATCTTACTGCCATTTGCAGTACCAGGTTTGTTGCAACCTTTATCGCCTCATCCAGTTTTTAATGTCTGATCTATGGTTGATAGAGATATCTCTTAAAGGGAAGGTGAGGGGTGACTGATGAGGAAAACATTTGGTGACCTTGCTGGCCTTATCAGTCTCGTCAGCCAGAGCAGGGGAAAGCCAATCTCTCCTTTTGCCGTCTTCTTTATCAGCAAGGTTAGTGTTGGAAAATGTGTTTGGTTGGGTTGGAGGCAGACAACGTGGCAGTGATCAGGGGGGTGAATTTAATGTCAGCATTACCCAGCACTTCCATTTTATCAGTGAATCCCGAAAGAGGTGAGGAAGGGCACAGAGGGGAGATTGAAGGGAGACGGAATTAGGAGACCGATAAATGTGCTTTTCTTCAACACACTTAGATTGAGGCTGTGATGTGTTGTCTTTGTCACGCAGAGGTTGGTGTGTATCAAGGTGAATCATCATTGGTCTGGTTGTTGGTCATTGTATCTGACTTTAGGTCACCTTCTTAAATAAGAAGACAACTGCAGAATCTAGACTATATAAAAAAGGACAACTTGTCTCTGTTTGTTTTAAAAGTGAAGCCAAGCCTGAAATGCTTTCAACATGCATGCTTGCTAATGGCCAACAAGGGGTGACTAAAAATGAAGTTTGATTGAAGCCAGATTAGAAACTGCTTTATTCATATGATTCTACTTCTTCAGACATTTTAGTTAGAAAAGCTCAAATGAGGCCATCGTGTTGTGGTACCTCAATCCATGATGTATGTCATTCAAAAGAAGAGAATCTGGCGATTGTTAGAGAGAAATATTGAAGGTGCAATAAGCCATATATTAAAGGAAAACAACATATTCATAAGATCATGATCACTCATCCACTACCTCTTGTTAATCGTGCTGATGTTAAGGTGAAACAGTTTCCTGGCCATTATAATCATTGGTGTAAAACTGGCATCATGTCAAAAGTTGTTTTTAAGATGTTTTCAAACACGAGAAGAAATGTGCAAATTTGTTGACCTCCTGAAATCCCATAGAGTAATCATTTTTGTCTCATGTACTTTAGTTAGTTTATTGAATGCACAAATAGTTATCTAGTGGGAACAAGATATTATATTTTGCAGATAAGGTGAATATCTTGTATGAAAAATAAATCTTTTGGAAGCAAGAGTTGTGACATTTGTAGTCCCTCTCCTGAAGATGTCTATGCGTGGTGGCTCTTGATGCACTGACACCAGTCTTAGCCCAATCCTTGTGAGGCTCCCTGAGTCCAAAGCCTTGACAATCCTCTCAAGGCTGCAGTCACGCTTGTCGCTTGGTCACCTTTTCTTTCCACATTTTTCCCTTCCAGCCAACTTTCCATGAATATGCTTCAGTGCAGCACTCTGTGAACAGCCAGCCTTTTCTGCAATGACGTTCTGTGGCTTACCCTCCTTGTGGAGGATGTCCATGAAAGTCTTCTGGACAACTTTGAAGTCAGCAGTCTTCCCCATGACTGTGGCTGGCTGTTCGGGACCAGAGTGAGAGTTTCATGATATTCATACTGTTCGAACATGGATTTAATCAAACTTAAAATGAAATATTGTTGATATTTGTTTAGATATTGTGAGCCGTCTGCCATGTTTGAAATGTTTTGAAATGTTTTAATTGCATGTGATGAGTCTCAAACATATTACATTGTGTGAAACTAAAAGAAAATATTTAACCTTCCAACTTTGCAGACCCCTCTGTTAAAAGAAAGACAGGAGTCCACCCATAAAGAACTGGACCTTATTAAGTTCAGAGAAAGAGTTAATCAAAATCCCAAACAAGAACCTGCGATTGCTGTTTTTAATGGCATGTACCCCAAAATTTAAAATGGAAACATTTATTCTGGGGTGTTTCTGTACTAGATGGTACTATCTTTCCTTTTACCTCGTAGTAAATTGACTGGTCCTTGCAAACAGACTCAAAAGATAAAACATTTGACTCCTTATTTTATTGGAGGAAGCTTCAATACGCCTCATAACTGAGTTGATAGTAGTCATCTCTGCATTACTGCAGGTTTGAAACATTTCTTCCACCACACCTGCGCTTCAGTTGTACAGTCCAGATTGGCACTTGCCTCTTCCCTCCTTTGTCTGCCTTTGCTCATATTCATTATTGAAGACGACTCAGTCAGTTGGAGCGCAGTCTTGCAGACATTTGCAGTGTTTTGTGGATCTCAGAAGACTCCCTCCATGAATATCCTTATCTTGAGTACAACTATCCTCTGTACCAGTATATGATAGTCTCCACACTCCATCAATCCTGGTGATCAGTGAAGCATAGTGCAGTCCAAGGCACGAATCTTAGTAGTCCTCTGAGTTTGAAGCCGAGTTAATATTGCAGAAAGCTGCAGGCAGTCCAAGTGATATTTTAAATCCAGAAATGTAAAACATTAAATAATGCAGTTGTCAGGTGAAACCTAAAAAAAAGGGTATTTTTGAATCTCAGCTTTGCTCAGATTTTTCAAATTCAACAGTCAAACATCAAATCAGATCAATATCACATGCATTTGTTCAGCACATGTAATTGTGTTTTTATTTGGGGTTAAATTATCTGATGCAGGGTTTCAAACTGAAACACCAGCTGTCATAATACTAATTACCATTAGCCTTGATTGTTACAAAGTGAAGAAAGCACTTTCTGTGTCTGACTGCCCAGTGAGAGAAACAGTTACCCCCCACCAAATGCTGGTCATGTGGTCCAGTACCAGTTGGAGTCAAAGAGCTTTTGGTTTCAGAGCACCATCAGTCAGGATACAGGGTTCTTTCTTTTCAGCTGGGTTTGATACCAGTAGATGAAAAAAAAGAAAAGATCAATGAAAAAAGATCATTACTGATGGATGAATTCAGACAGTTTTCATCATTTAACTACAACTTCCTCACTTAAAAAGATGCCTGTTTGACCATTTTATTTATTTTAAACTGAATCATTTAGATTTTTAAAATAATAATGGCTGAAAAGCTGTTAATTATGAGTCAAAAAAAAAAAAAAAAAAAAAAAACCTACAAGCATTTTCTTCAAAGATGTAGTATGCAAATTGTTCTATTCCAAATTTCAGCTTTGGTTTATATGGACTAAAAATTTAAAGCAGGGTTAAACTATGAAGGTAGATTTAGTAAGAACTTTAGTATGGAGTCATTTGGCCCAGCATAGAGACTTAAGTCTTCACTGTAGCAGTCTCTGATTCTTCTCCCAGCCGTGACTGTCTCTTGCATGTCTTCCTTTCAGCCCCCGTATTTCCTGTCTATCTTCAGCCGTCCAATGCGATGCAAAAAGAAGGACTGCAGCACCTCTGTATCAACTCTTAACCCTACATTACATGCTGTTGCGCAGAAAGGTCTACTTAAATACTAAAAAAATCTTACAGCTACAAGTTTTTATGCAGGTGAGTCACGTGTTTTTGGTTCACATTTTTGGGTGATGCTCATTTTTCTGTGAGATGGTTTCAGAAAGAAAAATGATGAACTTCACGTTTCATTTGAATAAGAGAGAGATGGAAAACTGCTGTTTCTGAGAGCTGTTTTAGAATATGGAGACTAAGAAACTTTCTGTTGGGTCTCTACGCCACCTAGAGGCAAACTGAGATTTTAACAACACAAAAACATAAAGCTTACGCACATCACATAGAACTTGGATGTGCCTCCCTTTTAAAGACTACTTTGAATAATAAAAAAAAAAATCTGTATCTCAATATTTGGAGAAAAAAACCTCTAAAGCTGAACAGACACAATCATAAAAGCTTCTTCAACAGTATTTTAAATGTTGTTTTACAGGCTTGTATATTCACCGACACACCACCCTAACAAGTTCTCTATAATCAACACATCATACGATTTTTCAAATTTAACCTCACTGCCCAAGTTTGAGTCTGGATGCTGTCAAAAATGTAGATAAAAACAGAATTTGTAGAGCAAAGTAAAGTATATCAAATGTTGAAAAGATCATTTTAGATCACTTCCACAAACAACTGCTTGTCACCACAGAATCACAAATGTACGTTTGGACTTGAGCACGTACAGAGAAAACCACATATATGCACTTTTTACAGACACTGACTGTAAGTGATTTCAATACCTAGGCCTGTGGTTCTTGATGTACTTGTTTTGATCGGGTGTTAAGAGTGAAAAACAGAGCTGAAACAGTTTACACTGTAGTCTCACACAGACAGGCAGACAATAGTACAGAGACAAAGAACACCAGAGTCCAACCTGATTTTAACATGACTCATTTTATTGTCCTTCATGGATGAAAACAGAAACTGCGTGTACAGAATGGTAGTCACATGCAATACAAAAATATGAATTTTACAGTAACATAAAAAAACATGTATTGGCCCATTCTAAAAAATGTACAGCTTTTATACAGTACTTCATACATGAAAAAATATAAATATATATACACATTTGTAATAGCCACAGCAGTACCTATTCAAAAATGTGGTGATGTCATTTACATATAAAATGTTTGTACAAATATTAGAAGAATCAGGTTCATTTGCTATACATCAAATAATGTATGTACATTACATACCCTTGGATTTGCAACACAACATTTACTGCAGTCTTTCACAAAAACCCAACCCAACATATTCCAACACAGTACGCTCATCCGGTTGCGCGTGCACCCACACACACACACACACACACACACAACACATAAATACAAGCATGCTGACTAAAGCCAGCAACCACAAACAGTATACACAAGCGCGCACAAGAGGTAACGTCTTAGGAAGATATAGGACACTTTGCGCCAGGTTCCTGATTTATCTTTTTGTTGCGCAGAGAATGAAGTCACTCCTCTTCACCGTTTATATAAGTCATATTCTATAAGGTGCACTTTACACTCAATGGATGGATATTATTAAAAAACTCTTTAATCATAAATAACCAGCATTATTGTGTTCCCATATGGATTGTGAAAGATGTAGGGAATAATTCTCCTGTTTCTTTTCATTTCAACATGTCATTAAGCATACAAAAGTCATCATCAGTGCCCCGTTTTTAAAATGTATCCAACATACAGTGAATCTACTGAGTTATACTCCAAAAAGACAACATACAAAGTGAGCATATCACACCGGCCACTCCTCTGAGACCCTCCCGAAAGAGAAAAAATTAAAACACTGCAAATATGACCATTAAAACCAAACTAAACATCAATGATAAAAAAGGATTTTATGTTTTTTTTTAATTTTTTTCTCACTGATGGCTAAGTGCATATTGTGTCTCGACATGGGCTGGTACGCACATGTCCTCACACACACATTAAAAACAGAGAGAGAGAGAGAAGCAGAGAGGCAGTAGGTTTGAGAACATCACTCAAGCAGCCTGTCAAACATGTGTCAGCCCCTCAGGGGGAAACACAGATAAATGAAGTGGTCCGTGTGGAAGTGGGGTCCATTTTACGTCCAGCAGTGCGTGTGTGTGTGTGTTTTAGTGTGTGTGTGTGTTTCAGAGAGAAAAAGGAGCCGTGTGGTCGGGGGGCTCTGGTGCGAGCAGCTACATCACAGCAGCACAGAGAAGGTGAGCAGGCCATCAGCAGGCACAGAGCCAGTTTTTCCACAAGCCTCAGAGTCCCACACAACATCACAGAACAAAACCAAAAGGAAGGCAAAAAGATATTAAAAGGTGGGAAATGTCTCACTTCTCCAATTCCTCCTCCCTCTTTCCAACAAGAATAAAAAAAAAAACGCAACAGTTAGACAGGGAAGATCAGACTGGTGATTAGTTGAAGCAGTGTCTGTTGCAGGCAGAGGCAATGCTTTGATCAATCCTGTAAAAGTTAAGGATACAGGAGCATGCAAGGCAGACCCAGGCTTTGTTTTGCATTGCTTATGATTCAAAGTGACTGCTACAACCTAGATTAGAAAAAGAGAAAAAAGAAAAGAGGGAAGAGAGCAAAAGGAAAACACAAACGTTAGACAGTTAGTGGAAGTGAAATAGCTTTGTAGTGAAGAAAGCAGCAAAACATCACAAACATGTAGATTAGTTAGAGGACACTCACTGCATAGAAACAGGTCAGCTTTATCTCAGTAAACAGATTAATTTAAGATCCATTTTATAAGTTCATCAGTTGATTTTACCAAATAAACCTCTAGGACTTATATAGTTACTTTCTTTTACTCTTTCACACAAGGTTAAAAAATTTAAACAGCAGCCTAGAAAATAGTCTTAAACACTGTGAAAAGCAAATAATAAGCCAGAAGCAGAAAGAAAGTGGAATATAAGGTTTGAAAGTGAAGTTGTAATGAAGAAATGCTGATTAAAGGTCTGTATGTGACAAAGTCAGGATGAGAAATGATGGAAAAGACAACATGTGGGAAAATCCTTTTCAGATTTCAAGTCTGTGACAGCACTGTTACAGAACTCAGTTATCAACACGTCATAGTATCCTCATATTGATCATGCAATGGCGTCATGTTGTACCCTCTGACAGTGATTTCACATTAAGTTACTGTACTGTGAAGCATAGACGTAAACACACAGAAACACACACACACACACACACTTACACACACACAGCACTGTTCTGCCCTTCCTGCTCACAGTGATCTCATTTCAGCCCTGAAACATCGCCATAACTACTACCTTCAGTACCAAAACAGCAGAGGAATGACTTGGTCGGCCCCATCATTGCACATCTGTGACATTTAAATTAAAACCTAGATGTTATAGAAGCATCAGTATGACACAGGCTTAAGTCCCTTTTTTGGCTCTTTCAGAGTCTTTTGCAGCTGCTCAACCCTGTTTGAATTTGGTTGTTTCTTACTTTGTAAAGTTACTTTGCATGTTTGATGATGACGCATTGAAATTTGTGACAAGGTGAGAGTCAGTAGAAAGAAAATATTTGACTTAGTGATTATAAGACCTGTTCTTTTAGGATTAATGTCTGTTTGTTGAGCACAGGGATGAGTACACAGACTGTTACAGAGAACTATCCGATCATGACGTGTGACGGTCTGTGAAACTGTCTACTGTCAATATGCTTCAATTCTTGGGCGCCTGTTTGATGGTTTTAGTGCACACACACACCACGGACTGAGGCTATGACTCATGTTATCTCTTCTCCCTACATTCACTGTTTCTCTTCACCCATCCTATCATAATAGGCAAATATGCCAAAAAAAAATAACAAAAAGTGTAAAATAAATAAGTAAAACTTCACACATTCACATTCATATGTAAACACAAAGGTCACTGTAAAGTTCATTATAGAGAAAGTCATGGAGATCTGAGAAGAGCAATAGTGACAGAATGTATGTGGTTCATGTGTGATGATGATGACAACAAATGAAGAAATCCTTCCTTCCTTCCTTCCTTCCTTTCCTTAAACCTATTCCTTTAGAAAAACATCACTTTTGGTCTGATTACTGCCGAGCTTTTGTACCACAAAGAACCTAAAGTTAAACAAATACAATCTTTTTGTTTGTTTGTTGCCACACGTCCAGTGTCTTCACATTGTCCTCCCCTCATGGATACCTACTCTGCAGACTTCCAGAAGTGTCCGGGGTGGGACAGCCTGCGGTTGAGTTTGGGCAGCTTCTCCAGCATGTCGGCCAGCTGGGTGAAAGTGGGTCTCTCTCTTAGGTCGTACGCCCAGCAGGCAGACAGGATCTCCTGAGACACAAACCACTCTGAGTCAGTGCACCGGGAAAAAGCGCTCATCTGTGCACTCAGTGAACTGTGGACTATGAATCATGATCGATCAACGTTTCGCAACGTCTCGATATCTCTGCATCACTGGAGCATGTTTGGTTGTTTGTTTTACAAGCAGATTAAACATCATGTGCTTTTCTGAATGACTGTGCTTGTTTGAACTCACAGTGACCTCCTTGCCGAGACTGATCTCCGCCAGGACTTTCTTTATGCCCTCTCCGCTCCCCACCTGCCAGATCGTGGCTTCCACAGGCTGGTTGGTGATTGGCCAGTCTCTAGCTTGAAGTTCATACCAAATAGTTCTGAAAGAGAGGTAGAAAAATAACTGAATATTGTACATTTTAACTCAATCAGTGCCATTAATAGCCATAGATTTTTTAGTTTTTTTGTTTTCCGCCAGAGGGCGCTCCTCCCCAACATGCGACTAAGTTTGGGGTCGTTCTGAACGCAGAAAAGCCGACAAACAAGTCATAACCATGTTACAATAACAAAAAACAAGTACTCGCCAGTGAGAAGTGTGACATCAAGTGTGCCAATTAGCCTAGGTGTGGAGTGTTTTTTTCTCTAAAAGGAGTAGGAAAATGCCGAAACAAAACAGTCTTGGCGCTTTGGCTCCCGCCGGCGCAGTGCTACTGTCTCTGGATCCAGTGGAGATCCCGGTACCGGACCTTAACATTGGCAGCAGAAAATCAAAGAAACAATTTCCGGCATGTCGTTGTGCCGCCAGTCTCGGTACTGGTGAGCGAGACTAAGCCGGAATTCAGTGACAGTCCCGGCTAGGAGGACGCGAGCGGTCTGTGTGGTTTACGTTGTGGCGCCAGATCTCCCAGCCATCACAAAGTGACCTATCACAAAGTGATGAGGAGTGGTGTCTGAGGAGAGAGGACCTTGATGCCACCGGTAAAGTAGTTTGAAGTGAAATGAAATAGAAGAGTTCAGAGTTCTGCTTGAAAGTCTCTCCTTCGTAAAAATGTGTTTTTCCCAGGTTTCTTCTTCCAGATTGGCAAAGATGATGTGACCACACTGCATTGAGCAGGCAGTAACTTAACACAGGAGTGGGTTAGAGAGTAACTTTTTTTTCTGGTGAAAGAAGAGAATTACCCCTTTCTTTTGGGGTAAAAATTCTGGGTGAAAATTGCATAAATGAAAACCTGGCACTGAATGAGTTAAATGTATGAACAAATATTAAGTAAAAATCTTGGTTTTAGTCAGAAGTGTGATTTAGGGATCAATAAGATGTTGGGGACTTACCCAAATGCGTAAACATCTGCAGCAGTGGAAAAAGGAAGTCGGTCTTCATTGTTACCTGGGCTCATCCTCCGCACAATCTCTGGTGCCAGATAACAAATCCAGCCGTGTGGAAGTTTCAGTTTGTTCTCACGCCTAGCCACAGATAAATAAGGACAGAACACAGTTTCAGTAACTTACAAACAGAGTGGAAAATCTGAGTTGCAATATGCAATCATTCACCTTATCCTGTCTAAACATGGAGGCATACACAGAGGAAGTACAAAATGAGCCAACTGTGTTCAAAATTTGAAGAAAAAACAAAGTGTGCTCGAAATGAATCAAATTTAAAAAAAGAAACAACTTGTCTTTGCAAGAATAGTGGCTGACAAGAGAGACGCCTGCAGAGCTTCAGCCGCTGTGGACCCTGACCAATTATTACAAACAACTGGATGTCCCCAGGTAATAGTAGGGCAGTGTGAACAGCACTTGAGCTGAGATTGTGTATTTAAGGCCTCTCGAGCGGCGTTACTCACCTCCCTTCCTGAACAACTCCTGAGATCCCAAACAGCCCGAAGTCTGTGATCACCACTTTATTGGTGTCATGAAAAACGTTCTTGGACTTCAAGTCTTTGTGAACGATGCCCTTAGCATGCAGATAACCCATTCCCTGTGTTAGAAACAAAAAAGGGACAGTTCGTAAAGTGACGTCAAATATCTCTGCATTTCAGCTGCTTTTGCACACGCACACACACACACTTCTCATTTTTAACTGTGTGTTTATTCTTAAAATTAAGAGTTTTGAGCAGATTGTACATTAAACTTTGACTCTGAAAAGTCAAAGAAAATGACAAGTGTTCAATACTTTTCCTGACGCTAAGAGACAGACAAAGAGGAAAATTACCTTTACAATCTCCTGAGCTATTTGTCTCGTCTTATTAATGTCCAAAGTGTTCTTAGTGTCTCTAACGACTGAATACAGCGTCCTCCCTTTACAGAAGCTGAAAAAAGAGAAGACAATAGTTCAGACTGGTAAAAAAAACCCTGTAGATCAGTGGTTCTCAGGTCCAGTCCTCGAGGCCCACTGTCCTGTATGTTTTGGATGTGTCCCTGCTTCAACACACCTGATTCAAATGATTAGCTCGTTAGTAAGCCATTACAGAGCTTGATAACGAGCTAATCATTTGAATCAGGTGTGTTGGAGCAGGGAAACATCCAAAACATGCAGGACAGTGGACCTCGAGGACTGGACTTGAGAACCACTGCTGTAGACTTTTCAGAGGAGCGTTTGATATTTCTACTCTCACCTGGTGATGATGGCAAGATGGGGTGGAGCCATGCAAGCCCCCATGAAGAGGACCACGTTCTCATGCCTGGTCTGTCTGTAGTTCATCACCTCCTTTTTGAAGAGCTTCAGATGGTCCTGATTGTTACCGTCGATCTCCAGGAGTCTGATAGCCACCTCGCCGTGCCACCGACCCTTGTGCACTTTACCCCAGCGGCCCTGCGTGAATCAAGAACCTCAGCAAAAACATCCTTTCATGCAGTGTAACGGGGCACTCTCAACAAGCGCGAGCAATATCATCTACTCACTTAATTCGCGCGAATCTAGACACGTGAATAAATAGTATTTACTCGCTTTATTTGTGCGTCAATGGTAAATTCAACGGTATTCCCTGCCAATTCAACCGGCGGGATCATCGCCTCTTTTTATTGACTTAACATGTGATTCATTTGCGCGAATGATTTTACTCATGCTTGGTGTGTGGAGACAGTTGCACATATTCTGTGAGTATCCTGGTCGGATTCTTTACCTTCCCAATAAGTTCCCCGAGGTCCAGCTGCTCAAAGGGGATGTCCCACTCCTGCAGGTAGACGCTGGTCTGGCTCGGCTTACGAGAGATGGGACCCTTCCACTGGTTTCCCCGAGAGCTGGGCAGGTCGTCCAGTTCATCTCCGTCCATTTCACCATCTGAGCCGACGTTCATTCTGATATCCTCGTCATCATCCTCATCTTCTCCTTCATCCTCATTCTCTTCATCTTCTTCTTCGTTGTCATCCTCCACTTCAGGGTCTTCATCTTCAACCTCAATTTCCTCCTCTCCCTCCTGCAAGAGTGTGGAGACTCATTTTTTAATCTACTGTGTAAATAAAGGACTGAAACACAAAAGTAATGTGAATTAAACTGGAATATTGTGAGTAAAAAGAGCAAAGCTAAGGATACTGTACCACTCTGATTATGCATTTAGTCTTATGGGGATTAAATTAATATGAAATTCTGCTGTTTCTCTTCAATATTTTCCGTGAATGTGAGCCAGCATTAAATAAGAAGTATTTTCATAGTCTCCAGATTTGTGTTTTCTGTGTCTCAGTTGTAATAAAGAGCTCTCCAGCTTAAATTAATAACAACACAGCGCCACCATCACCCTGACCAAGCAGGTCAACCTGGTTCCAATAAGCAAATGTCAGAGGAGCTGTTGTTTTTGGCTCACACCAGGACACTCATACTGACTTTATTGACAAGAAACCTGCAATCTAGTTTCTTCAATACCATGGAAATTGCTACAATCGTATTACAGTGCTCATAAGAAACAAGCCAGACGTCCCCAAATTACTATAACAGATCTACAGGGTTGAGAAATGCTACCAGTCTGACACAGTGAAAGAGAAATGAGTTTGACCCACGTCTCTGCTATGACAGCTTATTTTCAAAACTCATTCTGGTGCCAAAACAAACATCCATTCAGATGTTGCTCTGCCCTGCTGATCTGGGTCAACTTCACCACTCTCAGCTTTGTCAAAGGTTAGCAGACTATTTAACATCCTGCATCAGCAGATCAGGGCTCCCAAAGGGTTGTTTGTACTCATTATTATTCAGTAAAGCCATTAATGTCATCCTAGCGCTTAAGTCCTTGGTCTAATATTTCGTGTTTTGACTCCTGCATCCCTAAACGACGGCTTTACCTCTTCATCCTCATCTTCTACCAGCTCTGCGTGGATGTCATCCGCCAAATTCTCGGTCTCGTTGCTGCAATACCAACAGTTTCTATCAGTTAGGTGAAGATTTTACTGCGGTGTGATTGGTATATTCAACTTTGTATTATGTTGATATCTTACACAGTGTCTTGCAGGACATCAGGATGCAAGCTAGCAGGACTGGAGACATCTGTAGAGAAGAAAAAACATGGTTTAGGGAAGAAAGAGGGAAAGACTTTTTTTCTGTCCTTGTGATATTTCCCCACGTAAAAACTCACTGCCAACCACAGATACAAATTACTGCTCATGCAATTCCCCACCACCACCAGCAGATGGTGTCAAAAGGCCGTTAAGTTTCAACATGCAACCCTGGAAGAGGACTACGGTTACTATTACAAACCTAAAAGCAAACATGCAGAGGATACAGAGAGAGGAACACGCAAACTGAGGTTTGTAGGGTGGAACAATGAGGAGATAATGACGCACCAGGTTGCTTCAGAACCATCAACTCACCGGGGAAGATAAACTGTTGTCTATGCTGAAAGTAACAGGCAGCTTTTGAAGTAAAAGAGAGAGGGAAAGATCGACAAGCACAGCAGGGTGAGAGATGTTTGGTTAGAGAAGCTCTGAATCAACAGATCCTGTAAAAGCACAGTTGTTCTGCCGTATTAGTGTGGCACACAGAGAAAGAAGGATAAATATTTAACACTCTCAAACTGGACAAATAATCCAGATCAAACAATCCGTTAGCATTAATGTTAGTACAGTGTTAGCATGCACTTTTCATAGTGTGTGTGCACACTGATTATCAGACTGCAGTATCTATCCTGTGTATTTATTCCTGTATGAAGTCATCTGTGAGGCTTACCTGGGAAGTTGAAACGGCTGTCCCGGTGACCTTTGGGTGAGGGGTTGGGTGGTGGCGTGGCGCTGGGCGGGTTGCTCTGCTGGAAAGGTGCTGGGGAGGAAGGTGTGGATGAGGTGGTGGAGGACGGATTGCTGCTGGAGTCGAGCTGGTTCATCACTGGAGGGTGATCCTGGTGGGTCAGAGAGAGACAGAAATTACACTCCTAAAAATTGGTAAATAACAGTTATGATATGTTTACGTATCAAGACTAGTCTAGGAAGGGCTTCATCAGTCTTTATAATATTTTGCACAGACTGGTAGAGAAAATACGGTTATAAAAATCAAAACCACCAAATTACGTCCATTGATTTACCAAGATTTTTGTATTTTTGTTCTATGAATTCAACAGTATTTATAAGAAGTATATAAAGTGAGACTGAAATTGTCATGCATAGTGTCACTTATACATGTCCTACCTTTTTTGTAATGGCCTTTGGTAGTGTGCCAAACTGTGGTGCTTCTTGCGGCCGGTCCACAGGGTTGTTAATATCTGATGGAACAGACTCAGTCCTTCGAATTTTGGGGACTAGAAGAGAAATCGTGAAAGTCAGGAGGTATCTTACTGTATATTTTGTCCATTAACTGCTTGAGGAAAAGATTCAGCATATGACGACAAAGCTTACATGGTAGAAAGGAGATTCTGCAGGAAGGAGCCTCTTTTGTGCATTTGTTGTGGCACTTTAGCCTGCGCAGACAGAGGACAGAGTGCTTTCTTACACAGTGTTTTAATGTGATTCAGTTTATCCATCTCTGTCAGTGACAATGAATTTTGGCACTTCTTGAGAGTAAAATGCTCCACTTACCGACAGTGTTTGCACTTGACCCCAAACATCATGTTCTTCTGACACACCTGGCACGTCTGTGAAAGCCAGGACTTGGTTGAAAACCTGTTCAAAGACAAAATATCCTGTCAAACCAGTTATGGCGCAAAGTCACGACTGTGTTTTGGTTCAGTCGAGCAGTTTTTGCTTTATTTGGACAAACTCGGGATGTACCTGTGTGTGACTGCAAGGCCAATGTCCCTCCTCACTGCTTGTGGGGAGCTGCGATGCACTGCTACATTATCTATGCATGGAAAGATGGAGAAAAAGAGAGATGGATGAATACAAGGAGGGAATTACATCTACAAAATTTGCTTTTTGTACTTTAGAAAATAAATATACTTCAGGGTTACACTGCAAATTAGGGAAAGTCTTTAAAAATGATGGAGTGGCTAAACTGATAAAAAGGTTGCTTAAATAAAAGACAGTCAAATACTGTATATTAAGGACACTGAAACACCTGAATGAAATTTCAGTCATGTCAGAGAGTACAAAACCTGACAAAAAAATAAGATAAGATGTATCAACAGGAGGCTTGGGATAATGGCAGCACAGGTGCAGCTTAAAGTCCTTGAACTGCTGAAATAGTGAGCTAAATGTCAAGAACTATGGTGGAAATAAAAGCTTAATGTACCAGTTAAATGGTTAAAACACTTATGGAAAATGGTTGAAGAGGTCTGCAATAATAATAGATGAGCAGTCAAAACCTTAGGGTAACAATAAGCTGAAAAAGTCAGATACATTTTGTCTACATTGTTAGATTATGTAATGAAAAACAAGAATCATTGACGTTCAGAGGAAACACTGAGCTGCAAAAAATGTACCAACAGATAAACAACTTCACCAACAATAAAGATTTAACCATGAGTATAGTTGGCCAAAGTATCTGATGACAATTGCAGCTGAATTACCTAAACCAGTGGATAAACAGAAAAAATAGTTGACTTTTGTTCATACACAGATGACTGAATTAACTCTAAAAGTTGAGCATAAATCGCAGAAAGGGCCAAATTTATTGTTAAAAAAGTAAAATACTACTCATTTGTAATAGAGTACTACTTAAAAGAGTGAGCTAAATTGATGGATAAATGGTTGAAGTAGTTGGCTAATGGAATAAAAAAGTGAAAATAGCGAGCACAGATGACAGATAAACATTTTTTACCACTAGCTGCAATGATGGATAAGCTTTTGGAAATGCCAGTGTCACAGATCAAATCTTGCACCCCGAATATTAACACTTCATGGGAAAATGATTTTAACAGCATCCTCTTTAATCCAATCAGAAGTGTTTAAAATCAAGAACAGGCAGATCTGTATTAATGAAATTGGGCCTAAATCTGATATGACCACTTGAAAAGTTACCAGACCAGGCTACAGGTGGATGTGATCCCCTCATTCAGAGGTGGTATTTGAGATGCTACAGATCCTACATTTCAGTCACTCTTCACAAACAAAAAGACAAACATATACCGACACAATCATAAAATAAAGACTTTTAAAAGTGTATTTTTTCTAATATTCATGAAATATGCAAGAAATTGGCTAAATGTGTTGAACTCACTCTTGATGGTGCTATGCTCCTCCATGAGGGTGGGTGTGCCAGGTAGGGTGTACGACGATGGGGTGGCCACTGGAGTATTTCCAGGGGTGCGAGAAGATATGACTTGGTAACGAGAAGGCGAGTCCTCACATCCATTCCCGTTTACTTGCATATTCAGGAGCAACTTATTCTTTTTTACACACCTGTCAGAGAGGATAAGACAAAACAAGTCAAAAAAACAAAAACTGATTTAACAGCATCATTAGAGCATACTGCACTGTGAAGGTTACGTAAGTGTGAGAAGGAGTCACATTAGAGAACCTAAGTGGTATTGGCATGAGATAGCCAGGGTGAGATCCTTAACACCAGGACTGATGTCAACGAGTGAAGCACAACGCAGTGCCAGATCTGTGGTTTATGCACACATGCGCACACACGTGGGCTATCATTGTTGAAAATACCTCCTAATTTATCTTGTTTTATTTATTGTGCTGCTCAAACAGCCATTAGATTTGTGACCTGGTTTCAGATTGCTGTTGTAATATAATGTAAAGAGTGTACAAAGCCGGGATTAACTAGCAGGATCGTCTGAGTGTGTTAGATGTATTGGATCTATGTCAGAAGTATTTACTTCTGACATTGCCTGTTTTTTTTTTTTCTTTTTCCACCAAAGCTCTCCATAAACAGACCGGATGTTATGGATAAACATGTGGCCTGTTTGTGCGAGTGTGCATCCAATCACAATAGAGGGAGAGAGAGACAGATTGTGAGTGTGTCTTGCCACCTCGGAGCATTAGACCTAGGAAATACTTCCTGTTTTGACATGAGTCATAATCTCTGGGAATCTGTGTGGGGATTAGCTCCACGCATGCAGTCAGAGCAAAGGAGCAACAGACAGGATGTGAAAGGATGTGAGAGAGGGAGACTGAGAGAGAGCCAATGTGGCTGTATTATGGGTGAGCTTTGCCTTTTTGTGGACTCTATGTGAGACACGACAGATGCTTTTAGGATCCTCTTCTCACTCGTAGCTGAATTACAAAAATAACCCTGGTACTTTAAACTCAGAGTGACCGATGACTATCTTGTATAACTATTCTGTCCAATTCTTCAATTTGTTAACTTTTTGGTGCCAAATTTAATTCATACTTTATAGGTAAACTCAAGTCTGGGTTGTCCAAATACACACACCAGTATCAGAAGGGCCTGCCCCACCCTCTAAAATATGGGATTGTTTATAGTGAGTACACAGACCTCTGCATTGATTCTGTGACTCTACTTCTTAACCTTAAAAAATTCTTATTTTTTCACCAGCAAGTGTTTTTTTCTTTTATTCTTCCTCAATAAAGTTGAAAAATGACCTAACGTCACTTTTAGGCCGATGGGGCAACACATGGAACAGAACTTCTAAAGGTCTGACTGACAGGTCTCTTAAAACATAAGACCATTTCTGACAGTGAAGTGGTGGGACCCAATGTAAAATATTTTCCTATTACTTTTCCTTCTTACTAATCTCTAGGCTGTGTTAAATATGTAATCCTGATAGGTCAAAACCCCTTGATAGTGGTCATTAATCCCGAAAAACTGTTGCATGCTGTTTATGATTTCATCTATTTTTTTTTTATCAAACATAACTTTCTAGTAGCATCAGTTGACAATGTGTAGAATATTTCTAATATTATCAATCTATTTGGAAAGAGCTAAACTATAGACTAGTGACAGGTCAACAGCAGAGATAAGAATAAAAGAGCTGGTGAAACAATGCAAAAATGAGCAAATCAAGACAGGAGCTGAGTGAACGAGACGTCAATCAAATTGAAGAAAACAGACACGAAGCTGCCACAAACTGGATCAATATATGGACTGTGGCAGCTTTACCAGACTAGAAGAAAATGTGACAGGGAAGAGGACCTTATTCAGTTCCTGCTCTTATTTTCTGAATCTGTTTAAAAATACTAGAGGAAAAATGATGCTGTTTGGACTTGACTATGAATGAAAATGTTAATTTGAATAACAGTAAAACAGAATTAAAATGCAACACGAATTTAAAATGTTCAGTTTGATTAGCTGTATAAGTAAATCATTTACAAATCAATAAAACCCTCTTTAGATCAACACTATTTGTAGCTGGGTAGCGGGAGCCTTTTCTCACCCTGTCGGGATTTTATTTAAAAAAAACCACTGGGTCACTATCTCTTGTATGGGGCTAAAAATTCCTGGCAATGCCCCTGATACGAGTAAGCAAAATAAAAGTACATTTCTAATATTTTACCCTACAAAAGTTTAACAGTAAACTGGCATTACTTACTGTGCACAAGGCTTGAGTTAGATGACTCCTACCATAGATAAGTTGTAAGGGCCTACAGCTGTTAGTTCACATTCAGATATCACGAATAGTGTCAAGCGGGAGAAAATGGTACTCCTGATAAATGCAATTTACTTTTTTGTCTTATAGCTACAAAAAGTAGTGCACTCTTTTAGCTAACAGTTTAAAGAGTAAACTTCATTTATGACAATATAAACAGGAAAAAGTGAAAAAAGTCAAACTAAAAGGGGGGTCCTGCTTAAGTTGGTTAGTGACATAAAACTATAAATCCACACTTTCCTGCAAAGGGAAATTCTGTATCAGTATGCGAGTCAAAACTGCCCTCTGAGCACCTACTTGTTAGTGGGAGGGTCCTCGATACGGTTGCCCAGCTGAGACTCATGGCTTTTGCTGCGCGTCAGGGTGATATTGGGCAGTAGATGCAGCACTTTGCGGGATGGAGGTGGAGGGGTGCAGGGGGGCTTTAGTCTGTGACGCCTCTTTGAAGGCGGGGTTATAGGCGGGGTGGATGTGTGTCCGTGAAGCCGGGCTGTGCGAGCAAAGGACATCGGGAATGGATCTGTGAGGGGGCTGTCACTGTGGATATGCGATGCCAGCGAATCAGGCGTGGGGGCCGCTGACATTGACCCCGAACGGGGATGAGGAAAAGTGGCGCTGGGGGTGGATGGGGTGGAATGGATGGTGGATGGGCGGGCAAGAGGTGAGGGACTGTGGGCGCGGAGAGGAGTCCCCAGGTTTGAAAGCTGGTCTGCAGTCAGAAGAGAGCCACTGTCCCTCCTTGTGGGCTCGGACAACCACGTACTGGCGTCATCCCTCATTTCACCTCCTGGACACAGAAACACAAAGCACAAGTTTAGATCCAAGAGGAACACCACTGTGGCACACTTACTCCAAGGAATACTCCCATGAACACAAACCTGATTCAGTTGCACTTTTCAGACAGGAGAGGGCAGCACTGAGCCTGGCACATTCCTCTGAACTGGATCCTAGTCTTCGCATTGTGTCCCTCACCTGAGCACCCGTCATCTGCAGTAAGGCATCCAGGGATAACTTTGCTGCTACTGCCTGCAGAGAGGCAACACAGAAAAAAAGGGGAGAGGAGTATTTAATCTCTGTGGAATTATGAGCAAAAACATGAGCCACTCGCATAACGTAGGGACACAACTAGATACTACAGCTGCACAAAGATGAAACTGGTTTCAGTGGGATAAACTGATACTATTGATAGTTTGCTAAACAGGCAGAACTTCATCAGCCTTTGTTTTTGTCTTACTCCTCACACAAGAAGTATAGATGTAATAAAATGCTGACATTTCTCTCACAGGAGAAAACACAGAGACTCTGCTGTTCTTATAATCCCAATAAAAAGCCTCTGTTGTGAGTCCTCAAACACTGGGGTCTCATCACTGTGGCCTGCTGTAAGTCAGCATTAAAAGGGCAGCATGGCAAGATACTAAGTAGGTCATACAACCTCTGCTTTGCACTGTTCCTGGAAATCAGAATAATCCTGTTTGTTTGGGGCGTTTCACATCGAACTTCTTTTACTCACCAGGGATAGAAATGCAGATTATTAAATACTACTGTCGTGGCTTTACGCCTGTATTTGTACAAGTTAGTAGTAGTAGAAGCTATTGAGATAGAGCGTGGCTCTAAAACCTGAGAGGAAGTAATGTGCGCAGTCTTGGATATATTGGTCCAAGTGAAGGAAACTTTGCAGAGTGGGTACAAACATCGTGTGGGATCTGTTAGTTAGGCGAAATCAGAGTAGGAGTAGGCAAGTCTGCTGGGCTACAGAAATAGAAAGTAACAGACAAATGGCCTGATACACAGCAGCCAGAATTCACTACAATGTAAGCATGTTTAACTCACGATTATACTGTTTCAGTGTGCTCAAATGTAATAATATTTTAAACACAAAGGCTAAATGATGCAAATGACTGCAAATTATTTTTTTACTCGTTTTTCAATGTTGCAACTTTTTTCTTATTACTGCTTGTACCTGATACACTATATATAATTCTTTAAAATCAACGCTGCTCAGTCTACAGTAGTTTGAACTTCGAGTAAAGACTGTAAACAAAAGACCCCTCTGCCCCCTTTGTTCACTTAAAGTAGTAAGATTTTGCAGATGAAGTCTTTCAGCTCCCTTGGTTATATAGAGTAAAAAAGAAAACAGATGATAACCAGGAGCTCCAAAAAGACAGACCTCACATATTAAATAAAGCTGAAGAACACAGACTCACAGTCCTGAGGTGCTTTCTGCTTTCCAAACTCCAGCACAAATATTTGTTGCAAGGCAGAAGGAAATAGGAGACAGTCCAGTGGTTTTAGGATGTTTTTTTGACATGGGAAGTACGCAATTGCTTATCAGTCAGGTTAAAACCCTTGCTCTGAGAGGGCAAACACTGATCAGAAAAACTAGGGCAACCTCCCACACTTGTGTGTACACTGTAAGCAAAAGAAGACACACACACACACACACACACACACACACACACATACACGCACTCTCTCTCTCTCTCTCTCACACACACACACACACACACACAGAAATTCACATGGGCAAGGGTGAGTGATGTGATATTTGAAAGTGGCTGTGGGCTCTCAGCTCCCCTCCCGCCCACTCACTCATTATAACACTACAATTTTAGCATCATGAACAGCATAGCTTGCACATGTTGTTGCTGTACTGTGGCTTTCTTAGTACAGTTTTACAAGTCAAAAGTGCTGTGTTTCTGTACTGAGCTATGAGCATCACATTAGCTGTTAGTCTACAGTACATATTCATGTTTTTGAAACACTTGAAATGATATTGATACCACTTTATGATACAGAAAATGAATCAAGACCATCGGCACCGAGACTGAGGTTTTCTGTGCTGTTATTTTTAACACTGAAAGCAGCTGCAGATGGTTGACAGCATGCTGAAAAAGAGCCTGTCTTGCATTTTTAACAGCAAATATCTCATGTTGAGAAGAAGATGAGATTCTTTGTTACTAAATATTGCCTCGGCATGTACAGCACAAGATCAGCACAGTGATAAGATGTACTTTTCTGCCTATAGACGGTGCCAAAATTAACAAAAACCAAACGTTTTTCAAAGCAGCATCCAGTCAGGTAAACTTTGAGGGAAATATGGGGCTTTTCAGTAAACATTAGGGGTGGGAGAAAAAAAACGATTTATATAAGTATTGTAATTTTTTGTTTTACAATTTTTAAATCTATTTTTATGTTCAAAAATCTTTTTTTTTGTTTTCAAATTGAAGACTAAATCTTAAAAACTGACTCCCATGTGATGTGTATTTTTTGGGGAAATATGGTTCCTAGAATAGTCAGTAGACAATCATAATCATTCAACTGTTTCACTGGTGTTAAAAATGCAGACTTAAGATTGACAATATTGTAGGATCACAATTTAAATCGAATAGGCATCAAAAAGATCGTAGAAAATTGAATCTGGAGAAATGCATACCGTCCCAGTCCTTGTAAACATGCACACACTTAGAACAGGATGCAACTGAATGTATATGAATGGGGTAATTTAGGTTCATCTTAATTATAAATAATAATTACGGGTAAATAAATATTTCCCTATTTTTTGGTACAGTAACAGTTTTTCTACAATGATTGTTAGTCTCGATGGATAAGGAAAAAAAAAATCTTTCGCAACCTTGCCGCGGTTAGCCCAGATTAATCCAGGTAAGGTAAATTAGTTGAGCCACAGACAAAGTTAATTAGTTCGTGGAAAGGCACACACGGTCATTTAGGAAGCTGGCCAACATGGCATCAGCATGCTGGAATAAGATTATGTAATAGCTCAATGTCAGTTGCAACACAACAGCAGAGAGAGAGAGATAGAGAGAGAGATTGGAAATCAGATATTAAAAAATGAAAAAGGAATACTACATGAAATCATTGTCGTGTTTTAGGATCACCTATGACATAATCTGGCTCTCACAGTGAAGACTGAGGACATACTCTGCTGAAATCTCAATCCATTAACGATTGATCAAAACGGGTCATCATTACGCCATGAGGGATCTACATGTTTTGGGAAATCCCTGCCGGTACACAAGACACATAAATGATTGCATCTACTCTGGATCGCCCCTTTTCTCAAGTACAAGGCTTCATTCTGTAACCTGATATATAACAAGGCGGTATGACACCAATAAAAGCAAGCACAAACTCGGGACATATTAAAGAATAACATGTAAAATAAGCAGGTTACAGAGAGGGCACCAAACAAAGACAAACAGACAAAACTAATGAAAACATACAGAAGCTAACAGGGGAGGGATTACTAGAGTTCAGAGCAACACAGGAAGGGCAGTCAGTAAAAGGAGAGGAAATTACGACTAAATTTGCCAAACAGATCATGTAGCGGGATGACAATTGTGCTAAGCCTCTTTAAAGCAACGCAGTCTCCCTTGTATGCAAAGGCATTAGTATATTCAGCACAATGCAATTAAAGATTTAATAGTGGTTCCCAAACAAACACTTATTAAAAACAAGCACTGGAAACAGCAAAGGGATTAGTTTCCTCATTATCACAAGGAGCAGGGACAAGAGGCCGTTTGAATTTGAGTATGTTTATCATCATACACAATGTCATTGTTGAATCACTATTTCTATAGAGATCCCATTCTTCTATACAAGGAGGTCAGATCTGCTCAGAGGCCAACACATGTTCAACAGGACTACACTCAGGCTCTCTATCTGCAGGTCACCCCTTACACTGACTGAACACTAGTGAGTTGATTCAGGCATCATCACTTCACCCGATATCTTCGTACACAGACTCTAAATGAGCTGATCTGATACAAAGAGTTGGTTGTAGATTCTGCTGCTAAGGTTATATAAAATTTGTAAAAACAAGAATTTAGCACAGCTTGAAATTGAGGACTTTAACAAAAATCTATTCAGATAAATTCCTCGTACACTTTGTACAGTCTCACTTACATGGCACAGAGATATAAATGGCACCAAGCTGGGAACCAGATTTTTATGCAACCACGAGCAGTTTGTCTAAAGAAGGGCATGCTAATCTCCCTCTACTCTCCACATCGGTCTAATAAAAACTAGTTGTATACATTAAGTTAAAAAACAACTAGGAGTAGTTTTTTTTTTCTTTTTACGAATCTGTTCAGAGATCAGATTCGTTGCCTAAAATGGCATATCTTTACAGAGGATATTTTTATGGTCATAACTCAAGTATTTCACATGCAAATGCAAAAAGGAGACTCAGTGCACACACTCAGAATCCACATAAATATGCCACAGACACAATCACCCACGCTCCAGACAGACAGAGAGAGAGAGAGAGAGAGAAAAACAGCATGACCTACCTCGATGAGCTCTGGTCGCAGGTTGATGGTGCGCAGCCAGTCTTTTAAATGTGGATAGCTGTCCAAGGCCTCGGGCCTCTCTGTCTCTGGCACTTTCTGCTTGCACTGCAGCTGTTTACAGATGTATTTCATCAGCTTCACCTGCAGGGAGCAACAGAGAACACAGCTCAGAGGGGAGGGGCAGGTTAGAGGGGAGAGGAGTTGAAAAAGGAGGCTCTCACTGAGGAGGATCTCTCTCACACACACACACCTCTTTTTTCTCCATTTATTTAGGTGAGAGGAGACAGAAATTACACAGCATGTCCTCTCTAACGCCAGATAAGTCAGATAAGGAGCAATAACCCAGTTATTAATGCTCACTGGCTGACACTCTTTGCAACAAATCATACGCTATGATGGTTAACCTGATGATAAAAGTACTCCATACTAGCAGGAGTTTTTTTCCCTCCTCTCAGAACTCAATGTACCTACAGCAATTGTGATTCTGTTGTTTGTTTAACCCAATTTTCCCTCTGCCTTCAGTGCACAAGATACTTAATTAGATATGAGTAGCTATTATCATACAGAGGAACAATAAGCCGGTCATCTAATTGGAGCATCTGCACTGCTGGCACAGCAAACAAGTGAGTTTGGAGCGAGGGAAGCAGCTTATATCAGTGACGTAATGACAGTAGAAAATCCCACATGACTAGTCAATCTTGTAGGCAGAGTTATAGCACTCCCTTGTAATTTTTTTTATACATATTTCCGAGTAAGAATTGATCCAGATTTTACTTTTTGTCTTAGTCAAAAGTAAGTATTCATGAATCTAATCGTAAAGTGGTGGAGAGATGATTGAGGACAGAGTTACGCTTTTAAACATCAAGTTAGAAAACTCACAGTAGCCAAAGTCAACCCAACCTTTTTTCTCCCCAAGATTTGTTTTTAGGACTTTTGCCTTTATTTTGAAAGGATAGCTTGTGAGAGGGTCAAGAAATTCAGGGAGACAGAATAAAAATGCTTAATAATGCAGGGTGTAGCGACTGGTTTCCTTCAATAAAAAGGCCGCTGGGGTTTAGGTTCGCTTGCATCTGTGACTTGTTCAATTATCAGTCTGGTTTGAGTGTTAAAAAAAGGTAATTTATTGTTCAAAAAAATAAAGAAAACACACTGATCCAGGTCAAAAACTTTTGCCTTCAAATGAAAAAGTGATATGATGAAATGAGGTTAAAACGGAATGAGTGAAATGGTCAACAGAAAATTATCAGAGCTTACCACAACCCATTGTCTGACTACACCACTGAGATTTAAATAACCCGCCAAACATCCCAAAACCACACCCCTCAGTGACAATCCCCGGAAGTGACGTATCTATTAGGGCCCGACCGATTTATCGGCGAGCTGATTAAATCAGCCAATTTTAGCCCGTTTGAGACTAATCGGTAATCGGCCAAAACTTGCCGATTGTCGCAGATATTTTCAGAAATAAAATGCGGAGAAAAAGATTCGGTTTCACTTCGAAAATGTAATATGCGAACTAAAGTTAGAGTTAGCCACCTGCTATTAGCCTTGCTACACTGTGCCAGTAATGGTAGAATAAAAGACAGTACACGTGATCAAGCTACTTCTCTTACTAAAGCAGCTGCATGTCTACAGATGAGACGGGACTGGAAACGAGTAAAGTGAGTTAAGACGCAGAGGCACTGAACGGCGGCCGGGGTGGTGTAGTTGAAAACGCTTTTCTTGTCCGAGTTTTATTCGGGATAAATACATGGAAGATTACTGAGGTTAATGTTACTGAGAAGTGTTTGAAAGGCTCATAGGCAGCCATTTGTTAAAAAAAATAAGTAAATACGTTGATATATTACTTAAACTAACAAAATTTTAAAACTTTATAAAAATTTAAAAAATTGGCCGATTAATCGTTATCTGATTTTTTTCCTCCCTAATGATCAGCATCGGCCCCAAAATACCCATATCAGTCGGGCCGTAGTACCTATTAGAAATCTTATTTTCAACAAATATATTTTGGCTCCTACACTGGGACACGCACAATAAGAGCGGTAACCTCCGATCACATGTGTCTGCTCTGCCAACTGAGCTAAACTTGTGCATTTTAAAGTTTTCCTATCAAATGTGTGGAAACTTTGCTTCAATTTGTATAAATGGTGCTCAAGTTGAGAGTTCACGCAAAATTTGAGGGAAAATAAACCTCAAAAACTCTAAGAAAACCAAGATCAGAATAAAAAAAAAGATAAGAAAAAAAGATAGATAATATCTCAAGACTGTGTGTGACTTGATTGAAATCAACCTGGCTTTGGAAACGACAGTGTTACACGCCATAGCAATTAGAGGTTGCTGCACCATCAGCTGAGATGCCCCCACATGTTTATAAATTGATGAATCCAGTGCTTAATGATGTATTGACTGTATATTGTCTGTTCGAGCTATATAATTACATAGTTAGGCTGTTGTGGGTTTAGATTTCCATTGGCTTTAAATGATTGCATCTGCTAGTCAGCGCATTAATGACTAAAGTGAAGCCCTCGCTGTAGTGTCTCATGACAGTAGGAGCATCAGTTTCCAGAACAACCCAAACCCTCAAAAGCAAGACCTGTCACCGTCTCAGAACACTTAAATATTCAACAACATATAAAGCTGGGAGACTTTACCCCGGTGCTTCCCGAGCCAATGTCAAGTGCAGTGGTCCTGTGAGTAAGTATTACAATGAACACCCTGGTATTGGTTTGCAGCAGGCCGCGTTGTGCAGCTCAGTGCGGCCGTATAGTGTGTCTCCTTATCTCACAGTCTATCTGTAAGAGTCCATTACAGCAGGCAGCACCTTCAGATGAGCCGTGCGACACCAGCTAGCTCTCAACCTCGCCGCGCACCTCTCGAGTGCCTGAGCAACAATAGCGAGCGTGTGTCTTTTCTCCGCTCATTCAACTTTTTTTTTTCCTGACACATCTACTCACCAGCCAGACAGACACTCATACAACCACGCTGCTCTCAGAAAAAAAAGTGTGGCCTTGGGATGTTAAAAGGCTGCTTCGTGGGAGCCAACAAAAGCATCTCCACTGTGGGCCGCAGAGATGAAAGAGGAGAGCGATGGAGAGAGGATGGAAAGGATGTAAATGCTCTAAGTGTCGACTCTGGCTGCAGCTTTTTAGCTCGAGAAATTACTCGTCAATCAGCTGCACTGAGAGCAATATCAAATGGTTAAATGGCATGCATTATTCAATGCAAACCAATAAAAAACTTTTGAAGACTTGAAGCAGGGACTTGTCATGAAAGTAGAAAGTTAATACCCTGTGAGAAACATGCACACACCCTAAGTGCAAACACTCAGACTTGACATGCTAATGCCAACACAAAACAAACGCTTCGAAAAAGTCAAACATTTAAGAATTCAACTGTAGAGTTTGAACTGTCTTCTGACTGCAAAGACCTTTTTCAGCAGAGAAAGACATACGTTCCATCTATGCAAAGACATACACAGATGATGTAGTGGAGGCTGCGTTACGTTAATAAATTTCCCTGAGCTCCTATCAGCCGACTGAGTTTTGAATTTATGTAGGTCTGTTCTCGCACGACCAGCAGAAAGAGGCCTTTACTTGATGTGGCTAATGAGTTAGCCTACAGCTTCACCTCCCTACACACCAGTGCAAGGCTATGACGTAAGGTTACCTAGCAACCCCTCTTCTGAGTCGTCAGCAACATTTCAGTGGGATTTTCCCATACATGTGAAACCCAGACACAAATCATCTCCACATGCAAATTCACCACAAACAATATCTGCAGTAGCAACAACATGACCTCAATTTTTATCTCTACTCACATGCAAAGCCTTGACTCGACCTATAACTGCCCTAAATATATGGATAGGTAGATAGGTAGTTACGCAGGTACACACACACACCCCTAAATCCCCCTTTGATTGTGTTGGGAGCACACACATGAACAAAAATACAGCAACAACATCCCCAGTGCGTATTTTTTTTTTCAGTGCAGAGTGGAGAGAGCAGCATTTGACGTGTGGCCTGGAGGTGGGAGGAGGGGGAGGAGAATTGGCGTCAGAGCCCACCTGTCAGTAGAGCTAAACAACACCATGGCAACGGCCTAATGCTGCGAAGACATGAGTGACAGCCTGTGTGTCAGCCGCTAGAGAAACAGAGCGAGCGAGGGAGAGAAAGAGAGAGAGAGAGGAGAGGAGAGGAGTCCCAGCAGCGGCCTGCCTGACACAGCAGACTTGGGGAGCAGATCCCACTGCTCCAATTGTTTTCTCAAGGCTCTTGCTGACGCGGCCACTTTGGCGCACCTGCCAAGGATAGCACGGTCTTTCTGAGAGCTAAACGACAAGGCTCTATAGCAGAAATTGATATTTGCACAGGAAGGTCAGAGCATTTCTTCCTTTAGACTAAAAAAGCACACGTTTCATGTTAACAGAAGAGGTTCAGTGAAGACGAGTCGATCTTTGAAGTCGCTCTCTTGTTATATTTGCTAAATGGAGAGTAAAGTTGAAAACATCTTTGACAAACATTAGCTTGAGAGTACAATCTAAGACAAATGCAACTGGAGAGAAACAATGGAAGTAATACAGATTATCTCAGACCTCTAACCAATATGGTCAAATTAGATTACACAGTTTGAAGGGGGTAGGTTTCCCGTCATGTTGCAACCACCTCTTCCTTAAACGAAGCTCTGTGAGTATTTTGGTAACCAAGGAGATCCTGACTGTTTCTGGAGTGTTTTCAAGTTTTAGGTCATCAACAGTTCAGGCTGGGTCTCCTTTGTCATCATTTCTGTGTCCTGATGCACTAAATGTTTCGAACAGCTGACAGGTCAGCACTGCAGGTGGGCCAGTTTAGGACCAGAATCTTCATGCAAAAAAAACTTTTGGCATCTTCTTGCTGTATTATGCAAGATCTTTCCTGAAAACTGTATCATCTGGATGGCAGCACATCTTGCTCTAAAACGTGGATACATTGTTCAGCATTAATGCTGCCTTCCCAGATGTGTAAGCTACTTTTGCATTTCCAACCATGCATGCTGATAATCATCCCGGAGGTCCCTCTTTTCTTTCAAGTGGAGGATGTGGTGTCTATGATTTCCAGAAAGAATATTAAACTATGATTCATTGGACCACAATTTTCCACTTTGCCTCTGTCTGTCTTTAATGGGCTCAGATGGGATCATGTTTATACATGGTTCCCTCTTTCAAGGTACGTTCTAGATGCAGCAAGAGATTTTGTTCACAGATGGTGGTTTTTAGATGTGCTTTCCACTTTGGTCTTGTCTGTTTTTAAAGCACTGACACTTAAAAGGCCTGAAGATCCTGGTCATCTAAGTGTTGGTGTCTGGGATTGTTGGTTTTTTTTGTGAGATTTCTCCAGATTCCCTAAATTTTACACTTAAGAACTTTATTCTGGAATCATTAAACCATTTGCTCACCCATGGTGTGTCCCAAATTGCATACTTCCATACTAAATACTTAAAATTTTGAGTATACTCAACTCAAAATGGAAAAAAGTATGGACAGTATGTGAAAATTGAGTAGGCAAAAGTACCCCGGATGACGTACTCAAATCGGTCAAGATTTTGAGTACCCGACTGTGGACACTCGCCACACTCATTTCATCAGCAAGAATGGCTGCAGACAGCTGTGGTGCCAGTGGGTCGGCGACAGTCGACCTGGGAGCTTTGTACAGATGTAAGTAAGTTGCCTTTTACACATGTTCTTTCCACCAAGCACCGCCAGTGTTTATTTTCAACATCTCAGATATTGTTTTTTCACTATTTTTGACTAAATAAAGAGTTTAAATGATTTGCAAATGATAAAATTCAGTTTTAAATTAGCAGCATTTAGACTTTTATAGGATTGGGGTTGAAGTTTAGGTTCATTGGTTGATGGAAGCTCCAGTAAGAACAGTTTATGACATTGCGTGTGGCATGACAGCTTGAAAAAAAATTATTCAAATTAAAAGCAAATTTTAATGCTGCTATCAAGGAAGCATTTCAAACAGGATCATGCAACTGAGCCATGGTGAGCAGACTGGTGCACAGCTGCAACCTCACATCAAAAAAGGCTAAAATTTCCAAAGACAAAAGCACAATGTGGTCAGCGAGTCCTTGTTTTGCATGGACCAGGTCACTTTGGCTCTTGTGGGGAGGCCAAACGTACACTGTTGACAGTCCAAGACAATAGCCTTCTGCCCCTCCTCCATCATTGTTACCACCAGTGCAAGTTGACCCCTATACTGGGCAAGAGAAGGGGGGTGGGGGTTGAGGAGGTGATAGATAGCATGGCCTCCAGCTCTCTGTAGTAAGGTTGTACAAGGTTAGTCACAGCCCACACACAAACACACACACACACACCATACACGTAGGCAGAGCAGAACCTTAGCCAAGTCTATGTTATCTACTGTCTGACATCTTCAAGAGTGTTAATGTGGTGTGAGTAAAATACACCAATAGGCCTCCAATGACATCAGGAAAATAAACCATGTGTGGTTAAATCGTTAGATATTGCAAAATTGAGATGGTGTGTGTGTTAGTGTGTGTGTGTGTTTGCCGAGTCATCTTCCCTAAAACAGAAAAAGACATGCTAATATTTTCTTTCCAGGATTACCACCAATTTTGTTTTCCTTGCCTTCGTCTCCTTCCACAGCCTTTAGCCAACTGTGCAGTACTAATTAAACTGTTTCCAACCAAGATGAAGGTAGCTGAAATCCAACTTGGGCCTCTTCTGATTGGTTAAATTGTTTGTACGCATTGACCATGTATTTGAGGCTCATTCTGCTGGGTCAAATTTTCCCAAGCAAAGTTACGTAGTACTTGGAAACTGTACTGAAAACACAAGTGTGGTTAGTTTTATCCCCATAGTAACCTCTGCCATTATTGTAGAAAGTTTATCGTACAACTACAACTACTGCTTTTTGATTTGGATTGGTAAGTGATGGAGATGTGACAGTAGCATGACCAACGACTGAACTTTTGTGTCAATTTTGGCGCCCCCTGTGGACAAAGCAGCCTTTGTTCATCTTGTCCTCCACATGCTAGAGTAGTGTCTTTTGACATAAATTTCATCCAGCTGACTTTTTGACGGTCAAACATATATTCAATTGTAAAATTTTTATGTGGAAATTGTGCAAATATGGCTGTTTCTTCAGCTGCAAGACATTAAAAATTAGGACATAAAAAACTTTGATCTTGTCTCTGACAGTTTTTTTTTCTCTTGGGTGTCATGAAAAGGCACAAATATAAGTTTCAGTCTCAAAAATCTAACTATATTTAAGTTGCTAAAAGTAGGGGCCGACCAATTAATGGGCGAGCTGATTAAATCGGCCAATTTTTGCCCGTTTGAGACTTATCGGTAATGGGCCAAAACAAAATTTTTGCCGATATTTTAGAGTTAGCCACCTGCGATTAACCTTGCTACACTGTTAGCCGTGCCAGTAACGGTAGAATAAACAACAGTACACATTATGTGATTGAGCTACTTCTCTTTCTGAAGCAGCTGCATGTCTACAGATGAGACCGGACCGGAAAAGTGTAACGTGAGTTAAGAGCGGAGGCACCGAACGGCAGCGGTAACTTCATAAAGAAATTTTAAAAATCGGCAGATTAATCGGTAATCAGATCCCCCCTCTCTAATAATCGGCATTGGCATTGGCCCCAAAAAATCCGTATCGGTGGGGCTCTAGCTAAAAGTCATACTTCAGTATAAACTGTAATATGTTACCGTGACCAAACTACTGATTATTACAATTTTTAACATAAACAGACAAACACATCTTGCTAACTTCCTCATTGTTGGAGATGGGGCAAGCACCCCCTCCCCCGGCCCCCCTATATTTTTCAGTCAACAAGCAAAGGAAACCTAAAAATGACATGATGTAATGCAACTGATCCTGAGTCAGTTTAGGACTAGAGTAAGGCCTGCACACTACACTGTCCTACAGGCCTGATTTCCACATCATTCTTATTGACTACACCACCGGTACAAAAAGGAAACAGACAGGGTCCGCGTTGCTACACAGCTGGGTTTCCTCTATACTTTCATGTGAGAAACAGTCTCCATTGTCTTCTCCTAGGCCTCCAACAGATCCACACATGTGCACACACACACACACACACATGCAGCGGTTGTCATGTCATCAGAAACAGCCCAGCGGATTGGCTTTGATTCTCCCCTCCCCTTTCCTCCCTGCTCTCTCCTCTTGCACAGGCTCTTTGCGCGTCATTTGATTTTCTTATTTAACAACCAACCCTGAAAATGCGTAGGAAGAAAGATATCTAAATATAGATGCAGCCACAACAGCTCGCACCACGAGCACGCAGCAAACTCTCTCCATCACCGTGAGGAGACAAAACAGAGTGACGCTTTGCTGTTTGCTGATCATGACTGAGAGCAGTGATTAGAAAGATAGGATGGTGAAGAGGTTTGTGTGAGGATTTAGAGAGATGGATAGATATCCGGCAACATTTGACACTTGTTTAAGTTTAGATAAGACACAGCCCATGAGCAAAACACTTAAGTTCTTCTGTTTATAGGATGCTGTGAGGTCATTTCTCTAAATGTTTGGCTCGTGCAGACAGCTTTGGACCTGGTTTCAAAAACCCGCTGAGTGGATACAATCAAGTAAAAGCCAAGAAAACATAAAGAGTTACTGTAAAATATCTGGGAGGCAGCATGGGAGGCAGAGACCAGACTGAGTGGGATAAACATGTGAAAAGTGAAGTACCAGTTAGCACTCCATTTGAGAGGCCAGTATCATTATCCTCTCACTGGCAAGGCAGAAAAAACACACACAGTGTAAGTGGAATAATAAAGCTCTCTCAATGAGAGTATAAAGCGAGTTCAAGCCTCTCTCGACGGCACTTCAGTGCAACGTGGGAGCGTTTGCACCACAAGTGTGACAACTGCTTTGACCTCACATGCTTCGCTCAAATTCATCACATGAATTAAAGTAGCTCAAAGCTCTGGTGGTAATGACATCCAGCATGTAGAGCCACTTCTGCTGGAAAGTCGTTTGAACAAGTGATCAGTTGAACACGATGGGAGCAAGGGCCCGCAGATTTTTAGGATGTCCTGTAAATGTCTAAGAAATATACGACAGCAAGGATCTATCAAGCAAATAAAACCCCCCTGACTAACTCCCCGATCTGCTGACTTTAAATAACCGTGGCATGTGGCAAGTGATATCTCAAGAAATGCTAAAGCGAGAAGTGAAAGCGCACACTTATGGCAACATGTGGTTTCAAAACAGCGTGCCAGTAAAGACATAGGAAGTAAGACTGCTGATTGAGGCAGTGCCCCGTCCCCTTCCAGCTTGACTTGCTTCAAGACATGTGGACAAAGCTTCCTGGCAATAACACACACAGCTTCATTCTTAACTAAACATTATGAAGAGCCAGACAAGCTGATCTAAAAACCCTCTTTCATTAGATAAAACTCTCTCTTTTCTATCATCCGCTCACATGGTACGCCAAGGCCAAGGACGCCTGAAAAAGAGCGACTGTAGAGCTTGCAGGCTGGAGTTAAAAATTGCAGGATATAATATCATGAGTTTCAAAAGGCAAGAAGTAACATTTTTAAAATTTAATACATCACAGCTGTCATTTTCAAAGCGCATTACTTGAATGGTTGCTGTATGAGCTCTTGAGGAGTTATACAAATACTACAAAAAGGACAAATTAAGAAGGATTACGATTAATGGCAGACCCAAAAAAATAATAAAGGTTCAACCTCAAAGTCAAAATTAGTTTAAAATCTACATTCTTTTATTGAACCTCTGCAGAATAATCTTTAAACTAGGATAATATCTACACAACTGACAAAAATTGCGCCTAAACCTGATAGACTTAAATCACTGCTTTATCAGTGCTGCTGTTGCATTATGAGACAAACAGGACGTCACTATTTCAAGGGGGATTTTCTTGAAGTTTTGAACTGAGCTGTAATGTTTTCAGATAAGTGAGTGAAATTCAAAGTCGCAACCTATATTTACTTTGGACTTTACAAAAGTCAAAATAGCTGTGCCAGGAGTCATGGGTGAAAGGTACTGCCTCAAAGGGTTGTAAATGTACCATCCAGGCCACATTTGACTGCAATGACTGTGCTGGAAATCACCAAGTTTTCTCCAGATCTTAGATAAAACAAACCTCAAGGCTATGATTGTCTTTAAAGCAGAAGTAACCAGACCAACTATTTCTACTTTTCATTATGAGGGATTATGAGGAATACCCCCTTTGATAATCGCCTCTGACCACAGGAAAAAGACCTCAGATCAGTTTTTAGGGCCTTGAAGAAACATGTGAGACCGGCACGGCTGGCCTATTGTCGTGCAGAACAATGCCGGGGCATGACAGCGTACCTCAGGAAGTACTCTGCCAGATCACGTCCTGTTCCGCGCAGTGAGGTACGCCTGACAGCATATACATGTATGCAAGCCATGAGTTCAACTTCAAATTTTAAAACTCTTCAACCATTAAAGAATAACATGTGAATTAAAAGAGTACAAGTACGGTACATTGGGGGCAAAAGTCTTTTTCTTACTGCAGTTTAGGGTTAAATCCACATCTTCAAACACAGACTGATCTTTTCTGGTTTCTATTTCAGTTAATACTTTGAATTTTTCATTTAATACTGGGCTTCTGTACTTGAGCCTGTGAAAATTTGTTCTCACACAGTGGCCTGCCAACTTGCACTTGATGCCTGCCAGCGACTTACAGAGCTTCAACATTATTTGTAGACATTAATATTCTGAAAAATGAGCAAAAAGCTGCTCTGAAAAACAGGCCTGCTCTGTAATATCACCACTCTTTTGAGGTATATACTTTTTCTTTTGACTTTGATACAACCCTCACAAAAAGATCTTTTAGCAGGCGACAGTTTTGGACTACCTGTCCCGACAGTAAAAGGATTACAGAAACATAGCATGTTGCTTTAAAGAGTTACTTTCTTCATTATCTAGTGTCCACTCTGAAGGTCACCTGAAAACCAGTTGAGCCAGGCTGCATTGTGCAGCTGTATGGCTGAAACTAAATGCTCTGAGCTGTCTGGAACATTAGTTTATAGGGGCAACGGCACAATTGTTCAGGGGGTGTTTGGTTATACAGAAATAAAACAGACATGGATAATTGATGGCCACTAGCCAATCAGGAGTGAAGACTCTTTTTATCCAAGGTATAGTGTTTAAATAAACCATGAAGCAGAAAGCACATTTATCATCTATCATATCTCAAGACTAGTGTCTGAGCGTCTGGAGCCGAAACCAAAGACCCATTAATCTACCTTCTACAAGTTGAAAACTGTAGGCATCCACTTTGTGCTTTTCCATTGTTTTACCCCCACTCTATCTTATCAAAATGTACTGTATCAGCCCCCTCTTCCTATCAGCCTGCTCAGCAGAAGCAGGGCCTGTTGTCCCCTTATGGCATTGTTACTAACAACATGAAAGCTGGTCTTTCCATGACACGATTCCTTCAGTCTCCTCGCAGCTGAGAATTTTACAAAAACAATATGTGACTGTAAACATCCCATGGGTGGAAACACGAAGGCTTGGGACAGAAAATCCCCCTTACAAATGGCACTATATCTTTCAGATTAATTGAGTAAAAATGCATATTTAAAAGAATGAACAAGCTCTGAAACACTCCAATCATAATCCCACATTTTCCAGAAAGAGTAGTTTATGTTTTGCATCTAAAATTTCTAAAAGAATCCAAAGTAAAAACACCAAATGCATCCTGTGCTGATGCATACATGCATGCTTCCAGGCATGACTTCTTTGTAATGCTGCCTACTATAGTAGGGCATGCTGATGAGGCCCTACAAAGCCCTGGCTCTTGCGCACAGCAATGTCAAGTCATCCCAGCACGCCTGAACTGAATCTGCATCCAGATGCAGGAGAGAACAGCGCGTGCATCCACCCTGCCTGCCTGCCTGCTGACGTTTGGGTGACGGATAAACACAAGGAACACGTCGTACATTTACGTTTTGTATTTGCACTGCATGCCCTGTGTACATAGACGAAAATCCTGCACAAAGGAACAGAACACGGGAACATAAATAATAGCAGCATCAGATTATTGAATGTGTGCCATTAGGCCAGTCTGGATTCAGCTGCACACCGCCGTAATGTGAAGTATCCGAGGGGCTCCTGACTAATATTCCTATCTAGATAAAGAGGTCACACAAATATCAGAGCTATTTCTACCGTTTATGGGTCGTCTAGAAAAAAAAATGAAGTCCCAAGCACAAGAGGGAACTTGAATACCATTTAAAGTCATTTTTATCTCAATGCGTCGACCCAGTTGTGCAAAATATACACTAAGATAAAAAAGGACACCTCGCTTGCAGCCAATTTTCAGCCACTATATGAGGCGGACAGTGTTTGGGCTTCATGACTCCGCAATTTGACTACAAGGTTTCTCTACCGCAGGACAGGATTCAGGCGAAACTGCGAAGCTCTTTACCTCTAAAGTGCGGATTTCTTGCTGTGTGAGGTCATTGGACGCGGCGCATTTGGTCCGTAGCCCCTGTAAACTGGAGATGGAGATTTCAATCATATTCTGGATGAGTTCGCATTGATGTAGTGCGGCCATCGCTGCGCCACCGCCGCCGCCGCCACCGCCGCCACTATCCCTCTCCGGCTGCTCATCACTCTCGACCATCTTCCCACCGTTAGCAGACACACTATCCATTCCTCAGCATTGGGCACGGCTGGAAGGGCTGGAGTCAAACTGTTAAGCTCAAATACAACATATGCAGCAGTCCCAGCGACGCAGCGACCTATTGTGGAAGTTAGCTGACAGCAAATGTCCCCTGCTCCCAATGTGGAGAAGTCAGGATGCTAACGAGGAAAAAAAAACTGTTCAATAAAAACTAAATTCTCGGCCGTAACCTGCTTCGTGAAGCTCGTCTGAGTCCACTAATGCGAGAGCTGTATTTTCAGTTCGTTTACGCTAGCGACAAGAGGTTACTCTCTTCCCACCGACAGCTCTGGCAGAGGCTTTCACCGTCTGTCAGCTGTTGGGAACATCATGGAGCGCGGTGCACTCTGGGAAATGAAGTCCGTCAAACGGGTAACAGAAACTGCTCTTCCCGCTACACCCCTCCAACCTCGTTTATAGAAGTAAATCTGTGCCATCTGATTTTTAATTTAAATTTCTGAGGCTGATTTTTTTTTTTTTTGCATCAAAATCAGACTTTGAATATCAACACAATCGAATTTCAAGCACGCTTTTTTTATTTTTGGCATGTTTTTTAATCACAGTGATGAAATAAATTCTGTGTAAAGTTCCTTACACAACAGGAGCGTATTTTCGTGCAATTATTTCGGACGTCAATATTCATTTTGGAACTCGTATCATGACAATACAAGCGTTCACATCAGCAACGTTTTCCCGTCGTGCGATATTGCGGCATTTATTTTTTGTATCGTGGTTGAATTTTCCGCTTCTGACCATTCAGATTTCGTGTTGTTGCGGCATCAGATTTACCAGTATATCCAACATGGCCGACTGGCTGATTGTGTACGTGTCTGAGAACAAATTGCTTTTTGATAAAAAATACAAATATTACAAAGATAACGACCTGAAGGACAACTTGTGGAGAGTCATAACAGCGGATTTCTCATATGACGATGGTTTGTGTGCTTTAACAGTTTGCTAAACGTCTTTGTTTTAGGTTTCATTTGTGCTAAGTAACTTTAGCTCGTAAGCTAACCTGTTCAGATACAAAATACCATATGTATTTTCACTGTCCCATTGCATTGCTGTCACAGCACCATTAGGTCTCGGTTGTTGCCTTACGTTTATGAATTATAGTTTATTGTGCTTATCTGGTACTGGCCACGACTCAGTACATGCTATCATGACAGACAGCCATCTCAACACTATTGTCTAATCAGAACTGAAAAACAGTCAGTCTGGTGTTGTGTCAGTCTTCTGCTTCTGTTTTTCCCCCCGGAAAGTGGCAAAATCACATCGCGCTTGATGCATATATTCAGGTGCGTCAAAATTTGCCTCCAAATATTTCATAATTTCGCATCATATATTTGCGTCGTTCCCAGTGTGTAAGGACCTTAATTAAAGAAAGGCCTCTCAAAAATATTCATTTAGTAAAAATTTGACTTAAAAAAACAGTGTAACAAAAATTTAACATAAAAAAAATTAGTGTTAAATAATTCAGGTCATGTGGCACAGACCCTAGTGGAAGATTGAGTCCAATCGATTGCTTCTCCCTGGTTACCTAGATGTTGAGTCAGTCTCTTTTACACTGAATTTTTTTGACACTAAATTATATGACACTAAATATTTCTTTTTATGTTGAATTTTTTTTACACATTTTTTAAAGTCGAATTTTCACTAATCGAATATTTTGAGAGACCGTTTTTTTTTACACCAAACTTATTCCGTCATTGTGAAAAAAAAATAGTGCCAGAAATAAAAATATGTGCTTTAAACTTGATGGTTTTGAAATTCAAAGTCTGATTTTGATACAAAAAATTTCAGCTTTAGAAATTCAAATTCAAAATCAGATGGCACAGATTAACTTCCATACTCACTCACCCTTTCAAACACAAACACTAATGCAAAGCTACCATAATTACTGTTTTAGACAATCACCAAAGCAATCTTTGCAACGTTGCTAAGAAAGATTAACTCTAAAAGTTTTTGCACCATTTACAAAAAGTGATAACGGGAAAGTACAGGTGTAATTAATTTCATTTATTATTACAAACTGCATTCTATTAAAGTGGTTCAGTTTGATTCCTGCTTCCTAAAAACAAAGCAGACTTCAAAAGTACAATGAGGTAATATGATTAGGCTATATAAAGGTATACGGATCTGTATTACTGGGGTAATGTGAGGAGTCCCGGATCTGTGCACTCCTCTTCCTGCCCCACTAGTTATTGTTTGGCCTTTTCAAGCAAAAGGCAAATGCTAAAAATAAAGGTTAATTTTCTTTTATTTTTGTGCTTAAACTTGTAGTATTTTAAACACAACTAAACTCACAATTAACCCTGTCCGCCTGAAATCTTTACAGTAAATAACTCTAACCTTACTGTGACTGTTTTAAGCTTTGCTCTGCTATGTCTAAATGTGAAAATATGATATAAAGACTTGAAAGAATTGCCTGGTACAGCACCTGCACACAAAAGTGCTTAGACGCTTGGCAATGCAGGTGTAGCTTTTGGCTTCAGTTTGAACCCTAAATACATGGTGCTGAGAAAAAGATATGCATCATAACGCTCACTGAACACTACAGAGGTTTTAGGTTATGATTAATAGACGGTAAGTACTTGAAGGGTATTATCAAAGTTACAATCTGTGATTAGTGTACAGTCCCATCCCCACCCTGACTATCCAGGTCCACATAGTTGACATTCCACTTGCATGTAGAGTGTACATGGTCTGCATTCAAATGCACAGTGTGCACTTTCCACAATGATGTGATAGTGTTTGGAGTCAAAAGGCTGCTGTACACCTTTAGAGTATAATTGACCTGGTATTCTCTTTTTTTTTTTTTTAGTTTGTTTTGATGCAACCACAAGCAAAAAAATTATAACCTGATATATCCGATTTTGTTTCGTCCAAATATCTGTTTTTTTTCCGCTTAAGCATAACTGTTTCTGAGACTTGCAAATGTGCAAATGAAGCCTTGAAATGAACAGAAATATTCCTGTTTGACAGATCTCAACAGTGATGACACTCGCTTTAACCTCAAAAACAAGCTATATAATCTGTTCTTGTATCATCAAAGTGCCGCTCATATACAAGAGGGTTCGAGGACTGTGCAGTTTTCCAACAACCGTGAAGCAACAGTGCACATGGCTCATTGCTGCAATGAGGGTGTGATGTTCCTTCCTTTAATATACCCTGATTATACAATTGAACGTGAGTCACTTCTCATGGAGCCGTGTGTTCCTCCTCTCCATCTGTCTATCTGTCTCTTCGTCCTCTAACTACTTGAGAAACTGTACACAGGCCAGACAAGCTCCGATCCAGCCTTGTATGATCACATATAGGAATGAGAGTGGAAAAAAACAAAGACAAGAAGAGGCCTGGGAAACTTCACAAGGACTAATCCAGTTGTATCAGTGTTAAATTAGCTTAAATGTATCTCTGATAACACTGAAAATTGGCATTGGAGTTGTAAGTCCATCTAACACGTCTGTAACAAAAGAACAAAACAATTACTTGTTGTGGGTCCAGGACTTTCTGTACTAACAGCACAGATTTGAGGGTGACATGCCAGCAGGTTTCTCTGCCAAATTTCAGCTCATTTTTACTTTAAAATCAAGTTACAGTTACAGCAACAGTTAAATCACAGTAAATGATGGCCTAAAGAGATATTAAATTTAAGATAAACACAATTTCTCTAATCCAACTTCTGTGCAGCGATTAGGGGAAACATGAACAGTGCTTTGATATTAATGTACAAACAGAATGAATTATAAGAATACCAAATAAGTAAGGTGCATGAGTGTTTTCATTTTGTTCAATGTGATAGAGGCTTATATTTTAACAATGTTGCTTAACTCAACATACTGAACAAAATAGAATCTTGCAACTTATTTATGCATAAATTGAAACCTCCTGCGTGCAATCTGTCTGTAAATCACACTATTTTTCTTGAAGAAGTGGTTAGGTCAATAACAGCTTAATTATTCAGTCCACATTTTTCACAAGATGTGAAAGCCACTTATATCTCATGTAATCCAAACTCCTATGAGTATCAAAATAAAGACTTCAAGTATATCTCATAACAAATATGCCATCGCCTCACCATTTGTTTCTTCTCCCTTCTGTGTGGTCCATGTCGCCTGCAGTGCTTTCCAAGAGTTCATTTTCCCATTAGTTGAAATTTGAGCATCACTAACCTTTGCTCAGTAGTAAATTATCTGAGTATGCAGAAGATCCAGTACCTGTAATATATGTAAAAAGAACTATCATGGGCAATGTGCAGGTTCAGGCACTTGACAGCTTGCTGATGGGACTCCGTTGGCTGAGCAGGATCCTTTCCCTGCCTGACGCTCCCTTAAGCCCTTTAAACTGTTTTGCTATTGGACAGCCAAGACAACACACGTAGCACAGGGCTCATGACTTGGGATTAAATTAGATTGTGGGGAGTCTGATTCCATCTTGTTTGCTGGCCAGGATTTCCAGGAGCTATCCCTTCAGGTCTTGGGAGGTTAAGGGCCCGGCAAGAGCATTGAAGACAAGCAACCTTTGTCCTACAGTCTCGAAAATGAGTTGAATACATATCTTAATACTGGACAAGCTTTTATGGAGCTGATTCAAATACATATGCTGTGGTGTTAGCTATTCATGATATTTATGGTATGTGCCAAACAGTCATTGGATGTTCCTCTGGGTTTGTACGTCTGCAGAGATTTCTTACCTCAGGTGAAGACTTGGCAGCAGCAACACAATTCTCCTGTATTGTATATTTATTTTAAATTTTATTTTTTAAATGTATTGTATTACAAAATATATTTCCTGATGCTTACATTTGTATTCATTGTGTAAAATTTAGAGATGGATTCAACAGTGATATGATCAAATCTTCCCTTGAACATAGTTTCTACATCAAGGTGCAATATGTTTGTGTTTTAAATAAAACTTAACAACTAAACAAATATGTAAATGACACATTAAAAGAAACTGTATTTTTTTTTACATGCAAGGCTTTTGATCATTGTATTAAGGTGCTTTTTAACTGCAGGAACTTTCCCCAGGAACTAGGGACCTTCCCCAGGAACTGTGTGCGTCTTGACCTCAGGAGCTCGGGTCTAAATTTAGTTCTGGTGTACAAGATTTACCCCTTAAAAAGTCCCTGCTCAGGGGGTAGTATTTTTTAATGGTCCCTGGACTTTGGGGGGGAAGGACTTGATGATTTCATTTTCATAGAAAAGGTCTGCAATTTACATATAAATACTGGCTGCACAGACACACACTGAGGAGGTAAGATGGATTCTGGATTATATCCTACAAAACCTGATGATATCTGAACAGTAAAAGTACATAAATTATGACTATGTGTTTGTACATCTTTCCCAATATCAGGGATGCTATTGGGTGTTACAACTATTTTAAGGGTTAGTCTTATCAGGGAACAATCTTATATATAAGCAGGTATACAATTTACATATAGGCACCAGCTGAGCATAGAGAAAATTAAACAAGTATATGTACCAAACAACAATAATGAAAGAGCGCATATTTCCTCTTACTGGTTGTTACTGAATAATCAAAAAGAGCTTACCTGACAGCTTTTTTGTAAAAACAACAACAAAAAAAAAAAAACACCAAACCAAAACAACAAAAATCCACACAGACTCCAGAGAAGAGTAGCTTAATTCCCTGGATTCATTGGCCTGAATTGCACTATCTACCCTGAACAAACTCCAGGCCCCTGATGGAAACACAGACAACAGTGGGCCGCAGGAACCATTTAGTTCTTCCTAAAGTCCCTGTAATTCAAAGTTCTGAGTGCTTTTGGTCAAACAGCACTCTCAGACAAATTTATGTCCAATAACTCTACATGTCGTCTACATGAGAAACTTCCATGTTCAAGGTTTTAGATTTCCCCAGTACTGGAGCAATTTAAATATTAAAAAGTCAAGAAACCTTTTTTTTTTGCTGGAACAGTCATGCATTTGAGAGAGCACCAGCATGCTTGTTTGCGCATCGTATACTGTTCATTTTGATCTATTTAATCAAAGTAAGTTTTGATTTAGGTTCAGTCATTTACTAACCCAGCCAGAAAGGGACTGTGACTTTGCTCAGTCCTTTATAGATCGGATCAACTGCACCTAAATAAGTTGTAACAAGGCTTGTATAGTAGTAGTAGTAGTAGTAGTAGTAATAATAATAACAACACATGCAGCTGGAAAATAGAGATGCACAAAGAGACAACTGGGCCTGCAAGAGAAAGAGGTGCTGGGAACATACTGCTGCTTGAACACTTTAGCTCTGAGGTATTTAAAAAAAAAAAAAAAAAACATTAAACTTTGTTGTTAATCTTTCTGTTGTAATCTCAGCACATTTGACTAATCAGATATAATTGTAAAAACTTACATAAAAATTGAGGTAACCACCTGAACTGTCACAAGGAGACATTGTTCTCTTCAGTCACTGGATCCTGTTGTCTTCTAATGCCACCCTATGAAATGTGAAAACCACACTATGTTACTAAAAAGTTTATTCAAACCCCCACTGTGTGTGTCAGTCTGTTTGTGGAGGTAGAGCGCTCTGAGACCAAATAGACCTTAAATGGCCCATTACAATGAAAGATGCATGGATAACACCATCTGCTGGACAACAAGGTACTGCAAAACACTGCAACAAAAAAAACTTGATACAGCTCTCAAGGAAGGTAAGCTGTTTGTATTTGTTAACAAAATTTCTTTCCAAAAAAAAAGAAAAAAAACAACGACAGCACATCAGCTGCCTGTCTGCTGTTCAGTGAACAAAGTTGGCCAGCTGCACAGGTAAGAAAATTATTTGAAAATGTTAATTCAGACACACAGCTTAATTTGAATTTGAATTCTCATACTCGCCATTGTAAGCAGTCACTTGCACTGAGGCTTCATTCAACAAAAGATTAAAATCGTCAGTCATCCAAAGTCCTGAATATATAGTACTGTTCACTATAACTTGTATAAAACAGTAGTGTCATTTCAAACATGTAGCTGTGGGGCGTGTATAATGAGTTTAAGTAGCCCAAAGTATCAAACAGGTTAAGACTGAATCGTAGCACACATTAGTTTGCTTTAAAGATGTGCTTCTCTTCAACTTGCGTCAATGCTTTTATTTTGTAGGACTGTGGAAACATCTTTTGGGTTTGGCTTTGTGAACAGATTGTTCAAGCACTGTAAGGTATCGCAGCTATGTGTTGAAGTTCTTATAAAACTTCAAACATGGAAACTGTCCACAAAGGTTATCCTGTAAGACTTGTACATTTCTTGGGTTTCTCTACAGCGGATTTAACTTTTTTTAATGATGCTGGAGGTTTTTTTTTTTTTTTTGTTAAATATTTTGTGTGCAAATAAAAAACAAAAAAAAGTGATTTTCAGTTGTATCATTAAAAACACAGAAAAAAAAACATTTGATAGTTTTCTTTTATTTAGACAACCCAAATAAAAGGCACATAACATTGCGCATGTTTATGTAATAATTTGACAAACATACATTTAAAAAAAATGTAGGAATGTTTGACCTTTCTGCTAATCAGAAAGCCTAGCCTCTCATATATACAAAATTACCATTGTTAATGTTCTAATACAAAAGATTTATAAAAAAGGTTATTCATCTTTCACATCTATCGTAACTACCTTATCCTTGGAACTAAAATAGTTTTGTACAAAGATATACATTCAACTGCTTTCACAAGGGTCCTGGAATTTCCAATTATCTTTTTTTTTCCTTAAAAATAAAGAGATGTTCAATTCCACATGAAATGTTCAGTTCATCACATTATATTGTATCAAATTTGGCAAACAGGCTATCATAGTGTATCTACTTAAATGCATAAGAACATGAAAAATAAAATAAAAAGCTACACTAACATTTTTGTTTCAAAACAAAACTTGGGAAAATGACAAACATGCATATTGCATTTCTCAGTTATACACTGAATCAACTCCAAGAGCTGCAACACTGTTCTTCAGATAACATGGCATTCTTAAAAAAATAATTCATGTTCAACAGCTACAGTGTTTGGGGTCATGCAACATCAATATTGTCCCATTTTTTCCTATGGGCACAAACTTGCATTTCATCAAACTCTTTCAGATCGCAGCCACTTTTCCTTGCGGCCTGGAACTGAACTTAAGGAAAGGTCAAAAGTTACAGCATGTATGCCATTGCACAGTACATGATTATTTCAATGGACGGCTATGTTTTAAAATCAAATGCTGGACTTCATGTCCCTGTTGGAAGTCTAGTCAAGTCTTCTGATGCCAAATGATTAGGAAATCTAAAAAAAAGAATATGAAAGAAGTAAAGATACATAATAGATATAATTAACTTGAAAAGGATCTTAATTTATGAGTAATGGGCTTGTATATGTTTTTCCTGAGTGAGGGGTCATAAGTATAATCCCGGGGCTATAACAGATAAAGATACAAAAAGAAACAGTGTACAGAGGAGTCAGACAAAATTAAGTAGTCACCGTGATGATGACCAACAGCATGAAAAAGCTTCACTACAAGGCCAGGCCTTTCCATGGTCAGCCACTAGATGGCTCTCAAGCGCAGGCATGCTAACCAAAACACCTAAGACTCCAATTTGTTCTTTGATAATACTGCTGTCCACCTGTGTGTAGGATATGCTTTCAGTGCAAGACTCACTCCACTCTGACTTAATGGAAAAAAAAAATCAACACAACAAATAGGCAAAGTAAAAACAAACCTCTGCGTTTCCATGCGAGTAGAAAAAAACAGAGGACAAATATTTCATTATCAAGAGGACACTGGTGAGATATCCACTTGAATGACAAAAGCAAAAGAAAAAAAAAAAAAAAAAGTTAAAATGCTGACATGAAAATACATTACTATGTCAACTGTACAAGTTAGTCACTGTACCTCAAGAGCATACCTACTATCAGAGAAGGAAAAAAAAAGCTATAGCACTGTGGAAAAATATTCTTCCATGCAAGTGGAAGCTGCTGTCCCTTTTACTAGACTCATTTCCTATTACATTAAATAGTGATAAGCAGGCTATAGTTAAAAAAAAAAACAACATACAAAGAAACACCCAGAGGCTTTGGGAGAGAACCTTGTAAAACATCAAAAACAGCAATTCAGAGTTATTGCTTCAGTCCATGTCTCATCTCCCTTTTGTAAAAGCACAGGTGTGTTTTTCCTACTGAGTCCTCCTCTCCTCTCTTCTTCTGTCTTTTCCTTATGATACAAATCACAGTTTCATCTCTCTAATTGCCTACTCTAAGTCTTACTGTTGTCCTGATTTCAAGATAACTCCTACTTGGTTTCTACTCAAGTCTTCTGCCTTTTTCAGCCACTCTTCCTAAGCTGGGACGTAGCAGTGACTTGGAGGGGCTACCGGCCGCACAGCTCATGCAAATATTCACTTCAGGGTTTCATGAAGTAAACGTGGTTCTGGGGAAGAAAGAACCTGGGCTCGAGGTGCAATTGATGAGGACAGGAGTCTCTAGTTTTACTTCATTTTTCCCTTTCGTTCTGTCCAGTTCACAGCACTCTCTTTCTCTCTCTCTTTCTTGCTCTCCTTTTTTTTTTTTACCAGGGTGGGGAAGAAGGCAAGACTTGGGACAGGAAGGACATGCTATCCACGGGCCTCATGGCGATGTTGATGGGGCCAGCCATATTCATAGGCATGGGGGTGGTTATTGCGACCGGGTGGGCGATATTCATCGGTGCCGTGGCAGGGATGTTGACGGATGCGATGTTGACGGGTCCGGTGATGGTGACTGGGTGCTGGAGGCTCACTGGAGATGTGATGTTGACTGTGTTGGTGCTAATGTTCATTTGTGCCGCTATGGTAACAGGGTTGTTCTGGATGCCCCGGTTCATTGCTGTGGTGATGGGGGCAGAGATGGTCACAGGTGTAGCTGAGGCAGAGTTGCAGACTTCGTTGCCATCTGGACAAGAAAGAAAAAGGATTTAGCTTGAGTTTTGCATCAACACAAGAGTCGGTTGTCGGTGTTAAATAAAGAGGCAGCCAAATGTGTCAACTGCAAAGGTTAAAATGCAAAAACAGTTCAGGAAATATTGTTACCGTATTTTTTGAGCGATAAGGCACACCGGATTATATGGCGCACTGTGAATTAACGTGTCTTTGTTCACACATAAGGCGCACCGGATTGTAAGGCGCATTAAGCATTGACTGGTTTATTGTTGCTAGCGCCTACTCCGGGCCTGGGCTGCAAATTTTTTTTTTTTTTTTGTAGGATGGTTTTGTAGGGGAAGGACCCGCCCTCCTTTGCCTCTGATTGGCTAGGGTTAGGGTTAGGATAAGGATGAGGGTTAGGAGATTCAGAACAGTGTTGTTTTCGTTGACGAAGTCATTGTCAGAATAAATGTTTAGCGTTTTAGCTGACGAAATGCTCATGAATTTTGCAACTCTGTCCATCGTCCACCACTAACGTTTTCGTCTAGTCTCGTCTCATCAACATAAACGCACATTCATCTCGTCACATTTTAGTCATCTAAGACTTATGTTTAGCTTGTCAGTGTCACGTCTTTGTCGTGGAAAAAAAGGGGGCGTTGACGAAAAATTTTTGTCAACAAAAACAACACCGATTCAGAAGTGTGATAATGTTGTGTAATGTTCTGTTCAATGGACAGAGCCAACAGCCCATGTTTGGCCTGAGTGTGTGATGACGTTTCCAGCTTTTTTAGCCAATCAGAGGCGAAGGAGGCGGGACTTTCCCCTACCGTCCTGCAAAAAAAAAATTGGCGCCCGGGCTGCCTTACATGAACACACTTCTAGTTTACACATTACAGTCGGGTAGTGTTGTAGACTGTGTTACGAGGCCGATCAGGTAGAGACACAGCGTACTGTCGTTGCTTATCAAAGTCGTACTAACACATTTCGACAGATTTTTGAGCGCATTGTACCACATAAAATCGGTCACAACAAGTAATCATACATAAAGCGCACTGGATTATAAGATGCACTGTCAATTTTTGAGAAGATTTAAGGATTTTAAGTGCGCCGTATAGTCCCAAAAACACGGTATTTGAAGAGAAGCTTGTCCAGGACTCTTCCTTGATTAAGGTCATGTTGGAATATTAACACCTTCATGTTGTACGTGTGTATTTTTTCAAGTAAAATGTACCTTTATTACAGGAGTTAAAGTTGGTCTGGCCGTGAGTCTTCAGATGGCTGGTGATGTAGGCCGCACTGAGCATTTTTCCACAGATGCTGCAGGTGACTTTGCCTTCATGTCGGATCATGTGGGAGCGCAGTCTGTCTTTGGTGGCGAAAGCAGAGGTACAGGCCTGCAACCCCACGACGGAGAAGGGACAAAGCTCAGTGCAGAACGACAAAAAAAAAACCACTACCACCACTTCACAATAACAGTTTTCTGAATGTAAAAAGCAACAAGTCTTACCGTTACTTGACATTTAAAGGGTCTCTCTGAAGAATGCACATGCTTCACATGGCAGCTCAAGTGGTCTGGCCTAGATTAAGAAAATAAGAAAAGAAACAATCACACGTCTAAACTTAGAACAGTAAAGCAGGAAGCTCTGTGAGTTTAGGAGTCACTCTGCATGACAGAAGAACAAATCAAGATTTAGATTGATGATTACCTTCAACAACACTCATCAACTACAGCTTTTCCAGAGACAATTATACACTTGATTACAAGACAACATGTAGTGCCTTTTTAGTAATTTATCAATGCAGGTCCTTGTCAGTATCAGCTTAAGTTATGTGCAGCGGTTAAGGAGAGTGACGCGACTTAACATCTAACGGTCACTTGCACAGAAACGCAAAAATGCAAGTTGATGAAAAACTTATACAAGCATGTAACTTACAATAATCCATGAGAGCGTTCAAGCGCTAAATACAAGCGTTATGTACAACCTTTTCTTCACATTTCAAGTGCAAAAGTGCAGAAACATATTGATGTGCCTTGTCTGCTCCGATAATGAGCAAATGAGGACAAAAATCCAAAATTCAGTCAATGGCGATTAATTCTGCAGGATCAATCGTGCATGAGCAAGAATGACCTAGTTTCAAAAACACACCGCATTGATGAGGTCAACTTGTACATATTTCAAAAGCTTTCGGAAATAATGAAAGCACTGCTTTTCATTATGATACCTCTGTTTATCTGGCTGTAGCCTTACTTGCATGATGGGAATGTAACCGAAAATTCCCAAGAAATTGCTTAATTCCTTCCACTAAATTTGAGCAGCATCCCACTCTGAGGATTAGGAGAGGAATAAGTAGGCCACAAAGTAAACTCTACTTTGTCAACGCAGGGAAGGGGTTAATAACCGCACTCTGACCAACAACTGAGAGACTTTTAAACAGATGAGAGTGAGAAATCAGTTCAACTGCCACGATGCTGCACAATTCTTATATGCCATGCTTTCTCGCTAAACTTTGCATGATAATGTCTGCATCACAAAATCAAGTTTGGTGATTAGCTCTTGTTCACATCTGCCATCTATTTAGCATTGAGATCCAATTCTTCATGTAAAGGGCAACTAAACTTGTTTGAGGAAGAATCAGTTAACTATGACCTGGATGAATGAGAACCTACAGAGACATTTAGCATTGACATCAACTGATTAGTCTGTATATTAGGGGTAGGAATCACCAGTGGCCCCACGATACGATATTATCACGATATTTGGGCCACGATATGATATTATCATGATACTTGGGCCACGATAAGATATTATCATGATACTTTGGTCACGATATATTATCACAATACTTGGGCCATGATACGATATTATCAAGATCCTTGGGCCACGTTATGATATTATCATGATACTTGGGCCAGAATACGCTATTATCATGATACTTGGGCCACGATACAATATTATTGCAATACTTGGGCCACAATATGATATTATCATGATACTTTGGCCACAATAAGATATTATCACAATACTTGGGCCACGATACAATATTATTGCGATTTTTAACATTTTGCTACACAGCAAGTTTTGTGATACAATATATTGCCATTCAAAACTAATTAAGCATTTAGTTTTTCTTTGTTTGTCTTATTTACACAGTAATTTATTTCATGTAACACATCTTGCAAACCTTATGTGTCAGGTCCATCTCATTTGTGCCCTGCTTGCATTTCTAATGTCTTTCCCCAGGTGGTGTTATATTCACCTCTGCCAACCTCACTGGGCAAACAGTTGATTTTATTTTTCCATTTTCATAGATTTGACTTCATATTAACAATTAATTTGAAAAAATCGATACTTGCTATATGAGACGATATATCACCAGATAAAATATTGCGGTACTATGCTGGATCGAGTTTTTCTCCCACCTCTTCTAATCATGTTTGTTCTTTATTAGCTACCAAATAAATTTCTAGCCAATAAATATCTAAGTAAGGAAATAATATATTTTCAACAAACATAGTATAAAAATCCCATGTCGGAAAGTCTTGCATCAATCAATCAAAATATCAATCAGATTTTCAAAACAGGGCCCTGTCATTGACTGGCAAACTTCCTTAACTTGTTGGCCCTCATTTTTTTTTACTAATAAAGTATTCCCCTTAGTTTTTCAAGAGCTTAAAAGGTCCTTGTGTATCTTGATTTGAACCTCAATATCACAAATGTCAAACACCGATGGCAACACATTCCCGTCCTGTACTGTCTAAGTTACAGTTCCCTGCTTATCAGCAGAGGCTAGAAAACAGTTCTTTGCCTCTTGACCTTTACAGTGAAACTCCAGCATTCACAAAATCGTCTTGGCACTGCTCCTCCTCTGTCAGCTTGTTAGTTCTAGTGAAGCTGTGAGCTGAATCATGTTAGAAGTGTCATAATGGAGTGAGTAAGAGCTACAGCCCTGGCAGCTGCTCCCAAACCGGAAAGCTTCATGCTGCTGAGTTTTTTTTTTTTCAAGTAGAAACGAGAGGAGCCAAGTGGAGTCTCCTCACTGGTGCTGTGAACCGGAATCAGTTTTCCCCCCTTTCCTTTTCTTTTCTGTTTTTTGTCCCACTAACAAGAGGAGCAGACTGTAGACAGTGCCTGTCTACGTATTTGGCTGAGTGGCAGTGACTCAGTGCCCTGTTATTCAGTCCCCATTCTCACTTTCCAGTATGCCGATGAATCCCTACCCCACGTCACAGTGTTGGAGGCATGCCTAAAACTGCCCTGCACAGCACAGAGCTAATGTTACAGCTTGGCCTGGGTATACAGCTGATGTTTTTGTTGAAGTTGTGTTGCAGCACCCAAGTCCTCTCATGCTGTTTCAACCCCTGCTCACTCCATGAAAATTGACATCGATTCTGGCTCATTTAAAAGTTTGTGTAATAAAATCTGAGTATTGATGAAAACCAGAGCATCTTGAACAAAATATGTGTTTACTTCATAGTCAGTGTGTTGACCTGATCATTACAGCACGGTTCACTGCATTCCCAGGGGAACGAGAATCTGTGACATGCTGGCGGGAACCGCAAAGTGACAAGTGACGCCTCCCCCTCCCTTGGTTCTCCTCGACCACTGATGCTCTCCCATGTGCGACTGTTTAAACATGTGGTTGAAATGGCGCATGGGGTCAACACGAGTACACTTCTAAACTGCCACATACACTATACATGTAAGAACGCAGCTTCTGGTGAGCTAGATGAACAGGAGAGGTCAATATAGTAATTCCTCTATGTACGATCACAGAGTGGAACTGCACCTTATTCACATGCAAGTCATTCTATTAGCAACATGCTAGTTGCGCTGAACAGAAGAAATGTAGTGACTAATGACTGCAGCAACATTAAACCTCTCTTTGTAATAACTAACAAAAAGATTCAAATTGACTGCAAAAATATAAATATGGTTATTCAATAGTCAACAGATTTGTCAGAAATGTAATAAATATGATTTTTTGGAAACACTTTATTTGACACCTCTGTAACGCATCATAAATATGTTTATAATGCGTTATAATCATGTTATAGCGCTGTATAACTATAGTTATAAACACTCATAAATGATCATAATGCTTCATACCAATAATCTTAACACATTATAAAGCATTTTATCATGACTTATAAGGTCAGGTATTATAATGTGTTAAAACTGTTAACAACAGTTGCATTGTGTACTGTTAACAACAGTATAATGCCTGACGTTGTAAGTCATGATAAAATGCTTTATAATGTGTTATGATTATTGCTACAAAGCATTATGATCATTTATGAGTGTTTATAACTATAGTTATACAGTGCTGTAACGTGATTATAAAGCATTGTACATATATTTATAATGAGTTATAGAGATAGGCATCAAATACAGTATTAACTTTTTCTATTTTATCAAACACACAGCAATAGCCAAGCCTAAATTACTGAGGGGTATTTGGTTATGTGTGTTTGGTGATTATAAACAGTTATATTCTTCTTTTAGATGTTGTAATTCCACACAAACAAGCAAACCCTTTTTTCTCTGACTCTAGAGTGCATCTTTGTCTTACTTCACTGACCATAAAAAACAACCATCTCAGAAGCATGCTTCCTGTTTACAGAAGCCTTGTTTCTAGTACAATAAACTTGAGGAGTCTTTTTTTTTGCATCTGCTCCATTGTCTCATCAGTTTCGTGCAACTTTCCTGCTGCTCCTTCTAAACTTCTCTTGCGTATACATGCGGAAGAGTTGCAAGCCTTTCCTGATTTACTGCAGACTTTCATTTGGAGGGATTCATGGGCCCACACAGAAACACCCAACTACATGCCAGACAAACCTATGGCATTGGTATGATACCAAACTGGTGTCATGCTACTTGTCTGTAACCTGCTTCATGTTCTGTATTGGAGGCATGAAATGCTTAGAAAACAATCCAATAAAACATTTTCATGGAAAGCCTCAAACCATAATGAGAAGAAGTTTGGAAACCTTAATACTATTGCTCTAAGGAGAGCACACAACAACTTATTCTGTCACCTTCAGAGCTATATGGGGAACATACAAAGACATTCGAAACGGGTAATGTTATCCCCCCATGAAATCTATTGCTAGTGCTTCGCAGCCGTCCAATGCAGGGTTTGACTCCCTTTGACCAGTGTTCCTGACAGCGCACAGAAAAGAGGCAAAAGATAATGAGGGAAAGCTTTATTCCCAGCTGGAGTGTGCTTATTTTCACTCTTGAATTGGGAATAAACTAGTTACCACATGCAGCAGATAACACATCTTGAGGATTGCTATAAATAGTCTCAATGTTTTAGGACAACAACACTAGGCAGCACTATGAACATGGTTTACCTGGAGAAGCCTTTCCCACACACTGAGCAAACATAGGGCTTGTGGACTCCTCCGTCATGAGAGCGGACGTGGTAGGTCATCCTGTCCTTTCTTTTAAAGCGTTGTTGGCAGATGGGGCACTCGAACGGCTTCTCGTCCGAGTGGGACAGCTTGTGGCGGTTCAGGTGGTAGACGTCGCGGAAGGCCTTGCCGCACATTTCGCAGCCATGGTTTTTCTTAACAGGTTTGGCTGGTTTTTTGGGCACATTTTGCTGCGGCACATTCCCCATCGCCGACGATGTCATGATACTTGAAGAAACTGAGGTGGTTGCTGTGGAAAGGATGCCCGCTACTGTGGAGATGTAGGAAGGGTTGCCGTTGTTCTCCCTTGGCATAGTGGAGATCATGGGTACCATGGTGGGGGCCGTCTGGGCCGTTTTCTTTGGCCGTGACACCATTTTGATACCCGTGTGGCTGGACTCATGGCGCCGCAGGTGGTAACTATCACGGAAGGCCTTGTTGCAGTAGCCGCAAACGAAAGGTGTCTTTCCTTTGTGTTCCTTCTTTATGACAGGCACTGGTAGCCGTGCACCTCCTCCACTAGCCACATTGTCCTTGAGGAGATCGGCGGCACTGGAAGGGGGCTTCTGGTCTATTTGGATGGGTAGGATGGGCTTCTGGTCAACTTGTTCATTTCCGGCGTTGAGAAGTGGAAGCAGGCTGTTCTGGGCCACCTGGTGCTGGTGGTGGAGAGCTTCATTGGCCTGCTGGTGAAACAAAAACACACCAACACAGATAAATATTTTGACGAGTTCCAGAGTTTCAAGCACTGACGCAGCTCAAATACAAAAACGTGAACGTATACTTATCATTTAAAAGGCGCCTCCGTGTTAGGGGGTTGTAGTCTCTAAAATAAACCCACTGCATGTTTACCTTACAACGTCTGCATATAAATTGCAAGTCTACAAAAACACCAAGAGTTACTGAGATTTTATGAGTTACTAAATGGGCCCTGGATCTGTCATAAACGGGTTGACGCAGCATGCCACTAATGCAAAATGTACTGCATGAAAAATGATCCCATCATGACTGTGCTGATTCATCATGTTACTGCAAAGCAAGCACACCAAATTAGAGGCACAAACAGAGTCTGCTCCAAACAGCAGGCCGTTGGCTCAACTGCAGTGCTCAGTTAGAAGACATAGAGAAGTAAAGGAATTCATGTACACACACTCACACACTACACACACTCACACACAATAGAAAAATACAGGTCAGTAAACCAGACAAACAACAAGGCCTCCCACATTGTGTTATCGGGGTTTTGTGGTTGCACACAAATGCCCACTGCTGCCACAACACAAATGGGGGTGAAGTGGCCGAGTGCAATTAGCAGTAGCAACAACTTGTGTCTAGATTGGATTTCCCTCTGGAGGTAAACTTTGACGAACCTTCCCAGTGAGGAGGAGGTCACACAAAATTCACAACTCTTGCCACAGTCATGACCCGAAACTCCACAATTTTTCTCATCACCAAACTACTGGAATAAACCCGGCAGAGGTTTTAGAGGAGAATGAAAATGCGCAATTTGTTTGGACATGTTTCTTATTAGGGTTGGTGCATAAAAAAAAGCAGAAAGTGTTCAAATGATAGGCTACTATGCAGCTGTTGCAGACATGACTTTTTGCCATATTTATGCAAAACAAAATAAAGCTGTAAAATTAACATCACAATATAAGCGTTTGCAAAAAAATAAAAATAAAAAAAAAACGTCTGAACCTTAAACATAAATAAGACAATTATCTCACGAGTAAACAAGCTCAGTTTTCCCACTGAGCATGTGTACATATCAGGGACTGGATGGGGGCCAAGGTATAATAACCAGCTTTCACAACTTTCTCATGCAGTCAGTTGAGGCTCAAGCCAGCTATTAGCTCAGATGACTTGTTGCACATTTAGAGGTGAAAACCTGCTTTCTGGATTTATTTCGGACTCTTGAGGGTCGTGTTGTTGAGGGTTATGTGTGAAACAGTGTAACAGCACCCATCTCAGCCTTCCTCAACGAAGATAAATAAATGTGGACCTGCTTTTTACCTTAGTTAAAACATATACCACCCTCAATCACAACATAAGATAAGTAGTAGCAGGTTAGATTAGTACAACTAACTTGTATTTAGTACTGACAGATTAATCACACCGCGCCCCCACCACCTTCCCCTGGGTGTCTTCCTCTCTGTGCATGGTTGTAGTCTAAGGTAAGCTAGTTTGTGCTTGATCTCACTTTACAAGGTCCTTACACACCGACACCAACGCAAATAAACCTTATGTTTATAATCCATAAACATAAGGTAACAACCGAGACCTAATGGTGCTGTGACAGCAACGCGATTGAGTTTGAGACAGTAAAAATTCATATGGTACGTTGTATCTGAACAGGTTAGCATACGAGCTCAAGTTACTTAGCACAGATGAAAGTTAAAAAAAAGACATTTAGCAAACTGTTGAAGCACACAAACTATCCTTCAAGTCGTTATCTTTGTAATGTTTGTGTTTATTATCAAAAAGCACTCTGTTCTCCGACACATAAACGATGCTGGCCATGTTGGATATACCGATGAATCAGATTTTCCAACAACACGCAATCTGATTGGTCAGAAGTGGACACGCAGTATGCAAAACTTTAGAAAAATCGACCGTGATCAGAAAAAATAAATGCCGCAATATCGCAGGACGGGAAAATGTCGCTGATGTGAACGCTTGTATTGACAGGATACGAGTTCGGAAAAAAATACTGTCGTCCGAAATAATCGCACAATAAAAACGGTACCACTGTGAAAGGACCTTAACTCATATTTTTCCGAAATACAGGACTTGTTGATGGCTGATAAAGTCTCTGCAGTTTTCTTTTGGTCCAAATCTCTCAGAACTACACCTGTCCTATCATTAATGTTTTCTTCCTCTTTTATTACTTGGAAGATATCAAACAGCTTTCAGGTAGGCAACAGCCACAAAAAATACATACTTGTAAGATAATAGTTAATGCTCTGATATCACTTTTCTTCAATATGAAATGTTTTGTATCGTAGCTAACACTGTTGTTTTTGGCGAACGGACACAACCAAGACAACCATGTTGTCAACCACAAGCAAGAAAGGGCAAGGTGAAATGCTTGACCTTTCCCTTTGAGGTTCAATCATCCATCGCACAAGGCCGGCCCAGAAAGGAGTTGCAAAAGAGGAGGCAGCGGATAGAGAAGAAAAATGAACCACACAATGTCCTCCTTATGTCATCTAGCCCATTGTGAGAGACACAAATCTGAGCAGTGATGCCTCAGCAGGGGAGCTTTGTATGCTCATCTTCATTGATTTGGCTCATCTATTCATGAGACAGGGACATTGTTTATCCACACACTGCTCAACCAAACTCAACGTCATTCCCTCGTATGCAATGGGACCTGGGAACTCGGTAGAAAATGCCACCAAGCCCACCCATCCATTTGTCTAAGCACCTGCTCACACTTGCCACCTTCCAGGATTAGTCATCATCATGCCAGTCTGCTGGCACAACAAGGGTTTTGGAAGGAGGGCTTTATGTTTGGGTTGGTTGGGGGGTGGGGGGTATGAGCCGGGTACCCTCTTTGTGAAGCCTGTGAACAGCAGACAGAGCTGCTGCAGACGGCCTGCGTCTACAGAGGTGCAGAGCCTGTAAGCTGCTGTGCCTTCATGCAGCTCTGACCATTTTGACACAAATGCGCTCTGACAACTGGGGCTGCTCCCTCATAAATAACATCAAAATGGAGGGAGTGTCCCGATGGCTCCACGGGCCACTGTAGACTCGAATTGTGCTCATGGTCTGAGTCAGATTAGACACTGTCTTTACTGAAGTCTTTTGTGTCACACTCTACAGCTGCTTGCCAAAATCCACTATTTACAAAATGTACAAGAACCTCTAATTGATCACACAAAGCAAGAGGAATGAATAACGATCATACTGAACAGGAACAGAACTTTTAAAAAATTATGTGTTTTCAGATACGTGCCCAGAAGTTTGAGTTTTTTTCCTCTCTTGTTTACAAGTTCTGAAGTTTCTGGCTGCGACACTAGGCCTTAGCAAACTAAACCAAGCTCTTTCAAAACATCACTTCAGTGATGTTTGTCATCTTTCTGGATTTTTCAATAAACTGTAAAGCATACAAACCTGCAGGAAATCAATGCTGTGCTTGTTAATAGCGTAGGTGGCAAGTTTTCTTGTTATTTTGCCAAGGTTCGTGAGTAACATCTTCAGATGGATGTTTTGATCTATTAACTTTTTCACCTTGGCATGGACTACAACATGCATATCGGTGGTATGAGCATTTTTTTACAGTGTTTCCTGTTTAAATAAAATGAGCCCAAACCTCCTAGAGTGTTGGCACCCAGTAGCAGTAAAATTCATACAAAACAACTTCGCAAGCAACAAAAATCATGTCCAAGCAGTAGGGTTTTCCTGCTGTTTAAAATCTTTTTTTTTTCTGGGGGGCTTTTTTGATCGAAATGAACTGCAAACACTTAGCATTTGGCACGCAAATATGATTGTAAGACAACGTTCTGCACTGAGAAAAACAAACAGGACATAGAGGAGGAGGCAACATGTTGCACTACACCATCAAATGATATACAACAGATCTCTCATAAGAAAAAAAATAATAATTTTTTGGCACCACGGTTATGGTGAAAAACAGCTACCCACAAAATAGCCTGCAGATATTATCAACAGATTTGGGTCTGTCAAAAAATATCTCAAATTGATATTTATATTCCCATGTGCACTGACATGATTACTCTAATATGGAACACACAGTCAACTGTTAAAAAGAGATGCGTATGAGTATCTAAAACCCCCTCAGATGACTCCATGGTTTTCATTAGTTCAGTGCTGACTGGCAAATGTAGCTGAGCGTCACACGGGAAGCTGTCAGCACTTATGTTGCACTAGAATTTTGCAAGTTGATAAATAATGTTTTAAAGCAACTTTGCAGCATCTTATTGGTGCAACATCTCAGTAAACAAGTCAAATTTCTTAACTCGCTTCATGAGCATGAACACAAACGGTGAATATTTCCATGGAATACAAGGAACTAGTATTTTTAACCTCACTGCAGTGACTTGGAAAAACATACAAACACAAAAACTTATCACATATACTAACTTGAAATCTCTACACAAATATTTCAAGGGCTCTTTTTTTTTTGCCAGAACAGCCCCTTAAGTATAAAATGCACATTGTGACAAGTAAACATGTGCAAAGTGGTGTTAAAATGTGAATCTGTACTGCGTTGTGATATTCCCTCAAAGTCCAACGTCATCAGCTTTTGTTTGTTTAAACAGTATAATGACTACAGCCCTGAAAATAGAAGGCCCTCTTCAAAGCACAAGATTTTGCTTGTCATGACAGGAAATGCACGGATGTAATTAGTGACATAAAAAAAAAAAGCTGCATTCCATTTAGGTGAGCCCGTTTAAGGGCCCTATTGTACATGCTGACTCACCGGGACTCTTTTAGAGACGTAGTTTACAAAACTGATTCACCAGTAACACTCAAAATACCAAACTAGAAAAGACATTTTGTTATTTAAATGTCTCTTTCAGACCAGGAAACTATTCTTAACTGTCCCTCATATGTTTTTTTAAGCCTTCAAAATAGGGAGAGAGGGCTTCTGAGTCCTGCAAAAAAGACTTGAATCCTGGCACAAGGCCTTTTTAGAGTATACTTAGGGAGCAAATTGAGTAAAATCAATTGGTCAACTGTCAAATATTAAAACAGTTTTTAGATTTTACACTGAATCCATGACATTATGGTAAAAAAACATCACATATTTATTTGGAGACCTCAATATATTTCCTGGAGTAAGGCCTGAACAAATTAGGGTACAAATGTTGGGTTATGTTGGTCACTGCGTTCCAGTTACCTTGGATTTTACCTTGGATACCAAGATGGACACCCAATGCTGTAACGTTGAGACATTGTTAGTTGTTTTTAGTATTATGTCTATGGTTTTTAATCATGGTTAGCTTTTGTTGACAATACTAGTTGACAACAACACATAACACAGTATTTTACACATAAAAACACCATAGCACCATGTCCACAGTTAGACGTTGGGCAGCACTACACCACCTACTTAATTTTACAAAGACATAACAGAAGTGCTAGTAAATAATACATTACGAGAGCTTTCACTATTGCTGTTTACTATTGATGCACAGAGCTGCTATCTTGGATTATGACATCGTGGTCAAGTCGGGGTCGGTGAGGATCGGCTGACTTTCCGAGTCGGAAATCTGACTTCAAGGGGCCATTCCAGATGAATTTCCTGCTAAGAACTCAGAAATTCTGACGTTCCACTACAACTGGAAATCAGTTACATTCCGAATCTCCTGTAACTGTTAAATTTTTTTTATTTCAATTCCAAGATTCGGTGCCCTGTCCGCTAAAGGTGGAGGGTGCACAAACAACATGATTAAACAACTCTGGATTCATGGAGTAGAAATAACTGAGTGCCCTGTCTTTGATGTGCTGTGCTGGTCTTCCTTGAACCAGTCAGAATCAGCTGCGTAAAACAATAAATTACGTTGTCTGTCTTCTGCTAACATTGAGGCGGCAAACAAATTGGACTCTTGTCCATATGGTGGGTCAACTCCTCATATAACTGGTGAATAGCCTAGCATCCAGTGGCAAAGAACTCTAAAAACACATAAGCTGGAAATCTTTACTCTAACCAAGCAGATTATTACTTTTTCTCCTAAAACATTTCTCTATTATTATAAAATTCAAGATACAGCTGCACTTATGATGATTTTCAAGCTAATTTACACAACAATATGGATTTAAAACGCCTGACAGAGTATCAAATCAAAAATATGTTAATCATCATTTTTCAATTTAGTTTAGTAAAACAGCATTTATAAAGAAGAAAGGACATATTTTCGAGCATTAAAGACACTACAGAGACTTAGTCTGAGGCTGGTGGGTGAATGGAATGCCAACTGCACTGCACACAGATTTACATGAGATCAACACAGTAAGAGTGCGAGGTACATAATACATGCAAGGCTTCTGGCGGGATGCCAGACACTCAACAACACGCCACACTGTCCATCTGCCTCAGGAAGAAATAGCTCAAAGATGTAAGTAATCAGTGCCTGACAGCAGAGCAAAATATCACTAATACCCAACAACAGGTGATGAATATTAAAGGCTGTGTTAGTGTGCGTGTGATTAAAAGCAATATGATAAAAGCATCTCACAGTGCAATATTCTTACTCTCTGAAGCTCTTGCTCACCTGTTTACAACTTTGGAAAAGTAATGTTGGAATCAGATCTTTACCCACTGTCTTCAATAAGAAATATTCAATTCTTGCAACCCTTTTCTGGAGATTCAAGCTCCCCTGCCTGTTTTTCCCTCTTTCTATTGTCTTCTGCTATGATAACAACTCCAGCAGCCAAACAAGAATTGAACACAAGACTTTTCATCTCTGCCTCCTCACTGCTATGATGTATTCAGTGAGTTCATCTGTGTAGTAGGTGCAAAATGATACCCAGTAAACATGTTTCATTGAAGACAGATAGGCAAGGACTATCAAAAACACAACTTTGCCAGCTTTACAGAGAGGAATAAACCAAACTGTGCAACCATTATAGTTGTAATTTATTCCTCCTCTACTCTCAACAACGTTAAACAAACACAGCAAGTACATCTTTTCTTTCCTACATTGCTGCTACTCTGTGCTGTTTTTCACTTATATACAGCACACTTTAGACTGTTAAAACAAGATATGGCTATTATAAGAAGACATCTGGTATATTTAAATAAATTAAGCAGATTCTATAAAAAGTATTTTGTGAATGGAAGTGTACAGTTGCCTAGTTCATTGAGGAAGTTCTTCCCATGAGGAGTCTAGTACACCCACTCACACGTACTGGGGTTTAACTTTATGGATATTATGCAGGATAGATGTCTGTTACAACTTGAGAAAAAAAACACCAGGAAAAAGCTAAATTGTTGAATACTATTACAGTTCTTGAGGGGTTTAAAAACACAAAATGAGAACTGTGAAAGAATACAATACGTGAAGCGGCAACACAATGAGTATTTTGAGCTTAACCTCACCCCCCAAAGAACTACATTTTTCATGTACGGGGCTTAGTCTTTGAAGCCAAGTAAGACCAGGGGAATTAAACATTTCATTCATTTCGCTGAACAATAGCCTTCCATCTTAGAACACAGTGAAAAGCCACTAAACCGTGTCAGATATCACTCCTGACTGCAGCACTCACTCTTTCTGGCTGAAAATGGATTTACACATTGCGTAATGTCGTTGCTAATTTCAAATATGCTTCTTGGTTGCTAGTGTTAGCTGATGTTGCTGTGCGCATAGTTTGAATTCCTTTCCTGCCGCGGTCCTCCAGAATAAATAGCTACTTAATAAACAAAGAGCTGTAATGTTATAGTCACGGTAACGGATTCATATAACGTTGTCTTTGCAAGCTTATTACGACAGCCTCGCCCAAATTAAGCTGAGTTAGCCAGCGAGTTTAATAAACATCGTTAGCTAACTTGGCTAGTTACTGTCGAACCGGTGTTCTATCGGAAAGTGCTTCCTATGGAGATGTGCTGCTTAGAGTACTGCGCCTGCGCTAAACCACAATTCTGGGCGCTTGTCACCGCTGGGAGTATGAAGCATACTAACACAGCGAAACGCTTGTCTTGGGATTGAGATAGGGTTACTGAAATACGCCGTCAAAACATGTCCCCCAATACCCCGGGAAACGGAGAGCACTACTTATTTAGTCAATATTAGAAAGAGGATGCAAATCTACTGAGAAAAGCTTCACTTGAAATCTTTATACGTTTTGTGATAGATTAACAGCACCAACATCTTATTCTTACAGTACGCCACTCTCTGTGTGTACATAAATAAGCAATAATGACATCAATTAATAGCCCCTTCTGTCGATTCTCTCCATGGCAGCGTTTTGACGAAGCAACACAACTCGTCATAACACCGGCTGAGGCGAGCGGAAAGTTCACCGCGGACTTGCGAGTGGCCGTTAGTAAATCTCAGCAGTTGATAAGATAAGTAGATACTTATCCAAACTCACAAACATTATGCACTTCAAATGAGAAATAACCGGCGGGATTACACGCGTTACAATGAAATTCCCTCTCATTATCTCATGGCGTCCGATCAAAGCCCCTCAATCACAGTGAAAAACAGGTCTGTCTCTGTTGTAACGGTGCGGTGGCGTCTCCAGCCTCACTTCAAAAATGATCCCGCATGTTTTGCTGGATCGACTTGGCAAACAAACTTGAAATATCGCCAGGGCTGTCGAGTTATCCAACACACATTGTCTAAGTAATTGTACAATGAGAAAACAAGCCAAATCTTTCAAACATACGCTGGTGAGAAATTATTTTTTGTTCTAGCGTCATTCCCAAGCTTCACAGCTGGAAGCCTGGATTCATATACCATTGTTTTGCTTGGTTACTAGATCTTGGCATTACTCGTTTAAAATATGTTTTTGCCGCTTAAACATCCAGTCTCTACGTTTTTACGGTTGTTTCACGTGCTCTCCCGGTTTCCCTCCCCAAGAGTCAACTTACTTGAAAAAGAAACGTACTCCAGCTCGGCTCCATTTCCACACTTAGTAATTCTGTAGGAAACCAAGTAGAAGCCTACAACAAAGCAACCAAACATGGCAGCTGAAACAACTTCCGGTAACCTCACGGGCTGAACCATTTCACATACAACTTAGGCGGGTTGTTAAATTTAGAAAGGTTAAAACTAAATGTGGGGATAGTTTAATTGGTCGATGTAATGCTGGGTTGAAAGTTAGGATATTTCTCTGGGAATAAACTCTGAAATATAACTAAAAGACATATTCCTTAACGTTTCTCCGCGACCACAGAGCTAATTTGATGTAATTGGCTTTGTGAAACACCCCTCTGTACGGTTATTCTGTGAGTCTGCGAGGGGTATTTGTTATAGCAAAGTACTGTCGCATGTGGTGAAGATATGACCCGTGTTTCAGGCATAGTTTTTTCGTTTCCACAAGGAAAATAATATAATTTGAGGGCAATTTTTACATCTTAAAACACGTGGCCCTTCTTCGTCATCATAGTTTAATGTTCTGGTTGAAAGAAAGCTAGAAAGAATCCGCGTGGGTTACAGTCTGTTTTTTCATTCATGGGATGGACGGAGATGAATGAAAACCACAAAGCACATAAATCACACAGATTTCCTCCATTCGACCACTTCAACATACAGTCATATTTCTCCTCTGAGGCGAAAAACAAGAACAAACGAACAGAAAAAAAAAAAAAAAAACTTTTGATATGGACTGTGCAGATTTTTTGTGCAAATCCAATAAATAAATATTTCCAACTTTTAAAACAAAATTTAATTGACATAAATGTCAGACACCAGGTGCCTTATGGGAACTTCTCTGTGTCTCACCAAAATGAAATGAGGCCCTTTCAGGTTTCTTGCATGCAAATTAAGTCATTTGTGGAATTCATAACTATGACATAAAAACTGACCTTTTGTCCCAGCTAACTTTATGATACTCATATAATTGTAACTATAAAACATTCAGCCATAACAAGATTACTGGTCTAAGCCCTCAAAAAGCATGGTTTTTGTCATGACCACACTGGAGCTTAATGTTGGTTGCTGTTCTGTCTGCTTGAAAGATGTTTCACACACATTAGGTCACTTCACTGAGTAAACTTTGTGATGTAATGCTCTTAATTCAGAGCCGGCCCAAGGCATAAGCGAACTAAGTGCCTGCTTAGGGCCCCGCAGCTAAGACGGGGCCTCCAAGAGCAATCCCCCAAAATTTTTTTTATATTTTTTATTTTTTGCATGTATGAGTGATGCTTTCTGTATGATCAAATATATATTATTGTAAAAATAAAATAAAGTAAAAACATTTTAGTGCTGCTGCCGATGTAGGCCTATGATTCTTACAGTCGATACGTCAAAGCTCTGCTACCGTTATGTGCCTTCTGCTGTGCAATGTGCACTGAGCATCCAAAGCACAGGTAGTTGTGGAGCATAACAATGTCACTAAAAGGACATATCCTTCAGGAGCAGAGAAAAGAAAAAGGAAGAAAGAGGAAGAAGAGAAAAACGCCAAGATAAAGGTTTGTTTGCGTGTCATGGAATGTTAATCAAAGAGATTTGTGAAGGTGTGTGAATGATCAACAGTCAGTATTATTGGCAGAAACAGAGGGCCCCAAAATCAAATTTTGCTTCGGGCCCCATTGAGGCTTGGGCTGGCTCTGTCTAAATTAAAATTTAAAATAAATAAATAAATAAAACCTTGGAGCATGGCAGTCAGTATAACTAGATGACGTTGTAAAACATTAGGAGTAATCTACAATTTGGACAGTTTACAGAGAATCTGGAGTTAAAGAATCTTTAGATAAAGCTGGGTTATCATCATCACCAACCCAGCTGCTTGTCATAACTAGGGCACATACTTTTATATTAACTGTAAAATCTTTTCTTAAATTAAAGGACACTGTGCAATTCTCTGCAAGTTTTCCCGCATGAAGTCCAAAAAGACCTTCCAATTAAAATTGTAATAACAGCCACTGAAGATCACATAATCAGTTCAATGCAGCAAGAATGTGCTGTTTACAGCTAATCACCAAAGCAACAGGGCCCACAGTGCTACGCTGGACTAGACAATGCACACTGTACAAACATAGACAAGTAACATGACAGGACTCCTGCATTCAAAAGATCATCCACAATACAGTGCCAACTCCTGCAGAACTGTTTGACACGAAAGCATTAAAATATGGGCTCAGTTTGTTATTGTGTCTAACATTTTTGGAGACATAAAAGCTGAACCATTGCAAATACCCTGGTGCAAAAAAAAAGAAAAGAAAAGGAAATTGTAAAGATATAAATAAATATATCTATATGTATGACAAAAGGTCTTTGAATTCACTGGACCTTACTGATTTTATTTTATTTCTGTTACTTTCTTACTAAAGCACCGAATCTGATGTTTTTACAAATTTTCCTTGTAGAGATTCACCCAAAAGAATCTCTTGCAAATTGAATAACTTAATTTAAATCTTCAAAGGGGGTGAATCACCATTTTTACTTAATTTCACACATGATCATGTTAGTATGTTGAAGTTGCTGTCAGTGCTGGTGAAAAAATTCAAGGAAAACGTTATACTACCTCCCATAAAGAAAAACAAAAGGAGGTACAATTGTATAAAAATTTTGATTACAATAATTTTCTGAATTTTTTAAAAACTTTTGTCAAAAGTGACATGTAAACACATACAAAAATTGTTTCTCTGTTTATATTTTGGCTCCACACATCTGATCTATTGAGAGCATGAGACCAAAGCAATACTGTCTGGTAAATGAGACCAGTCATTTGGCTCAGAAATTAAAAGCTAATGGTTCTATGCATGAATTAGTGTTGTGCACACCCTTTCCAGTACGTTCTTTGAACTCTCTGCTCGCCCGTGAATGGCTGTTATGTGAAGGTGCCCCCATTGTACTTTTCAATCTTTGTCCCACTGTACATTGAAAGCCTTTATTCACATACAGTTTCAGTTAGAGTTAGGGAATATGTGTGGTCAGACCACACTCATCTCATCGAGCTCTAAATACATGATAGCATCCAGGGATCAATTCCACTTGAAAACAGAGTAATGCCAAGTGCTTTCTCTGTTATTTTCCCAAATTTGGATAAGGACGGCTCAAACTCTCTTGAGGTAAGCTTCTTAACTAGAGAACAGAAAGAATATCAAAACTTGTTGTGTTGTTTCCACCTTGATAAGATCTATTTTAATAAATTTGACTTTAAATCATGAACTCGGAATTTATTTTATACAGTGCTTTGAGATAAAATTTGCATTAAAAGATTTCACTCAATATTTTGTCATAAGAAGCTTGATGCTGTAATTAGACTTACATTGAAGGGAAGTTAGTATGTCTCTATAACTTCAGCAGTTTAGTATGAAAATGATGCTCAATTTTTGTAATATGAAATGTATATATAAATATGTATACATTTTTTCAACTTGGATAGTATTTGAAAGTGATACTTGTGCAAATGCATCCAGTTTCATGCACCTGCTTCCTTTGTACGACTAATAAATGATACTTTGAGAAGTTTGTTTTCTGAAATTATTGATGGTAAAAATACGCTGCCTCACTGCTTTGAATAGTGATTGAACTTTTTGTTTCCATAGAAATGGGAGACTGGTCCATTCTTGGTCGCTTCCTAACTGAAGTCCAAAACCATTCAACAGTCATTGGTAAGATATGGCTGACAATGCTACTCATCTTCCGCATCCTGCTTGTGGCCCTGGTGGGGGACGCCGTCTACAGTGATGAGCAGTCCAAGTTTACCTGCAACACCCTCCAGCCTGGATGCAACAATGTCTGCTATGACACCTTTGCTCCTGTGTCGCACTTGCGCTTTTGGGTCTTTCAGATTGTTCTTGTTTCCACTCCATCTATCTTCTATATTGTGTATGTCTTGCAAAAAATCACCAAGAATGGAAAGTTGGAGGATTCAGAGGCTGCACCTCGATCCTCACCTTCTCTTGAGAGGGACGTGCACATTGGAGGAGATAAAGAGACTATAATAGAAGATCCATATATCTGCAGTAATGAAGGCTGGAGCTTGCCAGGAGGTGAAAGTGAGGAAAGGAGTGGAGTGGGGGAGGATATGAGAGGGGTAGGAAAGGACCCAACCCAGCTCTCCAGTCAGGTACTCCTGATTTACATCATTCATGTTCTCCTACGATCCATCATGGAAATCCTCTTCCTCTTTGGACAGTATTACCTGTTTGGATTTGAAGTTCCTCACCTTTTCCGCTGTGAGACTTACCCCTGTCCAAACAAAACTGACTGCTTTGTATCTCGAGCCACAGAGAAGACCATCTTTCTCAACTTCATGTTCAGTGTGAGCCTGGGTTGCTTCATCCTAAACATTGTTGAGCTGCATTACCTTGGTTGGATTTACATTTTCAGAGTCTTGTTCTCTGCGTGCTGCATATGTTGTCGGTCAAATGGAGATGCTGTGCAGCAAGTGGAACTGTACTCTGAAAACAACCCTCTGTTGCTTGAGCTCAAACACTCCTTGCACGGCAGGGTGGTGCTGCAGACCACCTCCACTGTGTCCCGGGACAAGAGCAGCAGCGTACCAAACCAGGCCCCGGCAATCTCCTTTGAGACAGACTCTACATTGGAGTGCACTTCCAAGAGAAATGAGGATGACAAGGAGCACACCAAGACTAGACTGCAAAATGTGGCTAGAATGGGAAGAGGCAAAAAGTCATGGCTGTAAATCATTATAAGCATATCTTTAATCCTGTTGAGACTTGTAAATACAATAAATAAAACTTATCCATGAAAATGGCTGTATATGTCCAATACAATTCATTTTTTTTTTGTCAAAAAAGGGTCATTTTAGGTTAACTAGAGGCAAATAATTGTTGAATTAAATCATTAAATCTATCAGAAAACTGAGACATATTCAGTATAGTTGATTTTAACTATACACAGAATGACACTGAACTAGGTTTGGGGTGATTTTAAAGATATTACACTTTTTAAATGGAGATGAAGCTGTTATTTTATACAAAGCTATTTTTATAATTTGCAATTCATCCATTTAAGTTAAAGCATATAGTCACACTACCCTTGTCTAAGAGACACATCCTTTGGGATTCGGTATAGAGTGGCTTTAAAGATCTGTTGAAAACATTCAGAATCAAATTTGCAGTTTATATCCTGTCAAATCCTTAAATTGGTTGTTGAGGCCTCAACAAGTTCTGCTGAAGCTTAAACTGGACAGTTTGGCCATTTTTCTTCTTGTCCTTGCACTAAACCTGTTCGTTCATGTTTCAGTAAGGGAAAAATACCAGGAGGGGTCACTGCTGTCCAGTTTAGATTGGTGCTGCCTTCATTGACTTGTGGAATTTCTAATTTTAAGAGTGTTTAACGCTGTCTGACGACCAGAATACTGTAGAGGGCAAGATTTGGCATATGCGATCTAAATATTAGATAGATATTGATAAGATTGGGGCGGTATGAGAAACCTGAACGATACGTATTTATTAAATTTCCTTTTTTTTTTTTTGCTAGTAATGTTTTATTTTCTGGCTCATATGATTCCTTCAATGTCCATTTTCATTAACACGTTTAATCTCACGCTATTCATGATAACTGTGAGCAGGTTTTCAATTTTAAAACCCAGACACTGACTTATTACAAATTCAGAGTGATGAAAATGACCAGGATACTCTAAATTCTGACTTTCTGGAAAGCAATTGAAGGCAGCACAAGTGCATTCACGCACCCACTATCAATACCAGGAGAGAAAATGATGAAAACTTCTAGCAAGTCCAAAACGCGGTTATCTGCTGACAGATACAGGTACGTATGTTTTATTTTCCCTTTCGCCTGAACTTTGTGTCAGTTTTTAGGAGTGACATTTCCACAGTGTCTGTTGAAAGTATTCCCCGAGGCCACCGGTGCTACAGAATGAGGGCAAAGCAGCTTAAAGTGGAAGCATTACAGCTCTGGACTAGCAGCATCGAAAACCTAGCATGACCATGTGTACAGTAAGTTCAGGAGAGCTCTCGCCAAGATTTATTTTTGTTCTTTTGCTGCTGAAAGTAACCGTGAGGACCAAAAATAACAACAATTGAGAATTATGAAAATGTCTTAATTTGCTTTCAGCTATTTCACAGTCTTTTTGATCTTTTGAGCCGTGATTAAGTGTGGATTAAGTGCGAATTTGCTGTTTACTGGTTTACACAGGCTATTGTTCTTGCAGGACATGTCGCTCTTGTGTAGATGCCCCATGAACAAATGCTCAAAACGTCCTCCATCATTTTACAGGTGATGCCAAAGATATGACAGCAAAGTGGTCAAAGCTCAGTGGCTGTATCTAGGGCAGCTTGAAATATGCACAGGTAGGGAGCTGTAGAAGTGAAGAGACCAGGGAGAGTAACTGGAATACACTGATGTTAAGAATAAGAAGAGTAAGAAGAACTTTATTAATCCCCGAAGAGAAATTCAATTGTCTGTTATCTCACCTAATATGTCTCTAAAAGTTATCTATTATTTACACAAGAGTTATACAGTCTGATGGCTGTTGGTACAAAAGATCTTCTGAATCATTCTGAGAGGAGCCGTCCACCACCATTGGCCCTTTGGTCCATCAAGGTGTTGTGAAGTGGGTGATCCATGTTCTTGAGAATAGTCTCCACCTTCCTCAGTGTAGATCTCTCCACCACATCCTCCACTGAGTCCAACTTGAGTCCCAACACAGAGCCAGCCTTTTTCACCAGTTTGTTAAGACGTCTTGCATCGTTGTGTTTGATGCTTCCTCCCCAGCAGACTGCAGTGTAGAACAGAACACTTGCCACCACAGACTGATAAAACATCTGCAGCATCTTACTACAGATGTCTATTGATCAGAGTCTTCTCAGGCAAAAGAGGCGGCTCTGCCCCTTTCTGTAGATGAAGTCTATATTCTTAGACCAACTTATTATCCAGACGTCTATGACAATCTCCTTTGTCTTTGAGGTGTTGAGGAGGAGGCAGTTGGCTTGATACAGACTATTTCTTTAGCTGTCATGCATCAGTAGATTTTACAAACATCGTGGCATACTCCTCTACTGATCTACTGCTTCAATTTTCATGCACTGATCATAATGGATTGATTTTGATTGTGTATATTGGGTGTAAAAGACATTATAATGTGACATGCATGTGCATAGTATTTGATAAAAGTGTTTTTATGTTTGTCATAAGATCTAGGAAGATATTGGAGTGCGAATTTTTACAGCTGTAAGCCAAACTATAATGACTTCAAACCATGTCTGTTATTGCCTTGATTCATAATGTTGACACAACATCACAGTTCTTAAGAGATTACGATGCCAGCACCATATCGAGCAAATAAAAAACATAAATTCCACAGCCGACACTGATGCGCTTTTATTTTTTGCACATCTGTATTCATGCTGATGTTACACATGTGCATCATTAAACTGAATGGAAATCAGTAACCTTGCCAATTTCTCTGCCAGGCTCTGACTGCAAACTCAGTTAGACTGACAGCAAATGTTTTTGCTCCTCTCCAGCTGCTGTGTGAAAAGTCCTAGCTGCTCATTTCTATGTTAGCACTAACCTTTCAAAACCTTTGGCTGCTTTAAAACAGAAAAACAAATGTTTAGACATTTTCATTTCATTTTTACCACGAGTTACCAAAGATTATATCATTAAGCCGAAAGCACCACTCATTCTCCTCTCTTTGTTGCTTCCCCTACAGATAAGAGATGACACATCAGGCCTGCAGTGAGAGTAGATCTTCATGTTGCAGCTCCACTCACACTCAACTTCATGACACTCTCCATTCTGTAAACAACTTAAACTGAGAGCAGACAGCGGAAAAGTTCAAGCATGTTTCACCTGATCAAAAAAGATAAGGAGAAGGAGAAGGAGAGGGATTTTGGCAAGAACAAGGAGAAGAAAGACAAGAAGGAGAAGAAAGAGCGGATGTCCCAGGCAGAGCTAAAGAGCCTGGAGGAGATGAGCATACGTCGAGGCTTCTTCAATATGAATCGAGGGAGCACCAAAAGGGACCCCAGGGCCAAATTGGAGATCTCAAGCCCAATACCGATTAAGGTGGCCACTAACACGGAGCTGAGCCTGACGGACTTAGAGCTGGATGGACATCACAGCGCTCAGGAGCAAGAAGTGGAGCAAATAACTGCTGGTACCTCTGGAGAAAATGTGAAGCAACATGAAGAGGAACATATACGCAGTTCTGTCAAAGAAAGAGCAGCTAAGTTTGGGGAATTAGCAAAGATAAATCCAGTTGCAGGTCAGAGGCATGTGTCTTTGCCCCAAAAAATCAGAGAGGACAGCCGTGCTGTGCAGAAGAGGACATCCTCTTTTAAGACCAAGTTCCATCAAAAAAGCACCTTTGTGGTTCGCATCCCAGAGTTAGTGGAAAAGACCTTCCCTGGTGCAGACCTACAGTTACCTGTACTTGTTTCTCCACCAATTCCAGATCCAAGAGAACTGGAGCTACAGCGACGAAACACTGGAGATTTCGGCTTCTCTTTGAGGAGGACCACCATGGTAGACCGAAGGCCTGATGGTGAAGCGTGCCGTCGTGTGGTGCACTTTGCTGAACCGGGTGCTGGCACCAAGGACAGGGCTCTGGGCCTGGCGCCAGGAGACAGACTTGTGGAGATCAATGGGATCAATGTTGAGAACAAGAGCCGGGATGAGATCGTGGAGATGATCCGTCAGTCTGGAGAGACCGTGCGACTAAAGGTGCAGACCATACCGGAGCTAAGTGAGCTGAACCGCAGTTGGCTGAGAACCGCACAGCGCCAGCTAAGTTTTGGTGTAAGTACTTATAACACTTGCAGACACAGTTGCCAAATCTGACTTATTCTGAGTCTCCATTCCAAGTGCATAATTTCATTTAGGAGCTTTTGGGTTGGTTATGATCCTTTGGCTCTTGTGACATTTTTCAGCTTTTTGAAACTACTTTGATTGCACTGAGATTTTCAGGTAACTCTCATGATTGTGTTCTTGACTGAAAACAATTCCAATACCTCAAAGTTGTGACATAACCTTTACTTAGTACAAATTCAATCCCACTGTGTCTCTAAGTATACAGACCTTTATTTTTTAAGCTTTGTATTACAACACCAGCTCTACACCCAAATACAGCGGTGAGGCCTTCAGCACAGAACGCACCATCTTTCACGGGGATTTGTCTCTATAAATTATTGCCAAGTTGTTGGAATTCAACCAAAATATCTTTTATTTTTCACACTTTCTTGATTAACTTGGATTTTCCTCCTCAATGATCTCAGTTTTGGGAATTTGCTAGTGCTTGAATTTGAATGTCTACTAACATTCACCACATATAAATATAGTTTTCCTCTTCCCCACAGTATGTTTGCACCGTAATGGGTTTGCTCTCTATCGTCATGGGATAAATAACTTGAAACTAGCTCATCTACAAATGAATGTTATTGAGCAGTAGCTGTCTGGGGCAGCCATGGTTCATCCTTAGTGGCAGTAAAGTGTAATTTGTTGATTAGGCCATTGTTTTTTTGTGAGGTGGAAAAAAACAGGCCCCTAGCTACCTAATTTTGCATTCTAAAATACAAGGTTTTATATTTTCTACTGCTTCTTTTTCTTTGTTATCCACATACCTTTGTTCAATATTATCATTAACTCTAGCTTCTACCAGCTGTTCTTCCAACTTCAATGTTGATTTTCTTGAAATTTATGGTTCTGTTTTCTGTATAGTGGATTAAAAATGTCTGGATGGATGGATGAGGCGGCAATGACACCAGCAATGTGCTTTTGTTCTAAGGGTTGTGTGTGTGTGTGTGTTTTGAAAGAGAAAATGTGTTCTGGTGTATATATAATCCCCCCCCTCCCTCCCCCCTGGTCCTTTGAGAGCAAACAATAGGACGCTGAAGGATACAACGGCCCAAACGCCACCGCAGCTCATGGCCATATGGTCTGTAAGACTTGGCTGGTCGCCCACTGAGTTTCTTTTTCACCTAGATAATCATGTGCAACAAGAAGAGGAGTATCAAGTTCAAGTCTTTCTTAGAAGACATGACAAACACCTGAATTTAAGCTTTCTCTGGAGTGTAGAGTTTGATTTAGCTTAAATACAGTTTTGACCGTGTGTGAGATAAACGTTGGTTTAGGGTTGGGCGGAAAAGTACTACTTTGAGTTATATCAGAAGTTTAACCAGAACTTTTGCTCATTCTTTGATTGCTTTTCTTGTGTGTGAATATTATACGCTGTTATACGGCTTACATGTAAATTGAATTTCAACCATTATTTAACCTTGTTATTGAGAAAATATGGATTCATTCCTTTTTCCCTACTTGTGTTAGTGTTTTGATCAGATCAGCTTCTTTGCAATAGTGATTATATATTGAATTTGGCGCCTGAATAACTAATGCGTCTTAAGCTTTTGTGTAATGAGGGAGATTTTCTACATTGTTTAGGGTTTGGACTAGGTCAGATTTACTCAGCAGTTGTGAAGGTTAAGTATTTAACCCATATTATGGGGCCATACTATGATTGTTGTTGTTGTGGCATTTTAAGAAGGTGTAAACACTGTGTAGGCTCTTGGCTTTTGTGCTGAAACCAGGGCAATTTAAGTGTGACAGCAGAGACGCTTGAAATACCAATATACAAAATACCAGTCCTGCTTGTGTTATTGTTTAAGCCATGTGCATAAAACGTTCAAAGATTATTATATGTATTTTACCCATACCGTTTGTATAGTAATGGCTGTCGAGGATTACATATTAAATTTCACCTCACAACTTCAGGTGTAAACTTGAATGTGCTCTGTTTGTGTTTCCCTGTCACTCAGTGCGTTAACTGTTGCAACCACAGTCATGAAATCAATCTTTTCACAGCCAGACACTCAAATCATTTACATTGTCCTACATTCATCTGATCCGAACGATCACCATAAGACAGGCCATCTAAAAAGGCAGAAAACGTTCATGTGACCCAGAACCAACAGCACTATAAATAGGTGGTTATAATAAGATCTGATTTCTAGATCAGCAGCTCTGCAACACAGAGACATATTTGTGAGTGAATGTTCAGAGCTGAATTCTTTTAACCGTTTGTAAACAGTTGAAGGATGTATAGATTTTTTCCCAGCCAAGTTTTACATCATGATGTTTTATTTGATTTGTAACTTACACATCAATGTAATTCTTTGCTTAGCCAAGCATAAACAATGACAGTAGATTGAAATAACCAGCTAGTCCAGAGCTAGCACCTCTTAAACTCAGTTATCAAGACATTATATCTCCATCCCTGTTGTGATATCAAGATCCAGCCAAGAGCTTAGGTTTTGTGTCATGTTTTGGGGACATTTATTAACCTACATAAAGATATTATAACCCAATTTGTGATAATATTGTTTCTATGCAAAGAAAAAAAAAGAAATATTGATTTAAAAAGAAAAATAATGGAATAATTGAGTTGGACCTCCTATATGAAGTTTCTAGCGAGTGTCAAACTGACATGAAATACATGTATTGCCTTTTTAGTGAAAAAAGGAGGATTCTCGACACTGTTTCAGTCACATAGACGTCCTACACCCACAAATTCCTAAACGGTTGGAGTTAATTATTTAACCAAGTTCAACAACTCAAACCACTGACCACTGATTAAGTACTGCTTCTTGTGACCAACTGAGCAGACACCTGGCATAATTGTCAAAAATCTTTTATCAAGGAACAAAACTAGATCCAAACTACACAACAAATCACCACGACACAACTATTGTTGTTGTTTTTTGCTTTACACAGGTGTAAAGAACAACCTTCATGGTGATGCCATCCATAGCACTTCAAGACTGTTAATTCAATGAATTGTCTTAATTTGTAGAAAAAGTTATGTAAAAATAACGCCACCAAAACATAAAAACACAATTTGATGCAAAGTTGGACCACATGTGTTTTATTTTCCAAAAGGGCAAAAAATAGAAGATAAAAAAATATATATTAAGTGTTCAAATGTTAAGTGGAGGTAAAGTGATCTGTTTTAAGAGATCTGTTGTAACTGAAAGTGTCACGGTGCTTGATATTAATATCGCTAAATGTAAATCATTTTAGGTGTAATATGTATTTATCTATTGATTTATTTCTCTGACAAAATTATTGCAGTAGCTGGATGTGAGCTGGTCATTTCTGCCTGATCTGATTTATCCGCTGTGATTATCCCCCCTTGTATCCGGTCGAGATCAGAGGAGCTGGGCTATTTCTTTGCTTGATGCGGCGCCTTCCTGTAGTCATGTCATCACTGTTATGTTGTCAGGCAACCAGCTGTGATTTCTGTAACTGAAGAACTGCCACAATAAAGAAAGAATAAGAAGCCTGTTACTAAACAACCAACTTTTCAGGTCTGGTATCTTTTGGTCTGTTGTATTTTTCTGTTTCTATGAGTTTATGCTTCACGTGTACCAACAGAGTTTTGCTCTGAGCTCCAGGATACAACCTTCACCTTTACATGCCAGTCTACAGGGCTGAACAAGTATCCCTTTAATTATGTAATTATCTTAAGCACCAAATGAATATCAGTTTACCTTTTTGCTCATTACTCCCAAGAAGAAGAAATAATACTTTTGTTCCTTGTTTGCACTAATTGGCCAAAGAAGAATAGCTGAGCTCATGAACCTTTTGTCCATTGGGTGGCAGCCAAATTCCATGTTACACGTTACGTGAGACCACAACAAGCGTTCGTATATTTTTATCAGTTTTTCCCCTAATTTTGAGTGTTTTCCCTGATTTAGTGTTAGACATCCTGCTACAGGAACTTCACAAACGGATGAAAAAAAAAAGCCGCTGTTTGAGATGTTAAAACAGGATTTTAAACCAAGAAACAGTGAAACTAATACATGATATTACAAGAGGAGATTTTGTAGCATCCTTTTGTAGCTTTCCCTTTTTTTCTGGGATTTTTCTCTTAGTTTAAACAGAGGAAAGTATTCAAAGTGTTAAAAAACAGACTGGTTGGGAATTGGTGAAGAAACAGCTAATCATAAGAGTGTAAACAAGGCTCATCGGATTAGTCCGTACATGGGAATTCTGCTGTACTCCACATGAGAAGTTGCACAGTGTTTAAGAGAGGCTGAGTCTTTTAATTGATGCCTCAGACCTCTGTAGAGAGGCTTTCCAATATTTCAATTTTCCAGCTGGTTTAGGGAAATCAATTGGCCAGGGGGGGATTATGAAACACCAATATGAGACACCAGTTTTTCAGAGGGTACCCCAAAGGGTGGTGGTTACACAAAGTTCTGAGCTGTTTCTTATTTTTTTCAGTACACTACATGCTGCTTTAATTTTTTTAAGTTTACCATGGTTTATTTTGCATAGATGATCCGACATCTCAACTTCTTCTTCGCTTATCAGTATTTCTACACTGACCTCGGATCCTGCTGCCTTCCTCTTCAAAATAAGAGTCTTGTCATTTTGTAGTTATATAAAGTTGACTGCCTAAGCTTGCAGGAAGGCCTTCTTTTATTTTATCCCTTAAATGTAGTTTATAGCATGGCAGAGTAACAACAAATAGCAACTCTATTGATATACCAGATCATACCTTTTAGGGGCTGGTTTTACTTGTTTATGTCCAACAAAACTAGAAGTTAAGTGTCTCATTGCTGACTCAATGGTGCTAAATGTTTCATCTAATATCCATTCATCATCCTTCTCGTCTTCCTGTCCTTCTTGCAATCACCGCAAACCGCCCATTTCAATCATATCACCCCCTCTGTCCCGTGGGTTGAGAGGAGAGAGGATTAGCACCAGTATGGATTAGAAAGAGGTGGGCCTTCCAGAGAAATACTGCTTGCTGTATAATGGAGGGTCGTTTTTTCTTATTGTCTAAATACTGATATTTCATATTCTTCTGCACATTCAGCGGGATGATTTTATGTTGACATGTAGACTTTCTTGGGCGTGTAAATGACTGTCAGTCAAGGAACCACAGACACTTGCCAGCCACACCCTTTTCTTGTCAGCCACCAGCTGGACCTTTTTTAATTCAGCCTCATTATCTGTTGCATAAAGCTTTTATTAGTGCCATTAGAGGATATAATTTATTTATATGGTTCTATTTTATTGAGATATTAAATCAATTGGTTGTTGGCTTTTGTAGTCCACACCCAGCGTAATTCCTGATGTGTGATGAGACTGTCTGCCACTTTCTACTCCCACTTGAATGAACGATTCTGAATCTTTACTATGGATGAAATTCTTTGCTTTTATATCAGAAGTGTTTTTTTCAGGCCAGCTTCATATAACCTAATAAAAAATGGGTCAACTGTAGAGGTCTAATGTCTCTTTCCTTTTGTTTTTTTCTGGAACAGTCTGAAGATTTAAATTATAAGTAATCTTCTTCAGCCAACAAACCCAATAGTGTCATTTAAAGGATTTTACCATTCCAACGTTGAGTTTTGACTCTCATATTTCTGATTTATGTTGTTGTCATTGTTGTCCTCCTGCTCAACTACCTTTTTGGAGGTGACAACACAGATGGGAAATCTTCATTGCATGCTATCACATTAAAATGTAAAGTATGACATGGATTTAACACCATATGTCTATATACTACATGATCTAAATAGGTTTCTTTGTATTGAAGGAATTAACAAGGAAAAAGTCTGTAGTGTTTATAGCGTATAAAGTCCTTAATCTTTTCTCTGCTCTCACCATGTGCAGACACACAGCCCACACGATGCTGTGTCCCAGTAACTGACTCCAGGGATTAACAGCCTGTGCTAGATAGAGCAGCTAGGCTGTGTGTTTTCCTTGGTCCTCCTGCTGAGCGCTAATATGTGAGCTTCTGATTTATTCTGAAAATAAACGCCTCAGAGCCTATTGCAGTGTGTGTTTTTTTCAAGGACCATGTGTTTTTGCACATTTCTATGAAAAAAAGATAAAGTAAATTACACTTATGAGAACCAGTCAGTTCGAAAGGCAGCCAGTTGTTATCACTTTGAAAGAAATGAGACTGTTCATGAGCTTTTGAAGGGGAAAGCAGCGTGCCAGGATTGGATTAGAATATATCTGCCCTGCCAAGCCTGTTGCTACATTTCCGTATTTCCCTCTTGTGGTTTAACTGCATGGCACAAACAGACTGAATGTCTCCTTCTAGGCAAATAGCCATTACATGTGATTTCAGCTGAGTGTTTTTTAACAGCAGTGCAGGATTTATCATTGTTTACAGATTGAAAGTATTGGTGCTAGATCTGTGCTTGGTTTGTCATGTCTCATATTTAGGTCAGTAGTGTGCTTATGCAGAAGTCTCTGTGAGGCTGATGAATTCATACATTAGCAAACAGCTCCCCCTTGTGGTGTAACAGGCATGGTCTACAATGTGCCAGCCGCAAATATTCAACACATGGTGCAGCCTCCCATTGTTGTGTTTATCTACATGTGTCATGGAGGGGAAGTCTTGATTAAAATCTCTAGACAGGTTTGTCATTTGGGTCATTTGCGCAGGTAATAGTTAAAAACAACTGTATTAGTTAACTTTTCATTGCAGAGGAGTGTATGAGATAAAATTTGGTTGATTTTTTTTAGTCTGTATTGTTAGGAAATATCAAATAAAACATCTCAAAATCAAATCAGTTATCTCATAGATCTTGGATTAGACTATTAGACTTTTAAAAGTCACATGAAAGGTTTATGTGTTGATTGATATTATTTTGAGTCTTTCTTGAGTAGGAAATGTCAAACATAGCACTAAGCCATCTCATTTTATGATTGTGTTGTATTTTTTGTTGATCTCATGGTAAAAGAGCTTGTAAAAATTTATTTATCCCCCTCCCAGGGAGGCTGTGCACCTCACTTGCTCCCCTGCCACCAGGAGAAAAGACTAGCAGTAAAAGTGACTGAGCTAATTGATGTTGTTCTGCAAACTCTATTTATAGCCACTCTGTATCTCAGCAGCTGTCCCTCTTCTATCCCCCTGCCCAGCCACTCTCACATTACCCCTCCACCTCCACCACTCCTCTGACCACGGCCTTACTGCGCTGTTCTGATTGTGACCCCGCCCCTGAGGTTGCCCTCCCACTCACTCAGGGCTAGTAAGCGTGTGCTCTCTGCAGACTCAGGTCCTAGCCTGCCTCGGACCTCACGCCACATCTACAAGATTGGAAGGTTAACCAGGCCTGGAGAGGAGGTAATGGGCTTGGGCCTCTTGTGGACTGAGTGTGTTTGTGTGTATGTGGCAGGCAGTGAGAACCGCTCAGGGTGTCCATGCTCTGCTTAGCAGTTCCATTTGGGCTCTGCTGGCGACTCAGAATGGCCTCCATTGCTGCTGAAACTATTTATAGGAGTGGACTCTGATGAAAGCAGGGCTGGGATGGTGAAACACGTTGCTGTGAGAGATTCTTTTTCTGTGTCCTCATTGAGTTTAAGAACAACTTTTAGGTCAAAAGACTAATAGTTGTGTAAGGATTCCTGTTGGTCACAACAAGCTGAATGTTTGCACTGGCCATTGAGGCAAGTGTTGTGCGAGAAGTTAACTTCCTGCACTCAAGCTAGTAGTTAAGTTAAAGTTTTCAGTAATTTGCTGATACCTCAACTAGATGTCTTTATTGTTGGTCAAATACTTTAATTCCCATTTTCATCCTTAACTGCTAACTTTTTTTACAATTCTGGGCCATGGATTTGAATGAAGTTGTTAGTTTACTGTGTGTTTACATGACTGTTTTAGATGCAGCAAAGAAAACCCAAATGAAGAGAAAAAAGAAAAATACCATGTCTTGTCATTTTGTTTCATTTGGCGAAGAGGTGACTCTCAAGAATATTCCAGAAAACTGACATTTTTTTTCAGCCACAAAAAAAGGCAATAAAGTTTACACTAAGAATGTTTTTTTATGGTTTGAATGAGCCTTTTTTATTTTTTTTATTGTACAGTATTTTTTAGTCTAATAACAGATGCAGCCTATAATTGAGGCTAATTGAAGTTGATGACATTCCTCAAGTGTGTCACTACTCTACATGGGATAAAAGACCAGTCTGGTAGTGTTTTCATGAATATGTATTTGATTTTGTTGCAGCATGAACAAGACACACTCTTTGCAGATGATTCAACTGAGTGATATTTGAACAAATATTTGAACATTTGTATTTTATTTTGTCAGATTTCTGTATGTAATTTAAATAGTCAGTTTTGGTAGAGTAATGTAGTTTGAGCTTCTTTTTCTCAGCAGACTGATGTAACCAAACTGTTTCCTCTCTTTTTAAGCCTGGCTATAGTTGAACTTATTTGACGTGTTTGAAGTATCAGGGAGCTTGTAGTTGTAGAGTCATACTTTCTAAGTAACCTCAAAAAACTGTTTATGTAAATGAACAGCATGTATGTTCCTTTGTAGGTTTCTACAAACTATCATCCTTCACTGAATATAACGAGTTTTCTGCAACACTCATTTATTTTTTAGCTTTGTGACGTCACCACGAATATTTAAATTGAAAGCAGTTGTGACTGAGAGATTGAATTGATTGAGAGTAAGGCCAGAATATTACAAATAAAGATACTTTTATAGCTTCAGGTCTTCTTGTTGGATAATTATGTTCATGTTTTAAACTTGTAATCTGTTGCAGTGTAAGGATATCAAACCATTTCATCTTGTTGTTCATGTGTTCTGTCCTCAGTGCTGCATGGTCCCACCGTCCTGTTGGTGTTTGACCTGTTGTGTGCAGAAAACAAGTTCACAGTTTCCCATCACCTACACCTAAATTCTTATTCTTCTTCTTTCTGCACGCTGCACCCTCCTCTCCCCGGCTGTCCATTTGTTTGTTTTCTCTCATCACTCTGTACATTTATTCGCCACGCCACCCAGCTTGTTCCATGACTTCTGGCCTGTCACCATGGCGTACAAATCACGCTTTTCATTCTGGGAGCAAAAGGGAAGTCTCGCGTTTTGGTGCTTTTTTTTTTCCTGTTTATATCTGCCTGCTGTTGCATGTGTTTTCAAAAGCATTCGTCTGAAATTGTGGTTTGATTTCTTTTTTGTGTTGCTTCTTCTTGTGTAGGTTAAAGTTGAGAACAAGCCAGATGTAAGTTTCTTGTTCACCTGCACGCTTCTGTCACTAATTTTAACAGTATTTTTGTGCTGTGGTACAAGAAAATATAACAGGAACACGTGGCTGTGGATTGTGATCCTAACCTTCGGCTGCAGACAGAGGGCCTTTGTGCTCTACCATAGTCTGGAGAAGTTAACTGCGTGCTGAGAGCTTGAGGTGATGTTCATGATTCTCAGGGCAACAACTGTTTCCAGATTACCATGACGACCACATGGGTTTAACAGGGAACATTTTCTAGCCATTAAATGCCCTAATTGATGGACCGCTGTCTGAAACACAGTGTCCTCTTCGCTTTATCCACTTATTTTGAGGTGATAAAGATTAAGACTGGAATTAAAATCACAAATCTTCAGGATTAAATTTCAGGATTAAACGTTTTGATAGAATTCAAGAATAAATAGGTTCTTGTCCTTTTTACTATATAGTTTTTTATGTGAAATCTTATTATGTATTTACAAACGTCTTGCTCTGACTATTTATCAATATGTCAGTGTGAATATAAGCAATCACACAAAAAAGTAGTTCTCGAGGCAGAGGAACATGTGTGTTGTTTCTGAAATAAGTGTTTACACAAATGAGCTGAAAGTGCTGAAATATGTCTAAATATAGCATACGGTTACAGCAACAATTATTTTTCTCCAAACTAGCTAAACCACATGATAATTTCAACCTTCAGTGGTTGACAGTCTGGCTACCATGCTGGTTCTCTGCCTAGTTTCTCAACAAAAGAGACTGAGCTGTCCGGCATCTCTTTTGATAATTCACTTCACTACCGCCAATTACTTCATACACCCCACTTAGATAAACACAAACAAAACAAACTATTCCATGAAACATGGTGTTTCCCTCAAAACATGCAGAGATAGTGAGGAGTCGTCCAAAGATGCATCTGCTTGTATTTATATTCCACCACTGGAGCTTTGAAAGGTTGCTTTGTGTTTGTGTCGAAATTTTTGGGCATTGAGTATCTTTGACTGGCATAAGCATTGAAAACACTTATACAGAGTCAAATAGGATTCATGCTAACCTTGAGAGTTATTGTGTTTTTCTTTTTGGGATCAGCATAGGGCTGCACGATTTTGGCCAAAATAAATAATAATAAAATCCAATTTTTTTTCGCTGAAAACTCAATTTTTGATTTAGATTTTGATTATTTATTCAGTGACAGCTTCTCCAGACTTTATTGTAATAATACGTTTTTCTATTATCTCTCAAAATGAAACCACTGAAAATTATGTAGTGCATATGCCAAGCCAGGAAGTGGCACAAAAGTCAGAAGAAGAGTACAGAGCATACGTATAAAGGTTGTTTTGGACAGACGTGCAGCCGCCATAAGAAAAGAGTTACACTGAGTGTGACATAATTGTTTCGAGAGATGCAGATAGGCATCCACACGGAGATGAAGAGGTAGTTGTTTACAGATTTATGCACTCTGACCCATTTTAAAAAAGTACTGTTTACAGTCACCCGAAACGCTGTTCCTGTGGGGATGAAATGCCTACATGACAAAAAACTTTTGCGCTTACCCCTAAGCTCGTTACAGAGTGGGGACGTGTGGACGGGTTGATACCGCCTTCAGACAGACTTTGCAGCTGGGAGTGGTTTGGTCTTCATCCGAAACTGCGAAGCCGTACCAATTACACCCGACTGAGTTGCTCTTGCCCTATTTAGCCACGGAATTATCGCCTTCTTTTGCAAACGCCATGTTTGTTTACATGGGTGTGTGTGGGAAGTGGGAGTGCTCCCACAGGAAGGGGGAGCGAGACATGACAGAGAGGAAAATCGATTTGACGATTTTATTTTTTTTAACATCGTCATAATCAAATAATCTGATTATGATTTAAAACCCATTCATCGTGCAGCCCTAGATAAGTTTATCAACAAAAGTGTAATTTTATTTATGTTTGGTTCCTCAGTTGAATGCAATGTGTGCATGCTCAGTATGTGCATAATATTTTGAGTACATTTCTAAGCATTAACCAATATTCTCACAAGTGACAACTAAATAAATATTGGCTCAAATATTCACTAGAGCTTCATACTAACTTGAGTGGAAATTTTTTTAAGACATAAACAGACATGCAGTGGTCTATAGAAATCACTTCCTTCATGATCTTTAATAGACTATCTGAGCTGAGCACCAGCTACTGGAGTTGATGTGCATAAACCATGAGAATAATCTGCACCTTTGTCCACCTTGCTCTGTTTGTATCCAGTCTGATGTGGATAGCACTCAGCCTCAGTCAGTCTCTACACAAGGGCTAGATACAAGAAGTGGTCCTCAGTCAACTGCATCCACAGCTGAAGAGTCCAACAGTGACGGTGCCATGGGTGGTCCAGATAATCCGAGTCAGGATCAGGCTGGCAAAAAAGTGGTGAAGGTTGTTCGGAGAGTTGTAAGACGTGTCGTTCCGTCTGGGAGTGAAGAGACAGTCCGGCCCGCTGTTTCAGAGTCTGTGAGGACGACTGCTTCTGCAGAATCCGTGCTGAAAACCACCAGAACTGTTAGCGCGGATAAGGATGATATCTCCATGGGATTAACCAGTTTGATGGGCAGAGGAAGAACCAAGGAACATCGGCCTCGGACACGCAATCAGGACCGCAAAGAGGACTCGAAAGAGGAAGTGAAGCAGGAGGAAGAGGAGGAGAGAGAAGAGGAGGAGAAAACCACTGTAGAAAAATCAGAAGAAGCTGCAACCACGACACCACCACCAAAGTCTAACCCCCTCACCCCTCCAGCAGGGTTCATCCCTGCCCCTAAACCTGACCCTTTAGCTCCACCTGCTGGCTTCATCCCCGCCCACAAACCTGACCCTTTAGCTCCGCCTGCTGGCTTCATCCCTGCCCCCAAACAGAATCTGCTGACTCCTCCACCTGGCTTCATCCCTGCAAGAAAATCCAGCCCCGTGCCCCCTAAACAGAGCCCACTTGCAAGACCCCCAGGATTCATCCCTGTCATAAAGACAGACCCTCTGGCTCCTCCTGCAGGGTTCATCCCGAAGCCCCGTCAAGTCCCTGTGAAGAAACCAGAGGTACTGGGAAATCAGTGCATGTTCATGACTTAATCTCTGAGTGGAGCAAACTGAGTCAGGGGAATAAATGCAACTTTCCATGTCCTAAAATTTAATCTAAATTTATGAGATTTCCCGTAATCAAGCAATTTATGAAGAGGACTCATGCATAAATGACTAGAACTTGTGACTTTGTGATATTGAAGACATTAGTAGCATGATTATTCTTGAATAGAATGAAACGCTAGATGAGTTCAAATGATTCAAGAGCATTACTAGACGGACAGGTTGAATTCTAGTCCAGAGGGAGGACAGACACTGAGATGGAGGTCTAAGTGATTCTTGGCTCATTTCTCTTTGTTAAAAAGTAGATATTTTAAATATCAATATTTGTTAGTCCCTTGATATCCAGGCGAATCTCCGTCTGGTTATGTACATGTGAGACAACCTAAACTCGAGTGCCTTTTGGTTGTTGCTCGACATCACGCTCATATCACAGCCAACCCATCGTGACCAATCACCATTTTGTCTTTGTCAGGCCTGATAGAATTAAACCACCCTTACTAAGTGAAGGGAAGCGTGGGTGCATGTTCCAGCCCATGATCAGACTTCATCAGTGGGTGTCAGAGTGTACTCATCGCCTGCTCTCGGCTAGTTCAGTCAGTTTGAGGCTTCAATGAGCGCTGAGCTGTGACTCATTACTGTCACTTGCTGCAGGCAGAGGGTTGAAGTCGTGCACTTTCTGGGCCTCTTTTGGGATGTTTCTTTTAAAGAAGTGGGTCATGATTAGGATATAAATATTGCGCATACAAAGATAATTAATCAGTTGTGCTTGTCAGTTGTCTAGATTAGTCGTTATGTCCCCATGAGACGCCTGGAGCCTGTGGTGTGATAACTACATTGGTCGTTTTGCTAAACTTCTGATTTTTTGTCCATGAACAGCTTCAAACTTGTAATTTTTGTCACAGTCCCTGCTTCGATTTGTTCCTCAGACAAGGTTATATGCCTGTCCTATAATTTAGTGTCTGCCACTCTGTTGGTCTGCAGGCTATCCAAAAATGTTATTAACAGATGTCCATGAAATCTGGCGATCAGCTGGGCATCTGGCCGTGGAGCTATGATTTGATTTTGGAGATACGCACTTGGTGTTTTTGCCGAGGGAACATTGTGTTTTTAACCGCTTTGGGGGGGACGATTTGGGGTTCGAATATGAACTTAAGAATTTACATTTCTGTGTGGTTAAGTGTTCTTGGAGGTTTGTGCTGTCTCACAAGAGTCACATATTGATTAGACTGTGTCCAAACAACCATTTTCTAATGACAGCCAATGCAATTAGATACAACATGATTATCCCTTGAAGAAGTCAATGTAATGTGAGATTTGCTGTCTTTAGGTCTTGAGAGAACGTTTTTAGACGGCTGATTAAAAAGCTATATAACAGCTCCAAACATGATTTCATTTAAACATTACAGCAAATTAGATGTGATGACTTTTTAATAGAGATGCACCAATCCATTTTTTTCCGATCCAATCCAATACTGATACCTGGGCTGAGCGTATCGGCCGATATCCGATGCCGATCCGATATTACTGTTGAATGAATGAACTGTATAGCTTGCCCTGTGAGTGAAAGCATCAGGCTTGTTAAAAAAAGTGTAACAAATTAACACAGATATAAATTTACTTAATATTATTTATTAACAAATAACAAATTGCAAATTAGCACACAGCAAAAAGAAGTAAGACTTCCATGTAAACATTTAGTGCAAAAGGATAGACAGACGTAGAATATAGAGCGAACAGAATTGCTGTGTTGATGTGTATGATTTTGATTAAAAGAAAAAAAGACTGGGTCGGAACGCTGGATCGGCGTCATTCATCAGATTTCCGAACCAGTTAATTTGTCAATATCAGAGCCGATATCCGATCCAAATATCAGATTGGTGCATCCCTACGTTTTAATGATCAAAAAAGTTGTCATGCAGTTCAACTTTAACTTGAAATTCAACTTTGATGCAAAAACAGCAGCTAAGAGTGAAAATAAAGAGTAGTATTCACATGGCTGTGCACTTCAGCAGAGCAAAGTCATAAAATGTAATGATTTGATTTCGATGCTTCTTTCCTTTGATTTGAGTGCAATTGCATGGAAATTCAATCCAGATGATGCTTAGTTGTGTAATTCTAAGCAGATTGTTTCAAGTTACCACTAACAAACAAAAGCTTTGAACCAGTATTCTTCCTCTGTGATGCTCAATGATCACATTTTCCATAATCCTCATTTCCCTCTAACTCATTTCCTGATCGAACCAGTGGAAAAATTAAACAAGTGGAAACAGAAGTCGATTATAGATGGTTGTAATTTTCTGAATACACCAAACATAATTATAACCGCCATCCTCATTCTCATCTCCCCATGTCATTTCCATCTCTGTGTGTTTGTGCTCATGTTGTCTGTCGAACTGTGCGTCTGTGGGAATTTGAATATGTTGTATAAAAGGTACAGGAGACTTCTTTACCTCCTGTGGTCTCCAACGGTAAGCCATCCCCCGTTGTTCTGACCCAGGCGCAGACTTCACCCAGTGAACAGGTGTGTGCTCAACTTACTGCAAAGGTACACTCTCAAGTGTGTGTTTCTAACATCCAGAAGTAAAAGATTTTTGCATTAGATGCCTCTACAAACACAGTGTAGTTGAGTTCAGTGAAAGATTGGACTCATTGCCTTTGGATCATTGATTTGCTTTCCGGCTGCCCAATTGCGATTGCTGGTCCTGCTATCTAACTGTAGGTCCCTGAGCTGATTCCTACTGAGGAAGATCACAAGCGTGTGAAGAGGATCTTCACCGTGGATGGCAGTGATGTAACTTCCCTCTCTGTCTCTCTTTGTTTGTTTGGTTTGCACCTGCCATGTTTTCCCATAGGCTTCCCCTGTAAGCAGCCTGAGCCAACAGCTTATTTGTCCGAAAGTGACAGAGGTCCACGCTGGGCTGTCCTGTATTGAGCTGTCCCTCTGCTGATAGGGTTTAAGTTTCAGAGGTTGTTGTCTGCTTGGTGTGAAATCTGAAACTCTGAGATATTTTCTGTGATTTATCAGTTCTCAAGATTACTAGTTCAGGACAAAATGCAGGATACCATGGGGTATAAACCATACTAGTTTTATAAAAAAAACTTCAATGGATGTGCTTTAAATGGATTTTTAATCAAAGATTGTTTCTGGTAACTTTCAGAATAGACATGCGTACTTCTAATAATGAATTGTAACAGCTCTAGCCTTTCTTTTTCTTTCTTTCAAAATATTGTTTGCTGTGCCATCCGGTCCAGAAGAGTGTCTGTGTATTATGTAATGATTTACTGTATTTGCTTGCTGTTTTTTTTTGGGCAGTCCGTGATCACATTACAGTTTGTGCTTATTCCTGTCTTGAGGTCTAGAGCACTGCAAGGCTCTTCTTTTTTATCTCTCCTCCTTGCTCTGATATTAAGCTGTCTCAAATTGTGTCCCATCATGTGTCTCTTCTTTTGCTTCTCTGTGTGTCATTGGATCCTGAATTGCTGCTGTCTTCCTTGCTGTTTGCATGGCCAGCGTGCCAGAAGCCACAAATCCTCTCAGGTACAGCCTGCTCCACAGGCAGCTCGCAGTGCCCCTCTCGCCTGGAGAGTGCTGTAGTCTGAAGCTAGTTCCCCTCTGCTGACCTCCCTTTGTTTGTGCATGATCGCTGGTCTTTGTCCCCTCGCCGCTCTATGAAGTTCACTGTGAGTTCACAAGCACAGAATATTGTAATGTGACATCAAGCAGTAATTACCAAAGAGAGAATAGGGATTGTCGACTGATTTTACAGGTTATGAAAAACAACCTTAACATAGTTTAAGGAATACTATGTAATAGTTTTGGAGCTTTAAGATAAAGAGGCAGGACTGAAGTTGTCATGGCAAGCACATGGAAGACAGGGGTGTGTCCAAAAGGATAGCCAGGGGTGGCTTCAAGCCCCCCCCCCAATAAAATCTGAGATAGGGGTGGGGAAAAAAATCGATACAGCATAGTATCGCAGTATTTTGTCTGTTGATATATTTTATCGTCTCATTTACCAAGTATAGATTTTTTAAAATTAATTGCTACAACAACAAATATATATAAGGTTTGCAAGATGTGCTACATGAAAATAAAATACTGTGTAAATAAGACAAACATAAAGGAAAGACAAATGCTAAATTAGCTAAACAGTTAAAAAATTTGTATGAATCGCAACATGTTGTATCGTAAAACTCACTGTATTGCAAAATGTTAAATACAGCAATAATATCGTATCGTGGCCCAAGTATCATGATAATATCGTATCGTGGGGCCAATTGCTTTTATAATTGTGTCCTTGGATCTCTTGGATCACTTTTCATGCTTTAAAGAATTGGGCGAGAGATTAATTGTTGCAACTTTGATGTATAATTTCTTTAGAGAAAAGAAAAATACACACTCGAAAATTATATCTGTAAATGGGCTAGGCCCTTTCAGAAGAATAGATCTAGACATACTCCTGAAGTATACAGTGGTTTTCTCAGTAGTTTTTTCCTTTTAGCGTATCCCTGTGTTTATGCAGTACTGTGTTATCCCTCTATGGCCAAGGTCACAAGCATTTGTCTTCAGTGCCTTTTGACACCTAGCTGCACAGTTTCCTGGATTAAAACCTCACTGTGTGCAACTGATCGTATTAACTGTGACTAGTAATGTAATATAATGTGGTTTTCCCCATAGACCCTTGAACTCTTTGTACTTTAATGCATCTTGTAATCCCTGCTTATTAATGTGCTAACAGTGTAATGTTTTTTATGGTGAATTACTGCAGTGACTCACTTTTTTCTGCTGTTGTTGCTCATCTACATTGTTCAGATGCTGCTAGCCTTGCTGTTTTTTTGTTGTATGTTTGCCGTGATTTATCATCAAATGTTTTCACCATGTTGCATTTTGCATTGTTTCGATCCTGCATTTGAGGTTGCAATAGAAAATAACTTTTAATTGTTTGATTGAATCTCAAAACAACGCTGATTTTGCTCCTTCCCCTCCGCAGTCCAAGCCTGTGGAGGACCCTGTGGCCATCCTTCAGGCAGCGCACTCAGCTGCAGCTAAGGTCTGACCATAACTACAGCTGATTGTAGATGTGGTTGTATCCCCTCTCTGTGTTTCAGAGTGCCGTCTTTTGTGGTTGGTGTGTGCAAAGAAGTAATATCGAGGAGTATAAACATGAAAGCCCAGCTCTCATTATCCCTGTAGTACCATATACTATACTTGTGCATGCATGCTGTTCCTACACTTAAACCAAGCAGAGAGAAGACAAAGCATGTGCAGGATTGTGCAGCTGACTTTTCAACTTTATACAGTTTGATAGATTGTCTAAGTATTATTATTTTTATCACACTTGACTCGATAAGACCAGATCCCCTGAACTCCTATATTTATGTATCTATGATATACCCGGTTTTAAAGAAATACCCTGGTCTCATCTCCTCACCTCTTTACCTGTTCAGTGCACTATGTGAGCTCTAAAGTGTGTTTTATGTTAACCTGTAGTTCTTCTGTGGAGGGCATTGACTGCATTTATATGGACGATGTACCTTTACTTCCTTCTGTAGTAAATAGTAAAGCTAAAATACCATTTGTTTTGGAGCCAAGGCGTGCACAGAAACAATATAACAGGTGGAGCTGCTGGAATGAGCTCATGCCCCTTCTGCTAATCGAAAACACACATGTAACTTACTGATAAAACAGCGAAGACCCCTCTGGTCGGCACAGTCCACAACAAACTCATGGTTGTGGAAAGTTACATTACTGGCCCTCGCATTTAACGCTGTCAGTTGCGACACAAGATCTACGGGAGAAGATAAGGGCCACAAGAAGATAAAAAAATAATTACAGGAGGGAGATTTTTTACAATTTACATTTCGACATTAAATTTGAAATTTCGATTAAAGTCGAAATTTTTAAAAGTCAAAATTTTGACTTTGTTAATGTTGACTTTAATCTCAGAATTTTGACTTTTTGATCCCAAAATTAATTTTTTTTAATCTCGAAATTTTGACATTATTCACGACATTTTGACATTTTGTAATCTCGAAATCTCAACTTTAATCTTGAAATTTATATTTTTGATTGCGAAATTTCAACTTCATTGATATAATTTCGATTTTTTTAAATCCCGAAAATTTTGACTTTAATCCAAAATTTCAACTATAATCTCCTTCCTGTGATATACTTTTTTCTCTTCATGTGGCCTTAATCCTCTTTTGTACAGATACTTTCTTTAAGGCATTGAATAAAACAAAATTTGGTTTACTAAAAAACAACATGCACACAATATAATAAAATAACATGAAATGAACTAAAATGACAGCAAGCATGTTATAGAAAAGATAATTTGAGATGTGTTTTAAATTTCTAGTTTGACCCATGTCTCATTGTTAATCAAAGTAAAAGTGGCTTTTATCAAAGTGTTTTGGCCTCAATATCAGGGAGCGGTTGCGCCATCCATCTTCTCATACATGCTATGATAGTGGACATAAATACTTGAGGTCAAACAGGAAAACATAGAAGCTCATATTCATTCGTAGTTTTGTTTTAAAACATGCTCTTCACTGCTTGAATTTGTTCCCGTTTGTATGTCTTGTGTTTGCTCCAAGAGGTGTTATCTGTGGAAGTGCATTTGAGAAAATGTATTTAATCATTTGTGCAATCACTTAATTGATTGACTTTGTAATATGAATTGCTTTTGTCTGTTTTTATAGGGAAAGACTGAGGACCAGATAACGGCAGAAAGAGCCTGGTACAACACAGAGAAAGTATGGCTCGTTCACAAAGATGGATTTTCACTGGGTTAGTAAAATGATTGGTATTTAGGCTGTGCAGCTGTGTCTGTTTCTGTTCAATAATAAAAGGTTAGCTTTTAAAGCTCAGAAAATGCTTTGGATGATGTTAATATTACAAGAATTCACCTGATAAGACTCCTCCATTTGACCTCGGGTTGTATTAATTAGACTGAGTGTTTTTTAAAACTCTGAATGCTTATTTAGTTTTAATGCAGCTCAGGCATTATTAAACGTGATGTACCTGCCGCACATTATCAGACTTGTAAGTCCAGATGAATCTTTTCTCTCGGGCTGAGATCATATGTCATGATTTATTAACTCCACACTCTGTGGTGATGCACACAGCGACCCTCCTGAAGACGCAGGCAGGCAGCCTGCCAGAGGGGAAGGTGAAAATCCGCCTGGAGAGTGATGGATCTTTATTGGAAGTGGATGAAGATGATGTTGAGAAGGTATTTAATCATCCAATCAACTCTGAAGCGCATCAATTACAGACAATGCTCAGTAAGTGCATGACCGTTTCTGACTTTGAACTGTAGGCAAACCCTCCGGTGTTTGACCGCGTAGAGGACCTGGCCTCTCTGCAGTATTTGAATGAGTCTAGTGTGATGCACTCCCTGAGACAGCGCTACGGAGGTAACCTAGTGCACACCCACAGTGGGCCCAACATGGTGGTTATTAACCCCATTAGTGCCCCCTCCATGTACTCTGAGAAGGTAGGCTCCTGCCTGTGCATATAATGACACCTCTCGTATGTGAAAGCAGAGTACGGGGATCAGAATGAAGATAATTGATGTTCATAACCTCCTCTCTATGATATTTCCCCCTCTTTGCTCCTCTTCTCTTCTCTTCTGTCTAGGTAATGCAAATGTTCAAAGGCTGCAGAAGAGAGGAAGCCGCCCCTCACATTTACAGCATGGCCCAGTCTGCCTACAGGAACCTATTGACCACTAGACAAGATCAGTCCATTGTCCTGCTGGGCAAGAGTGGCAGTGGCAAGACCACCAACTGTCAGCACATCATTCAGTACCTGGTCACAATCGCTGGCAGCACCAACAGATCTTTCTCATGTGGGTCGAGTATTAAAGATAAGAGGGTGTCTGCTGTTGCTGATGTTTTGTTGAGGTCCTCCTGGTGTTACCTGTCTTTCCTCTTTGTTGTCTGTAGCAGAGAAATGGCAGGCAGTCTACACTATTTTGGAGGCTTTTGGGGATGCCTCTACTTGTATGAATGGGAATGCAAGTCGCTTCTCCCACATTGTTTCCTTGGATTTTGACCAGGCAGGCCTGGTGACATCAGCCTCTATTCAGGTACAAATAAACACATTTATTAGTAATCAGGGATAATCTGTACCAATCTATCATGTCTCACTTGTGTATGTTTGTTTATTGTTATTTTCTATCATTCTTATGTCATGCTCTGTTGTGTCTTCACAGACGATGCTTCTGGAGAAGACGAGGGTGGCCAGAAGACCAGAGGGAGAGGCCACTTTCAATATCTTCTACTACTTAATGGCTGGAGTGGACAGCTCTTTGAGGTTTGGACTAACTACACACTACACCACAGTTCCACAATAGACTATTAAGTTGACATATTGCAGTAAAATACTGTATTACTAAGTATTCAATGTGATTTATTGCTTTCATTTCTCCATCAGAACTGAGCTGCACCTGAACCACTTTGCAGAAAACCATGCGTTTGGAATCATGCCACAGTTGAAGGTAAATACTCGTTTCTCATCGCTGGCCTTGTTTTGACCTGTTCCAGAAATGGAAATTATCTTGATGAAGAGAAGCTTTATTTGTTTAAGAGTAACAGTTTTGGGTTTCATGTGGAGGTGCATTTCTTAATTACTGAAAAGAGGAAGAAAATATCCGTCCTTTTCATCCTCTTTTGTGTCATCCTACTCGCTAAGAAGTACTTAAAGTAGGTAATTCCAAACTTTTTTGGCACTGTTTTAGCAATGCCACCAAAACTGGCAAATCGGTAACCATTGTTGCATTTGTTCCATGTTCCTGTTTATTTGTGGTTAGGTTGAACAAGTGGCCCCAAACATCCCTCTCCCCAGTGGGAGTTTCCTAAGTAGGATGAAGAATTAGGGTCACATTAAGAAAAAAAAAATGAAGACCTTCAGATTAAAGTTATTAATTTACGAGAATAAAGTCATTACTAACGAGAATTAAGTCCTAATAAAATAGTTACAAGAATAAAGTCGTAGTAAAGTAATCACGTACGAGAGTAAAGTCAGAATAAAGTCCTTATATTCTAACTTGTTGTTTAAGATGACAGTTGTTGAAATGAGAGTCATGGAGTATTTTGTGAAAATGTACTTCAAAATAGTTCCTCAAACAAGGAGATACTTCTTTTGGCACATCAGCTCCACATTATCATAATGATTTTATTAGGATTTTATTCTTGTAACTAATGATTTTAGTATGACTTTATTCTCGTAAGTAATGATTTTATTCTTGTAAATTCACGACTTTAATCTCGAAGTCTATTTTTTTTTCTTAATGTGGCCCTAATTCTCCGTCATACTGAGGCATCCCTCTTTGCTGTCTGTGAAACACCAAACAACAGTTGTTTATAAAGTGGTCAGCATTGTTTGTTCATACTAGTGCTCACCTACTCACACATACAGTAGGAGAGTGCCATAATGAATTACAAGAATTAACATAAGACCAAGATGGGGTCTATGTTGTCACCAGTTGCGGTATTATTAAGTAAAATTTGGCCTTTGTTGAAATCTGTAAATGGCTATATTCGTACTTTAAACACGCCTCTAACCCTAATATTCATTCAATCCAGAGATCTGGTTAGGAAGATGCTCTCAGTCTTACTGATGAAAATTCAACCTGTCATTCAACAAGCTGGTCTTTAAGGCCTCTTACAGCCGTTTGTAGCAGGAAAATGAATTTTATTTCACTGTATATGTTATCCTCCAGCCTGAAGATAAACAGCGGGCCTCCCAGCAGTTTTCTAAGCTGCAGGCAGCCATGAGGGTTCTCGGGATCAGCAGTGACGAGCAGAGGGCCTTCTGGCTCGTCCTCGGGGCCATCTACCATCTGGGGGCTGCAGGAGCTACCAAAGGTGGGTGTTACTTACCAAATAGATTTAAAGTCTGCAGCTTTAAAACTTAGTAATTTTATACTGTAAGAGCGACAAAGACAGAGAAGGTTTTCATTCATGTATTCACTCAACAGAGTCTGATGAAAAAGTTCAAACAGTCATAGAGGAGCCTTTTAGAGCTCTATATGTGATCTAGAAATCTAAAATCTGTATAATCTTACTGTCAGTAACATCTTGAATCTGATGTAATACGACTGTAATACAGCTGCTTGAATAATGCATTTGCACTTAAAAGATGTCTAACAGTGCACTGGCTGCTATATTGTTTTACACTGACGCTGATTAAAAGATGAATCAGAAATCTAAGCAGCAAAAAAATGGTTAACAATATCTGATGATATCCAGATGAAATGTCATTGCAAAAAATGTTTTCCTTCACAAATGATATGAACTTAAAACAATACGAGCAATTAATGTAGTCACTTTAGGCTCCATAGTTTCATCAGATGCTCACGTGCAAAATAAGAAATGACACATTATTCTCTGTCAGATCAAGCTCTTTGTGACGTTAATTCTAATTTTAATAATATCAAACTAAAGCTACATAAAGCTCATTGTATCTGCTGAATTCACTGGCAAACTGGCAGAGCCGTAAAAGTCAGGAGACGCTGTTGCAGCTGGAGGACAAAAACCCAGCCGTCTGTTTTTGAACGCTTACTTTGACAAACATTTTATCTTGTCATAAGAATTCGTCAGCGCTCTAATGGGAACAGCAGTCCTCTTTAACCGGATGATTTTCTGCTGTCTCCTTTGAAGCTGTTTGTCTGATGAAATCTAAAGTAAGACAGTTTGATTGTTGTTTTTGTTCTGGAGTATAAGATCTTCCTCCCACTGCATTTGACTTTCATTTTAAAATTAGATATCTGCCGTTTTAATAAAGACTAGGGCTGTCAAATTCAATTTTCAACACTGGGGGAGGTTACTATTAGTCATATTTTGCATTAAGTGTAAAAGGCTTCTGCTTATAGACACCTTTAATTGAATTCTCTTTATAGTATATATCTTTTGAAGCGTGACATCTGACTATCATTTTTTTTTTAGAGTTTTAGAGTTAAACTAGGACACTTAATGATGTTGTCACTCAAAGTTTCTGACTTTCTATGTAAATTTAAGTATATCTGAGTTAAATCCAACACAATAATTATAGACAATGTATTGAAGCAAAAACTCTGCATATTGTGCTTCTAATGTACTTTGGTTCTGTCCTTATTCTCTGTCTGCACTGCAACTGACTGACAGTCATTGATGCTGAATTGTTAGGCTGCCAATCTTTTTGACATTCATTTATTACCATTTAGAAACTGTTTAAAAAAATCAGCAGTAAAAAATTTTCCCTTTCTACAGTTTTTAGGGGAATTTAGACACTGAGGAACTGGGGGATTCATGCCCTCCCATGTTGAACACACAGTTTTTCTTGAGATGGAACAAAAGTTTGATTTCTCTCAGTCTTAGAAAAAAAGTTGGTTTGGTCATGTTTGTGTTTAATTGTTCCTCGTCTGCTTTAGTTGAAGATTTGATCATCAAGTTCAAGTACCTTATGCCCACAGACACTGCAGCTCCATAGCTCCACACAAGAGGGCAGCACTGATCTCTAATCCAGAATAAGAAATTAAACCACTGAAATGCAGTTGCTTTTCTCCCTGTACTGTTCTGCAAACACATAAATAAGTTCAGCGTAGGCTGATAAATGAGTCTGAATACTAGAAGATAAAACTAGAGGAGCTATTTTGATTTTGAAGAGCCTTTTTCTCTCTGAAGTGTTTGATTTTACTCTATCATATTAGCAAACCCCATCTCCTCTTTGTGAAGTTTAGAAAGATTTGAATTTAAAATACTTACTTTGGCATCAAATCTTCCTCAGAGCAAATATTGAAATGTCTTAACTTGTCTGAACAACCATGCGGCTTATCATCACCAAAAGATTGCATTGATGAAACAGACACAACCCACCACTCTCTGTGTGAAATCCCCCAACGTCTCTTTTAAGTCTGAGAAGATAACACTCCATGGTGGATTACAGCTCAAGTTTGCACTCGTATCTGCATGTTTCCATCAGTCGCACACCAGATTAAAAAGAAACTTGAGTTTCCTAACAGATGTCTTTGTGAAAATAAATGAATTGAGTCCGCTAATGATAAGTGTTGCTTTCATTCTTGAGGCGATAAAAGTGGCTATTATCACTTCAACGTGGGACAATAGTTGTAAGAGCTTGCGGATATGCCTTTTTTTTTCCAACTGTAGTTAAGTATGTTCAAGCTGCCATCACTTTGAGCATGCTTTTAGTGCTTGTTCCCACCAGCTGTGTCAGTGTCAGCTTGACCATAGACATAATCCTACCCTGTCACAGAGGAAGGATTGTCACAAAGCTACTAGTCTAGCCATGTGCCCGGAGGTGGCTGGCAGAAGGGACTAATGGAGGTTTTCATGCACGTGTCTCAGCTGGCAGGAAACAATTTGCACGTCATGAGTGGGCCCAGAAGGCTGCCTACCTGCTGGGCTGCACCCTGGAGGAGCTCTCCTCCTCCATCTTCAAGCACCAGGCCAAGGGCACCCTGCCCAGAGTCGGCAGCGTGCGCCAGGCTTCTGACGAAAACGGCACAGCAGATGCAGGTACTCCACAGACCACATTTACAAACACACACTCTCTCCACTTCATTCCTCACAGCCCCTTTCCTCCCCCTCCTCCCTTTCTCTCTTCCTCTTTGTCACTACACACACACACACACACACACACACACACATGCATACGCCTCGGCTCATCACCTGAGGGAAATTGCATGCTGCAGAGAAAGTAAAGCTTATCTTAGTAATGAATACCACAGCTTTACAATGGCTATTGACAGATAAGTACACACACTATGTCGGGACAAGCCATTTTGGATCCTCTCCTCGCTCATTGTCCTTGAAATCATAATTGCCTCACATTGATTTTCCTACATATGCACGTCCTCTGACTTCCATCAGGACTGCAGCACACTTTGAAGGGCGTGAGGTGGCAGTTAAAAGTCAGCCACAGCGGGAACGGACAGGATTCACCTCTGTTTCACCTTTCCTGTGTTTCCCCGCCTTTTACACACGCTTATACAGTCAGATGCACACATGCAAATACCCCTCAGGCACAGCAAATTCACTGTTTGTGTAACACAGGGATGAATTATGAGAGCTTAACAGGTGGCTATTGCCTGAGTCCTTAATGACAGGTTTTTACCAAAACAATAGCAGGCCGACACTGAATACTTGGGCCATAATATGCAAAAATATGAAACTATTGTACTTCCTTTAGTTACTTCCAAAGTTTTATTTTAGCATTTATAGCTCCAAACACTTTTCCTTCTTGTTCAAGTGCTTTTCTTGTTATTTCTTGTGGTTTTTTTTTATTGTTTTTGTTTTTCTACTTTTCATACCAGGTGCAAAAGCAACTGCAATGGAGGGTTTGGAAGCCATGGCATCTGGGCTTTACTCTGAGCTTTTCACAATCCTCGTTTCTTTAATAAACCGGTTAGTATTTCAGATCCAGCACTCAAGTAAAACTTCAGCTTGTGCATCATTTCAAATCATGTCTTTAATCCAGTTTGACAGATTTCACATTTTTGTAAATTTTGGCATTTTTAATTTGAACGTTATGTCAACAAAGTTTGAGGAGGTTATCCAAGCTGGTGCAAAGAGTGTTGGTTACAAGTTGAAGCGAACCAGAAGCTCTGGTAACCTTTAGACTTAGGTTATATTTTTAGAATAAAATTAGGACCATTTGCTGTGAGGAGTTAATGTAAGGGTATGTAGGAGAGAGCTAAGGTTAAAGCTAAGGTTATATGCACCGAATGTAATCGATAAAAATGTTGCCTTAAGTAACAAAGTGCTAATGTTTATGTGTATGTGTGCCCCAGGGCCTTGAAATCCAGCCAGCATTCCCTTTGCTCTCTGCTCATCGTGGACACACCGGGCTTTCAGAACCCGCGCCTTGCTAAGCGTGAGTGCGGTGCAACCTTTGAGGACCTATGTCATAACTACACTCAAGAACGCCTGCACGGCCTCTTCTACCAGCGTACCTTTGTGCAAGAGCTGGAGAGATACAAAGAGGTACAAACACGCAAATAGCCGTGCAATCTCACTGTCTGTTTCCCCCCTTTACCTCCTTCTCCCTCTCTTTTTTTCGTCTGCTGCTTTCCCCTCCGATATGTCAGCTCCAATAGTGTATGTTTTTACACTACAGATACTTTATCCCTCCCACCTGTCATGAGCTGTGACAGGTCAAGTGCACATGTTAGAGCCTCTCATTAGAGATGCCAGTCTTCACCTCTTCTGTAGAGATCAAAGGGAAGTCACTCACAACTGCTTTTGGGAGACACACCCGGCTGCACAGCAAAGGAACTATTTTTTATCTGTCTGCCTTTGATTTTTTTTTTTTACTAAGAGTGCACTAGCACAAAAACTCAACACTGTAGCCATCCCTTATAAATTAAGATATTTAGCCCAAATTTTACTATTACTAATTTGGTAACACTTTATTAGACGCCTATCGCCATAACGCATTATAAGTATATGAATAATGCATTATAATCAGGTTATAGCACTGTATAACTATAGTAATAAATACTCATAAATGATCATAATGCTTTATGGCAATAATCATAACACATTATGAAGCATTTTATCATGACTTACAAGGTCAGGTATTATAATGTGTTATAGCTGTTAACAACAATTGCATTGCATCATCAATGTAGGCATTGTCAGTGAGTTGTTAACAGTTATAACACATTATAATACCTGACCTTGTAAGTCATGATAAAATGCTTTATAATGTGTTATGATTATTGTTATAAAGAATTGTGATCATTTATGAGTGTTTATAACTATAGTTATACAGTGCTATAACATGATTATAATGCATTATATTATATATATTTATAATGTGTTTTAGAGATAGGCATCAAATACAGTGTTGATTACATTATCCTTCTTATTTAAAATCGAGCTGGTTGCACCATGACACTAGACAGAAATCCTGATAATATTACTTGTGATGCTGTGGATTTCCCACCCACATTCCCTGCCCAGGAAAATAAAGTATTGCATAAATGAAGGTGGTGTAATTTTCACTTGCCTGACTTGAAGTATAGTGATGTGTGAAGCTGTAATTTAAAACTGGGTTAAACTCATTTTAAATGATTCACAGTGTCTACGATAGCAGTGACAGGTGGGCTGAAGTTGATTACACACTACAAGAATATACTATAGTTATGACTTTGATGAAGCTGTGTGGATGAATTTTCTAGTCTGAGAACAAAAATCATTTAGGCCTCTTCACACACAGTCAACTCCAACACTGGCATCTGTCACGGCCATACTATTAGCCCTGCCAGCATTTCCCCACATTTTTACTGCTGCCTGCTCTCTGTCACTGTGAGCTTTTTGTTCTGGTGAAGGTAATTTGGAAAATTTATTTCTGCTTTTTCCCAGAGATGTTATTTTGTGCAACATTAATGAAATGTTTGGAGACTTCATATACCTACAGGAAAAAAAAAACAGTCCTCACAAATGTCAAATGTTGTTGTTAATATAATAGAGTTGTTCTGGCCTTTCGATGTCCGACATCTAATCCATCATTTTTTCCATTTCAATATCCATAAAAATTGTCTGCCTGCAACTTCACTTGATATTCTACGATAAAAAGGTTCAGGATTTTTAAACAACTTGGATGATTGACATGTTGTTTTTATTAGGATCCAGCAGACTCCATTAGATTCATCAGAAATATTGCAAGAACACAGAAGACTGCAGGTGGTGATAGTGGTAAACTAGTTAAGAAATAACCATTCCTTATAAAATATTCAAAATTATGACCGAAGTGTATAATGTTATCTGCTTCACCTTGTTCCATTTCCCATCATCTGCATAATAATTTCATGAATATTAGCTTCCCCTTGATTAAACACATTTATGTCCAGAGAAAGATATTAACCCGCTGCTTTAACCTCCCTGGCACCGTGTCGCTACTTTGATTTCTAAAAAACGTTGTTCCTTTTTTATTAGCTTTTTAAAAACAGCTGTTTCCTGTAAGAAGTTGTGCTTCTTCTAAGTTGTATCATCACAAATCTTTAAACACTCTGCCAATCTGCTTATCTCCCCTTAGGAGAACATCGAGCTTGCTTTAGATGACACAGAGCCCAGCTCATCTCTGTCTGTAGCAGTAGTAGACCAAGCCTCAAGCCAAGCTCTGGTAAGTGTGTCTGACGCCTTTATTTCTCTTTCTAGTTTCTTGATGTTTCCATATATAAAGCTTGTGTTTGTTTAATGACTTGTCTCTGATCTTTAGGGACCTCTTTTCTTCTTTTCCAACCATGAATAACATATTTTGGCCTCAGAAGTTCTCTTTGTTTGACTTCTTAAATATTGAAAGGTGTTGCTTGGCAGAGGCTGGAAAGAGAGGGTTGGAGCTGGAAAAGAAAGGTTAGAGAATTGACTCTGAGAAGAAAGATCGATGTTTGGCCTTTGCAGCCTCAGATCTGCACCATGGAAACAGACGTAGCAGAGTTTACAGAGTCATAGATCTTTTTTGCTCGAACTCCAGTGGGTTTGGTTTGAGTGCTTTACTTTTTAAGGGGTCCTATGCTCTAATGGGAACGTCATCAGAAGCAGTGAGCTGTAGTACATCACACCACAAGCCAAAAGGGGGATCAAAACAGGGTTATTTCAAAGTCATTTCTTAAGTCAACTTTAGACATTATGATGAAAGATCTCTTTTTCACTTCTTTGTATTTTTCTTCTGTTGCAGCTCTATCACAAACAGCCCTAATGCTCAATTCATTGCAAGCCACATGGTTGTCATATATCTCCTTTTCTGTGTTGTATTTGAAGCCGGTGTCATGTGCTCAGCTGATAAGGATGTCTCGGGTGCCACTTCCTGATAGCAGCTGAAACACTTTTTGATTTTGTGTGTTTGGTCCCCTTCGCTCTCGGGATGTTCGCCATGCCAACCAAACTGGCATCCTCTATGTGCTGATTATTCTCCTATAGGGCTTGTTGTCCTCTACGAAACATTCATCTAAAACTCTTTGTGCATCATTCAAACTTTTAGACCTGTTAAGGACACTCCTCTACAGTCCAATAACAAAGTCAGCTTTTTAATTCATTCAAGCAAATGTGAGTCAGACTGCACCTTCTGTTTTTTCCAAATTCTCCTGATTGAAGAAAATAACCTTCCTCAAACACTTCCTCCAATGCCATCAACGCTGGAGCGGGTTTTATTTTCTCCTCTTTGTTCAGACTGTTTGTAGTACTAATTGTATTACTTTTTAATCCCTTTTCCCTCGCAACTTCTCTTTGTTTCCTTCCCGGTTGTATAGAAAAGCTAAACTGATGGTGCCATTATCGTAGTTACTGCTGGAGGCAGCAGAAACCCGTAATGCTTCTGAAACTTTAATTTCTGATCCCGGTCTTACCATCAGGCTCTTGACAGCCAGCTTGCACTTAGAGACATAGTGCATAGTAATTTTACTGACATTTAGGAGAAAGAAATATTGAAGGAAGCAATGGCTTTAAGGGCCAGCACTCAGCGCATGTAGGATCACTTTCTGGAGTTTTTATTAGAAGCAGTAGCTGTTTTCCTTAGTGTCAGGGAGGTACATAACTAGGAAAGGCTGAAATATTATCTTATTCATCAATGTGTTTCCATGTAATAGCTTATGCAAGCTAAATGTCCTTGTTGCAAGGTGTTTTGCCACTAATGAATGAGATACTGCTCATAAAGCACAAGTAAACAGGATGAAATAGGTAAATTGGAAAGAAAGCTGAAGACAAAGTGATGAGAGAAATCTCTGGTGAATTTTTGTTGTTTCCTCCGAAGTATTAACATTCCTGAAGGTGAAGCACGACATTTAATGATCTCACTGGGATTAGGGAGCGTTTGACCTTTGTGCGTGTGTGTTTAAGTGTGTAAACGTGTTTATCGGACAGGTACGGACGGTGCGAACAGATGAGGCACGGGGCCTGTTGTGGCTGATGGAGGAGGAGGCGCTGCAGCCCGGAGGTTCAGAGGAGACCCTGCTGGGACGGCTCTTTAGCTACTATGGACCTGCTGAGGGCGAGAGTAAAGGCAAGGAAAAGACACACAAACACGCACACACATTTATACCTACACACACAACCCAGATCTGAAACCATAACAAAGCATAAGTATTCTATTTCCCCTGATAACAGACTGCATTTGGTGAAATGGACTTGAAATCAAAAACTTAAGGTGTATATTTTTCAGCGAGTGTGCTGGTATGAATGTTAAATCTAGATTTAGTTTATTTCATATTAAAGTTCATATTGTGAATACTAGGGATGGGAGAAAAAATCAATACGGCATAGTATCGCAATATTTTGTCTGGTGATATAGCGTCTCATTTAGTGAGTATCGATTTTTTAAATTAATTGCTAATATGGAGTCAAATCTATGATAATGGAAAAATAAAATGAACTGTTTGTCCAGTGAGGTTGGCAGAGGTAACATAATAAAGCAGGAGAAAGTTAGTACAACAACGATATATAAGGTTTGCAAGATGTGCTACATGAAATTAAAATAAAGCTTAAATGAGACAAACATAAGGGAAAGCCAAATGCTAAATTAGCTAAACAGTTTAAAAAATTGTATACATCGTAATATATTGCATCGCAATACTCACTATATTGCAAAATGTTAAAGATGGCAATAATATCGTAAAGTATCATGATAATATCGTATCGTGGGGCCACTAGTGATTCCCACCCCGAGTAAATGCACACACCAGGTATGAAGTTTCACATCTATTGCTGTTTCATGAAATAATACTGTATGTGTTATAAACAACTTCTCTTTAAATCTTTATAAACTGTACCACATTGAGGAGAATGGCCCGCTATTATAGATGCAATAGAGTATACACAGAGCTTGATCTACCAGAGCATTAAATAGTAAACAAATTACAGAGACCATTTCAATCCATCTAAGGTTAGTTGACCTTACTTTAGCTAACACATAAAGGTAATTTTATCGAGTGTGCACAAAACCTTGTGGTACAAAACATGAAATTGAATAACTAAAGCGATGAAATCCTTATGCATTGTTGGTAACACTAACAATGTTGCCTGCCAAGGTTACAGCTTAGAGAAAGATCCTTTACAAAACTCAAAACTCCTCTTGAAGAAAAATGAAGATCAAAGTTTCCTTAAGGCATTCATGCTTTTCTGTTCAGTTCTTCAGTCCACATGTCCATGTGTGACCTCTCACACCATGCTTTCATAGTTATTTGCAGCACAGGACAGTATGAGGGTTTTGAAAATTACCTACTAACCTGAGACTCAATGGACCGCAAACAATAGTGATAGAAACAGGCTGTGTAGTTGTCACTGTATCAGTAATTTCAACAAGCTTTATTTAAAGCAGCTGGTACATTTGAGAGCAACTAAGCTAAGATGGACCAGCTTTCTCTGATAAAACCTTCATGCAGACTCCACAGATTCAACCTAATAGCTAACTTTCATTGTTAATATTTTTTTAACCGTGATTTCCTTTTTAGCTAAAAATGAAACTAAGACAGATTCAAGAGCACTCTCAATCACACTTGAGGAGAGACATGCCAGCAGAAAATGATGGTTATTGTGTTTTTCTTTATTTTGCACAAGTTTATTCTTGAATAACATAGATAAATACATAATTTAGCTGTAGTGAGATTTGATATGATTTTCCCATGTTCTAGCTAGACTACAAAAACAAGATTCTGAGTATAAACTCAGCACTTTAGAACAGTATTTTGATTAGTATTGAGAAGAAAACACAAGAGTCTCCATGTGACAAAGCTGGCACACATTTCTTTGCTTTCAAAAACACATTCTGCTTTCAAAATAATTGTAATATTAAACTGTAGTGATTCTGAAAAAGCAGCATCTGGTTCAAACTTTATGCTCCTTATTTTCTAAGTAATATCATCCAATCTATTACTTTGTTGTGTACATATTTTATATCCATCGCGGCTGTGTATGCTGCTAATAAATCCAGCAGCTCCACTTGCATATTTCAGTGATGCCAAAGTTTTTCTTTGTTTTTCTCACGTTTAGAGCCCACTGAGCATTTTTGAATTTCCATTTTGGCATCACCAACTTCTCTAATCTGTCACAAATCCTGCGTGACTTCAGTGTGTGCGCATGGCACCCTCTAAAAGCATTGTGGGGAAATTTACCTGTGCTTATTGTTAATGTCATTTAAGAGCTGGTGCTAACACTGCTCCAGTTCAAAGGTCACGAATCTGCCCTCTGCTTGTGAATTTGGCTGATTTTCCTTTTGGGATCTGGTGATTTTGGTTGACTCAGTTGATCAGTAAAACAGCTCGAGATATCTCATACTACCTCTAACATGTCCACCAGGTCACACTTTCCTCTTGAAGGGTGAAAAGGACAACCATTTCCTCCTGGGCCACAGTCACGGGACTGACTGGGTGGAGTACAATGCCCGTAGCTGGCTGAATTACGCTAAGCAGAATCCTGCTTCTACAAACGCTGCATTCCTCCTGCAGGACTCCCAAAAGTAAAGACCTATCTGCTTGCATGCGTCTTTGAGTGGTTATTCCATAATAACTATCACTTAAGTGAAGTTTTCAACATTTTAAGGCTGAATTGGTGTTTCTTTTGTAGGAAGATCATCAGCTCGTTGTTCATGAGCAGGGCTGGTGGAGGCACAGCCCTTACAGGATCCATTGCAGGTCTTGAAGGTGTTTCGCAGCTCTCCTTGCGGCGGGCCACCAGCATGAGGAAGACCTTCACTACTGGGGTGGCTGCTATCAAGAAGAAGTCTTTGTGCATTCAGATCAAGCTTCAAGTGGTGAGAGGAAAAGATGAAACCAAGCACTCAATCAAACTTTGATTTTTTAATATTTTTGTGTCGACTGCGACGTTCCAAAATGTGCCAACTTCACTGTGAATCAACAGATCCACCTTTTTACAATCATGGCTCCTGTTTGGTTTATTAACAGAGCATTTCACACCTGTTATGAAACGACTTGGCAGACTGATGTGATGAAGATAACAGAGCTCATAGTGAAATATTAGCCCACTTTGGTACAGTCACAAATTGCTTAATGCAGCTTTAAAGAAAATAAATTGAGATGAAAGCCAGTAATTTGGCTGCAGTCAGAGTTGGACTTGAAATTGAACTAGGCTCTGTGTGAGTCTTTCATGAAATCATTTGTGCAATTATTTGCTTTTAAAGCTTTCACTGACAGAACATAGTCATTGGCTGATTCAGTTTCTGAAGTTCACCGTTCTGCTGGACTTTGGTTGAACATGAAATATTATTACTTTTTGGTAGGGGTGTCCCGATACAACTTTTTGACTTCTAATACCATACCGATATTTTACCCTTCAGTCTTGACCGATATCGATATTGATCTGATATTGGCACAAATTGTGCACAAAATTGTCACTCAGCTGCAATGTCTTTTTCGGGGTTAAACAAAAATACTGCCACAAGGCCAACATCACTCTTACTCCTTTCTACTTTGTTAGTACCGTAGTACACACTAATGTAGTGATTTTGTGGGCTCAGCTTGCTGGATCAGGCCGCTGCTAGATAAAGGTGCCAGAATGTAGACTGGAAAGGACTGATATTGGAGATTTTAGATGCAGGCCAATATAATCCGCTATTCGTTTTTTTTTGCTGATATTGGACCAATATCCGGTATCCCGATATCAATATCGTATTGGGACACCCCTAGTATTTGGTATTGTGTTTTAGGTTTTCATTCACATGGATTATGATCATGTTGGAGAATGATAACAACATTACCAAGAATATTAAGAATAAAGGCAGGGGATACGAATCATGATCCAGCATTCACAGTCAACATATAAATGTATATAAAAAATACAGTTTTACAAAAAAAACAGTATGACAGCATGACTGAGCTGTACGGTTTTCTGCAGAATTAAGTAAAATACATAACAAGAAATGTGCAGACGGTCAGAGTATAAAGAATGAATAAGTTTAAAGGGTTAAAGATGGAAATATACAGCTGGATGTGCACATGTGTAGCTCCTAAGAACTTCTCAGAAGGTTGTTGCTGCCCCAACCATGACTATAAATCAAGCTGGTAAAAGGAAACAGAAACTTGTACCAGGGGTTAAAAAACCAAGGTGTTCATGTAGCAGAAAACAAATTATTGTATAACGAACAACAGAAAAATATAGCAACAAACATCACTTATAAATACATGAGGTTAAGCAGCAGGGAGCAGAACTGGCCTGCTTAAGTAATCCACATTAAGCTTTACAGTACAGAGTGTATGTTCATAAGTGCTTGGTAAAAGCACCATTAAGAATGAATGTGGTTTCATTTACCTTAGATATGCTTGTTAATTCAGGACTGTGAGGTGCAAAGGATTTTGCTGTTTTGGTGCCAAAGTTAATGATTGCACAAAAATGTGTATGTGGATAATACTCAATGACTTATCCCTGCCAGAGTCCCTAACCCTGCTCTGTTATTCTCAGGACGCTCTCCTTGATATGGTGCGGAGGTCCAGGACTCACTTTGTTCACTGCATTTTGCCCAAGGCTGATGCCCTTAAGGCTCTTAGTGGATCCCTGTTCAAAGCAGGGGAATGTGAGGCTCAGGGGGAGACTGGAGATCCAGGCTTGATGCAGCTGGATGTAGCCTTGCTTCGTGCTCAGCTCCGAGGCTCAAAGCTGCTCGATGCTCTCCGTATCTACAGGCAAGGTGAGGCAGCTGCTTAAGCCTCAGACTAATAAAGGGCAAAGACACACAGACCTCAAGTGTGTCTGAAAATTTGAATCTAAAAGTTTTTTTTCAGGTATTTGTTCATTTAAAAGTCTCCTTCATTTTTCCACCATTCAAATAAATGATGTAACTTAACACTGACCTTCACAGGTTACCCCGATCACATGGTGTTCTCTGAGTTTCGACGGCGCTTTGATGTGCTGGCACCGCACCTCACCAAGAAGCACGGGAGGAATTACATTGTGAAGGACGAGAAGAGAGTAAGTCAATCAGCCAGAGAGGAAAATGTACGGCCCCGCCAGTTGCCAGGCAAGCACAGTGAAGATTAATGTTGTGAGGAGGCAGCTTCATTACATCTGCCCCTGGTTTGTCAGCAGCCAACTGACAGAGGGATAAACTGTCATCAGTCAGAGCCTTTGTAATGATCTAATCAACTTAACCTTATCAATATCATGCCTGTTAAAGAGGCGGATCAGCATTTTGGCTTAAAGAGCTTATCATCTTTTGTAATGCAGGAACTAGCTGTCAAGGTTTTTTTTCCCCTTGCTTTGACTGTGCTGATGTTTTACCCCTTAAGTGCTTCTGTTGCAGATTTGAGGCTGTATGTGTGTGTCTATCGCCTCAGAAAGGAACAAAACGGATAATTATCACTTTATGAGGTGTGGAATTTTTTTTAACTACTTAACATTTCTGTTGTTACACTCCAAGGACTATCATGTAAAAAGAAGCATCTTTAGTGTCATATTATAGGGTTTATCTTGTTTTTTTCTTCCATGATGACATAACTTCACACAGCAGGTGTAATCACAAAGCATTTGGACTTCATGTCATCCAGCTGCAACAAGCTGTTATGTTGTAGCTTGTATCCATGGATGCTTTGGCCTTTATATCACTAGAAACCGAGACAAAATACATAAATTCATATATCTATATTTATGAACCGTACATCTTGAAGATCAGTTCCGGTTCTGCACCCATGTGACTTTAAACACAGATTCAGAAATAGCAGGCTTACTCACTCAAGGTAATTTCAGATACTATTAAAGATATGCACAATATACAACACAGTGTTCACAAAAGTGAATTCAAAAAGAAATACTATAAATATATATACATAAAATGCAGTATCAACGCAAACGATTTCTCGCTTAGAGCAGTTGAATCACAACAAAGAAGAATGCACTGATTCTTACAATAATAACAATACTCTAGAGTTTTTTTTTAATTAATACCTCTAAATTTTTTAAGTGCCACTCTGACACAGTAGATGAGATGAACACTGAGGTGGAAAATAAAAAGGATTTTGTCCCAATAAAGTATTTCTTTTAATAGCCGTGAACACTTGGTATACAATATTTAACTTAAAGCAACTGTTGGGATCTTCAGTTTGGATTTGGCGCCTCCTGTGGACAAAGTACATTATACCCACTGAGCGATTGACGGCCATTAGACGTCTAGTTTTTCTTAGACCTAACTTTAACTGTCTAGATTCTGTGTATTTTTTAGATGGAATTTAGACGTTGCACTGTAACCCATTATTTGATAACTATTTATTTCAAAAAGCAACTGTGAGTTGCATAACTAATCTTCAAGTACTTAACAAAAATAATTGTGATAGCCGTTGAGCAATATACAGTGTAGTAAAGATATAGCCCAGATTTAGACTTGGTCTAAACTTGGTCTAAATTTAGACGTCTAAAAAACTTAGACCTGTGGTAGCCTGATTTTAGACCAGTCATCTAGGCTACATTTAGACTTCTATGAGACCTCCTTTAGACTAAGAAATGCTCAGTGGGTATGAGGTCCCTTCAAGAGCACAGGAGATTCTGGTTTGGTTATCTTTAAGTCTGTTTCTGAATCAGGTTAATGCTATCCCGAAAAATCAGAGAATGGCCTAAAACATTTGATAACCTCTCGGACAGCAACAAATAGTGGATTCAATCTTTTGCATCATTTAGATTAAACAGTTTTAACAACTGTAGGCGGGACATTATTACACAGCCAAGAGTGGAGACTTCAGGCAGAGAGAGGCGGCTGTGTAAAAGCTGAACAAACGCGTTTTAAAATAAACTTACTTTATGGGCTAACGGTGGAAAAAACAGCTGATGAGTATTGCAAAAATGCTGAATATCGGCCAATATTATTGGTCGATCCTTAGTTAAAACTATTGTGAATATTAAAAGAGGCTTGTTGTTTTAAAGTCAATTATTATTATTTTTTTTAAACATTGTGCAAACATCTTGTTGCAGCATTGAAACAGATTTGTATTATAACGCATTTTCCACATTATAAAATGTTAGTGATCAGCTTTTTCCTCACATGGCGGCTTTAGGCTTCCATTCAAGTTAATGAAAAAATGATTGCACAGCGATTGTATGAGGATTATTCTTAACTATCAGGGAAGTTTTGTTTTGGTGCTCTTGGCAACAGAAGTCTTGCTCGCAGTGCAGTGGAGGAAAAACATTTAAGCAAAAGTTTGTTTCTAGAAAGAAATGAGGAGGATACAGAGAGAGTAAGTGAAAGAATGGGGTTGGGAGAGAAAAGCTCTTCTCCCCTGTGTCTGTGTACTGGGGCTGAGTTTCTGTGGAAACACTGGCAAACAAAAGCCCCTCAGTGCTCATGGCAAACCTCTCCTGGTGTAATCTAGATGTGCTCTTTCAGGCCGGAGGCTCAAGCAGAGAGAAAAGGCTGAAAGAGAACAGTACACCTACAGTATGCACAGGCTGCTAGATGGCCGGGGAGAGGCTCCAGGCTGGCTGATGCGGTATCTCTGTATAGCCTGGATATTTGTTCAAAGCTGCGATAGGGCCCAGACCACCAGGGGGTCCTGAGGAGTTAGCCAGGAGCAGGTGGATTCTCGGGGAAAAGTTGTAATTGGGTTGTGGTTGGGGTTGGGAGGCTCCGAGAAGCCAAACTTTTCCCAGGCTTACTTTCAAAAACTAAACCCAGTCAGGAATGGATGTGAGAACAGACTGGAAACTACCCTGTACCATTAGTTCAGCATGGCAACTTTTGGGAACTGTGGACTACTGAAGTGTTGCAGTGTCAGTAGAAGTTCCCACTGGATCCACCAGTTCAAAGACTAAGTGTGTCTCTGTGTGTGTGTCTTCGTGTACACATGTGCCTTCACCCAGGCTGCAGAGGAGCTACTGGAGTCCTTGGATTTGGAGAAGAGCAGCTACCACATGGGTCTGAGTAGGGTGAGTAATGCCACAAACATTTCAAACAACTAAACAGTTTTAATAAGAGTGAATACAGCCCTGCTGCCAGTCATTTTCACCTTTTAAAGCTCTTAGCACAGCGCTGCAGCGGGCTTCTCAGTTTTCTTTTAAAGCATGTACCATTTTTTTGGAGGCACTTGCTGCCTCAGGGATTGTTTCTTCATTACACCTGTCCTTCTTTGAGGTTTGTTTTCCAGCCTTTTTGAAGAGTTGCCTTTCCCACCTCTCCTGTTTTTTAGCTAGTGGCTACACAAGAGGCATGTTTCTCCTCTGCCCAAATACGTGACCGCAACTTCCTGTTTCTTTTCAGGTCATTAGAGCAAATTCTTGCAACTGATGGCCCTCTTTGTTTTGCACCACAGCCATTGTGAAGTAATCACAGTAAACACTGGCTGGCACTCTTTGGTCTAATCCAGGGGCATGGCCATAAGCCAAGAAGGAAATCAAAGGAAACAACAATGTGCAAAAACAGTGGGACTTCTGCACCCGTACATGTCCGCTGCAAAGAGTGCTTTTAAAACACAGGAGGCACTTGTAGTCCTCTTCACGGTGCCTCACTTTGGAGAAGACAGAAGTAGACAAGCACATTTGGCCATTCGGAAAGCATTCCAATGGCTTCCTAGCAACCTGTCTCACATGCATGCCAATTACAGCAGACCTACGTAACCCTGGAGAGGGGCAAGTGACACAGCTCACTCAGAATAAAACATGCATTTAGAGAAGAGCCACATCTTGAAACAGTATTTCTGTACACTTTCAAAAAGGATTCTTGAACCACTAGAATAGCCATGACAGTCACTCTTATCATTCATACACAATATACGCATATTATCATTTCTTATGAATAATTGATATCAAATCTACGAATTAATAGACCTGTATGGTTAAGATAGTTAAGGCTTAAACCTCTCATTATTCTGCCAGAGTTAATCCCTTGATCCTGATGTATTTAAAGTCTTATCTAAAAGGACAACATTATGCTGAATTAAAAAACAACACTGACTATATTATCTTCTTAGGAGGATCACCTGAACAAGCTCTTGAGTCGCTTTGTCAAACAATTTCCTGGTTTTTGGATAAAGGTAGTTTTAGGTATTCGCTATCTGAATGAATTAAATCCTCAGTGTGGATTAAGTGTCAAGCACTAATGACATATGGAGTGTTGAAGTTGTTAATATGGCTGTTCATAGTAGAAATGGTCAGTGTCTTTTTATGTTGAATAAATCGTAAACATAAAGACAAATTTTACTCTAGGGGTGGGAGAAAAAATTGATTCAGCATAGTATTGCGATATTTTGTCTGGTGATATATTTTATCGTCTAAGTCATTAAGTATTGATTTTTCAAGTTAATTTCTAATATGAAGTCAAATCTATGATAATGGAAACATAAAATCAACTGTTTGTCCAGTGAGGTTGGCAGAGGAGACATCACAGAGCTGGAGAAAGTTAGTACAACAAATATATAAGGTTTGCAAGATGTGCTACATGAAAATAAAATACAGCGTAAATAAGACAAACATAAAGACAAATGCTAAATTAGTTAAACAGTTGAAAAAAAATCGCAATATTGTATCGCAATACTGTATCGCAATACTCACTGTTATGCAAAATGTCAAAAATCGCAATAATATCGTATCATGGCCCAAGTATCGTGATAATATCGTATTGTGGGGCCACTAGTAATTCCCACCCCTATTTTACTCATACTAGTAGCAGAATGGAAAGTCATGTGGTTAAAAATGATTAAATTATCAACGTGAAATGTAAAAAAAAAAAATAACATGATCGCATTTTCCTTTCTATGCAATATGCATTGATATCTAGTCACTGGATATGTCGGTCCTCCCTATTGGTTAGCAGATCTCCCTGGGAAACAGCTTGTTCAACACTTTTTTTGTTATCTTACCATGTACAGATTAGTTCACTTTTAAAGAACTGGTTCTTGTATAGAAGGACCTTGGGTGAAGACAGTCCATCATCTATCCATTCATACCTAGCAAGCACTCTCAGTACCTAGCTCAGGTGAATTATCGACGGGCTTTGACGTGCTCTGCATTGGCTGTTCACCTGATATTTACCTTTGGCCCAGATTAGAAACAGACAAGACTGATAGTCAAGATAAAAACGTAATCACAGCTTTCTCACGTAGCTAAGACTGTCTTGTCTGGGGATTACAAAGCTTCTTATTGATTAACTGCTTCAGTGCACTTACTTTTATCTCAGCTCTATTTTTATTTTGCTCTTGTTCTTCCCATTAATCAGGTCCTCTGTGTCTGATTTCCGTTCTCGCTAAAATAAACATTACACAATCATTCAATAATTCAATACTTTGCTATTAAATTCATTCAGAGTTACATGTGTGCTTGTGTTTTTGCTCTAGTTGTTCTTCAGAGCTGGCACCTTGGCTAAGCTGGAGGAACAGAGGGATGAGCAGACCAAGCGTAATCTGACCCTGTTCCAAGCGGCCTGCAGAGGTTATCTGGCACGGCAAGCCTTCAAAAAGAGAAAGGTAGGCTTGATGTCACACCCAAAGGGAAATGTTTTGGGCATGCCAAGTCAGTTCATAAGTATTTGTATGTCTTTTTGGCACGTTTACTCAAGTTTAGCAGGCACAAAAGCTTCACTGTGTTTTTCTTTTGTATTGTGTCCACATAAAATTGAACTTTTGAATTGTCACATGCAGAAATATGCCAAAAGTAAAATGTGCAGGTAAATGTCTATGTACTACTTGGAAGCATTTATAGTCAAGTTTCAGACCTCATTAAAGCCCCATGAATTAGTAAACAAACAAAAATCAATAATCCGTTGTTCACCTTTACTCATTATTACCATTCGCAACTTGTAGAGCTGTTGTATGAACTAAATATCACATCCGAGGTTGTGCTGTTGTGCTGAGTATTGGCATGTCTGTGGCTCTCTTTATCTATGATCTGTCTACAACAACATTTGTTCTTGTGTAGTCTTGCAAATCAACATATGAGTAACTTTTCTGTTTAATATTTTTACAGATATAATTTGCAAATTTGTAACAAATAATTAAAAACCATGACATCAAATAGAAAACACACTGAACAGAGAACGTAGATATAGTCTGTATGTAATAATGCAATTAGTCACAGAAACATAAGAATAAAAGATAAATACATAGATAAAAGTAAAAGTAGATATATAAACAAAAAAAATAATAATAATAAGAGAGGGGTGGGGTGATAGGGCTTACATTGTCGCAACAAGATCCATAAATGGTTGCCATTTGTTATAGAAGTTGTTCAAGTGTCTAATATCCAATTTTCTCAGTTTTTAAGAAGGACATAACCTCCCTCATCCATGAGTAACTTTTAAGGGTTTACAATCACGAAGTAAAAGATGCAAAAATAAATTTCATACTTTAAAAGCATATGAAGTAAGCTGCTTTTTCTTCATGAATGGGTTATTGGGTGAAGGAAATGAGCTCTTGAAGCTGTGTTACCTCTGAGCCTGAGAGGTGTTGAGTTCCTCACTTAGAGCTAATTTAAGTGCATGTTTTATGCTGCACTCATGGTAGATCTAAGTAGGTCTGCAGTAAATTTCCAGTTAATTATAAATGTGTTTCATAAATGTAAATTTACCAGCCTAAACCCCGCCCCTTTGAATGAATCCATCCAATCAGCTCCCACACTGTGATATTTGCTTTTGACACATCAGTTTAACCAAAGTGTTCTCCTTTTAATGAAGCTCTATCAGATATGCTGCTGACTCACACGTCCATGCGCTCCACCCATCTTCCATTTTTCTCCCAGCGTGTGATAGGTCCATCTCTCTTGACCTCGTACACGTCTTCTTGTGATGTATGGACTCGTGCAGTTGCTCTCCCTCTCTTTGATTACTGTTTAAGTGAATGTGCTCCTTCAGCTGGCGAGTGATGAAACAGCAGAAACAGAATCAACATGGATGCTTTCCTACGAGAATGACATGCTGTTAGTGGAAAGAGACATCATGTTCACTTGTGTTTGATGCCTGTGAGATTATTAAATTGCCGACTTTGCAATAAGGTAAATCAATATGACCTTTTCTATTACTGGACTCCCAGCTCTGCTCAGTTATTACCGTTTTTACCATAAGAGTTTGAGTAATGGCTGTGAGTTCAAATGGGGAGGCAAGAGCGCCAGTGTATTTTCTTTATTAAGTTCAAAAGGTCATTATTCACACAGTGAGGCAGGCCAGTGCTTCATTATGTGCAAGGACTTAAAGGAAATCAACAGTGAGAAACCATTCAAAATTGCCAGGCAACCGTGCAATTACAAAATCCATTAGCAAAGAGGCATCTTTCCCCTTTGCCCCCATGTGCCCCCTGTCTTCTGTAAATGTGTCCTTAATAGAAAGTTAAGATTCTGGTTGGGTTTTTGTCATAACATTACTGCTTTTAACTGAATTGAAGTTGGCAGCCTCGGCTGTGACATTGAGTCATAAATTTGATCTGAACCAACGTATTGTCTGTCATGTCAAGGCTATAGGATGATCCAATGTAAAGGCTCATTAAAACTGAGCACATGGTCCAATCCAATCCAATCTGCTTTGTTTATATAGCACATTTAAAGAAGAACTCAAGTTTACCCAAGTACTGCACAGTAAAATTAAAAGAACGAACACTGCAGAAAACATCAAGAGGAAATAAATAAAAGCAGGTAAAAAAAAACATTTAAAATGAAATAAAAACACAAAAGCATAAAAGAAATAAAAGTGATTAAAAGGGCCCTAAAAGACATAAAAGGACAGAGATCACACAACTCTCATGCTGAATTAAAAGCCAAGGAACAAAAATGAAATAAAAATAAAGATAAAGATAAAATCACGAGTGGCATTAATTTCACAATTTGGGAGCCTTAGCCGAGAAAGCTCAGTCACCACAGGTTTTTGAACGTGTTGGAGCTGATCAGCAGACCTCAAGGAACGTGGGGGGGGGGGGGTATAAACATTTAGGAGGTCAGAGGTGTACTGTGGTGCTGATCTGTTTTAAGATTTAAAAACAAACAATAAAATTTTAAAATTAATCCTAAAATGAATGGGAAGCCAATGGAGGGATGCCAGGATTGGAGTGATTTGATCATGTTTTTGTTTACCTGTTAAAAAACAAGCAGCAGCAGTTTGGTCAAACTGTCAGTGTGTGAAGGAAGCCTGATTAACACCAACCTAAAGAGCATTACAGTAGTCCAACCGTATCGAAATAAAAGCATGAATCACTCGCTTAAAATCATGAAAAGATAAAACAGATTTAATCTTGGATAAAAGCCTCAGATGATAAAAACTGGATTTAACAACAGAGTTGATTTGTTGATCCAATTTAAAATCATTGTCAACTTTTACACCAAGATTTAAAACTGTGGGTTTAAAATGGAGGTAAAAGAGGATGATAATGCTGCTAAAACTTATACCCATGGCCAGCCATACTTTCCCTCAGAATAAATAAATTAGATTGAGTTTATTCCTGTTCACTAAACCAACAAATATGCATCTCAGATGTCGGGGACTTGTTTTCTATATTAAGATACAAATGATGACTGATACCACTATTATGTCTGTGGGTTTAGTTTAAAGCTACTGCCAGTGAGCAGGTTAGCCGGACACAAAGACTGGACACAGACAATGTTCAATGTAACGCTGCTCCTATCTCTGATTTCAAAGCTTGCTAAAAGTTACAGTGTCAATCAGAACCACATTATTTTTGATCATTTTGAAACTCACCATAAAAATAGTTTTTTTCTAAATATTCATTCGCATAAACTTTATTGAAAATATATTCTATGACAACACAAATGTGCGACAAAGTGAGATTATGTTGGAAACAAAAGTCCTCACTGAAATGATATGAGGAGGACAGACAAACAATGAGATATTTAAATGAATGAGTTATTGAAGCCATGCTGTCACCTATTCTTCTGATCAGAAGGTACTTTATGATGCAATATGGGATTGTGCAGCATTTCACTGCTACGCATACTCCAGAAACTCAGCTGAACTCCGGTCTTTTCTGTAATGGAAAGATTTAAATGGTCGAATTAAGACGCAAATGTTTTGCTTTCTTGAACTAAAAAAATGACCCAAAATATAAATCTGACTTCAAACAGTTTGAAGTCCTTATCTGCAGTCAAGTGTGAGATTAAGATATAGAGAAATCAGAAGGAAGTGTACTGCTGGAAATTACTTCTCAAGCAAAGAAAGTATGCTGAATTTTGTTCATCATTCAGTTATTTCACTTGTCCAGTATGCGGTATACAGCACTTGGTGCAGTGATCTCCTAAAGGGCATCTTTCTCCTCTTGAATCTCATCGTTTTTATGTTACTACTGATCCAGTTAGCACACCCCTGAGAAATTGAACACAAGCAGGCCTGTGGTGGATTATTAAGTGATTTTCATCTCCCCATCTCTCCATGTAGAAGATTTACAGTGTGTGCTGCTGTTCAATCTGAGAGTAATCATCATATAATAACATCCAATTGCACCCTTGCTGTTACCTTGTATTTGTGGAAATTGATTGGGCTCTGTTGCCTCTTGCTCAGTTTGAAGTATCCAGTCTTAACAAGCACAGTACACTACATGATCATTTGCCTCAGGAAGTGTGCAGATGAGTTCTGGCGAGCAAAGCCTGTCAGACGCTCAGTGGTTAATGTATATGGATGTGAGTAGAAATTAATATTCTCTGGCATGTTAAACATGTAAAGTGAGTCAGGCTCATGTGACATTAAATGACAAAGCCATATTTTCCCCCTTTTTCCTTCTTCCAGCTGGTTACCCAAGGGGACAACCTGACATTTTAAAAGTATGTTATTTTGTCTCAGCTGGTGCGTAGCGCATTGGGAATTTTGTCCTTCAGGAACTAAATGAATGTTCTTTTTTTAGCTTCTTCTTGTGGTGAAACCAGTGTAAGGCAGCAAAGCTTTTGGCCAGTGATGGTTTACCTGCTCATCTGCACTTTCCTTTATTTCAGGCTTTTATCACGTCTACCAGCTTTATACTCAGAATATGCTGATGAATAGCAAGAAAAATGGCCAAATGAATCATATTTTTGTAAGATTGAGATGTCACAATTAAATTGGTTGACAGGCTTGCCATGCAAACCTACATTCTGCTGAGAATAGGGAGGGGTGGTGGTGGTGGGGGTATGGGGCATAACAAAAAAAATGGAGCATGGCAGACTTTTTCATGTAAAAAATAGGATATAATAATGATGCAGTTTCTGCAACTGAAGATTCACATTTCGAAAGAAAGGTTGGGATGTTCCTAAACTGCACTGAATAAGTGATCCCCATACTACTGCAGAGCAAATGCTGTTATTTTTCAATGAGATTACTTTCCCTTATTTGAACAAGACAGATTATTGTGAGGAGATACTGACAAATGATGATAACCTGCTACTTATTAAATATAACTCCCAGTTTCTTAACATTGGTGCTAAGTAACAGACCAATGCCATTTAATGCAATTATATCTTTAGAAACTGTCTCTCTAAGGTGTTTGGGGCCAAGAACATTATCTGTAAATTCGTCTGAGTCGACTAGCAAAAAGCTTGTTAGTCATTCATGTATTTATATAACTAAGAAATGCCTCTAGTTGAGTAATCTGATTGGTATCTTCCGGCTTCATTTATTTGCTATAACCCAGTATCATCTGCCAAACAGTGAAAAAAAGCAAATTTTCCTCTTGAAATTTCTTAAAGGTAGTATGTATAGAGTGAAAAGAATTGGCCCAAACCGTAGACTGTTTATAGAATGGACGCCATCTGCCTCCTCGCTGGGTGAAGCCATCCCGAGAACAGCACCCTCTGGTGATGGGCTGCAGTATAGGTCATAAATCCCGCCTCCTCTAGCAATCCCTATGGAGCTGTGGACAAACTTTAGAAAGTAATTACACAGAATTTACATTTTTTCATCCCCCCTGCATGCAGTTTTGACATGTAGTTACTGTAAGACTAGTTGAAGATTGCGGAGCTCACCCGGGGGATTTGCTGTTTATATATATATATATATATATATATATATATATATATATATATATTTGTATATATATATATATATATGTATATATATTTGTATATATATATATATATGTATATATACATATATATATATGTGTGTGTGTGTGTGTGTGTGTGTGTGTATATGTGTGTGTGTGTGTGTGTGTGTATGTTTATAAACTGAGGGAGTGGTAGGGCCCTGATTATACCATATATCTAATCACAGCTGCTTTCCTTAAGCATGTTGTCACATCATGCTCCATGAACTGATCATTAAGTGTTGCCTTCAAAGATGGGATCAAAGTGATATCAGAAGACGCATCAGTCAGATATCACAGCACTTAGGATATCATGCAGATCTGATTGAATGCATATGGCTCATGCACTGAGAGCACAACTGTGAACTGTAATAGTGAAAAGAGTGAAGGAGGGAACATAAAATCACATTTTTGTCTCAATCTTGGCTCACAATCCTAATTCACATCATGCTGTCTCACAGTTGTCACACCCCCTTAATGTGACATGAATATCAAACTGCTTTTTCATGGTGCTCATGTAGCATACTCTTTTGTTTGTTTTTTATTCATTTTTGACTAAATATGACAAGTGAGACCTGCTTAAATCTTCTGTCAGAGATTGGCTGCATTTTGCTCTGTGTTAAGGCTTTCACTGTGTGACAAATCCTAATTGGTCATAGAGAGTACCTTCAGGGCGATATGTACCTGATGCTGAGAATTGTGTCGCTCTAATTGGGTTTGCCCGTAATCTGCTACTGCTGCTGCTGCTGCTAGAGAGCCTCATGCATAAGCAGCATGGAAAATGTGTAATACTTGGAATTAGCTGCCAACATGTTTGATTTAATTAATCAAAAATTAGCTCCCAGTCTTGGAACACACTCTGCAGAAACTCTCCAGAGGAGGCTGGCAAGTCCTGGGATTGCTGCTAGCCCAAACACAGACAATATAAAAAAAGAATGAGGAGTGAAATGTTTTTCAAATAGTGTTCATTAGGGCTTAGGATGATATGGTAGCAGCAAATTAGCTCTACACAGCACGTATTCCACTGAGAGTTTTAGATTTTCTCAAACTTCTGGCGCAGTTTCATGAGCCTCTGGACATAAGGAAACTGTCAAAAATTGTATCCATAAAATGAATCTACCACCATGCTTGAGTGGGAAAATAACTTGAAAGTTAGATCACTTTTTTATTGTTTTTTGCAGTGATTGTATTATAATTCAGTATGATAAAATGTGAAGGGATTACACACGTGAATATGTTTGCTTGCTGCTAAGTCTAACCCCAAAACAAGCCTGCTTAGCCTCAGCATGTCTGCGCCAGTGACCTCAGAAGGATGATATTATAGACTATTGTGTGTTAAGAACTCACTTCGTTGTAGTTTGTAACCGAATCAGAATTAGCTTTCTTGGCCAAGTATGTAAACACATGCTAGGAATTTCACTCTGGTGAACTTTACTCTCTTTGTTCAAACATTACACATAAAATGTTACAAAAATTATAGAGTATGTACAACACAAAATAAACATTTAACATATATATACAAAACAGTAGTGCAATTGTGCAATGATGAAAAATGAAGTGAAGAGTATAGATGTCATTTTATTACACGTGAATTATATACATGAGGTAAATATGCATTATGTTTACAGTATTAACACTTAATTGAATATTAAATATCAACGGTGTGCAGAGGTATATGTCTGATGAGAAAAGTATTGATCGATAACCTGATTTAACAGTAATATGAGTCCCTTGAAGTCACATCTGTCGGTCTGTGTCTCTGTGAATGAAATCACAGTGATCTGAATTTTAATTTCTCACCTGAAAACATGTCATTTCCTGAGGTCTGTCTCAGAATACAGGTAGTTTAACAACAAAAAAGGGAGTTTTAAAGTAAATTTTGTCAGAAATGAAATGTGTTTATTATGGATTTAGCTTTAGCGAAGCTGTTATTTAGCAGTGATTGTTAGGAGTTACAGTTGCTGCTTTGACTATGAGTTACAGCCACTGCCCTCTTCTTTGTTTCCTCTTGGACTCAAGACAACTGAGTAGTGCTTTAATCTTAGCATCTGTGTGTGTGTGTTTGTTTGTGTGTGTATGTATGTACATGACAATACAAAAGCAAGTCTTCATACTGCATCTCTCTGTGGTGACTGGGTGTCTTGATACTCCTTCAGATTCAGGATCAAGTATTTGCATCCAAAGATAATAAGTTTACAGATGCAGTCAAGTGTCACTACCAAACTGTTGTTTCTTCAGATTCAGGATCTAGCAATCCGCTGCATTCAGAAAAACATCACAAAGAACCGAGGTGTGAAGGATTGGCCATGGTGGAAGCTCTTCACCACAGTCCAGCCCCTCATAAAGGTCCAACTCACGGAGGAGCAGATGCGAAACAAAGACGTGAGCACACAACCTCTCATGCACTTTTCAGATATTTAGCCTCTTACTGTATTCTCACATTTCCTGTTGCGTATTTTTTCCGTTTCTTGTACCGCTCAAAGCATCGCAGTTTAGCAGTAATGTGACAGGATGCTAAATGCTATTTTTTTTTACTTAAGGAGGAGATCCAGCAGCAGAAAGTGAAACTGGAAAGGGTGGAGAAAGAGCGAAATGAGCTGCGACTGAACACTGATCGACTGGAGAGCAGGGTGGGTTTTTTTTTTTTTTTTTTTTGGCAAAGCATTCTGGGAGGATGGTGTTCATGATATGTTTTTCGAACTATTTTTACTTTTTGGCTTCAAAACAACTGCGTGGAGTTTGTTTGTAGTCATACCCTGAGTGTGTCTTTGTGTCCAGATTGCTGACTTGTTGGCAGAACTTGCTGATGAAAGGAGCACGAGTGAGTCAGCGTCCCAGCTGCTTGAGACGGAGACATCTGAGAGACTCCGCCTGGAGAAGGACATGAAGGACCTACAGGCACGTGCACTGATCTTGACACTTTTTCACAGAGTATTGTTGGACAAATTCTGATTTTGAATAAGACTGACAAGCTCTTTTTTTTCTTTTTTAACCATGTGTGAATCTGTGGGTTTCAGGCTAAGTTTGAAGGTGTAACGAAGCAGTTAGAGGCCCAGGAGATGGAGGTGATGGAGGCTCGACTCATGAAAACTTCTGAACTCAACGGGGAGATGGACGATGACGATGATGATGATGCTGGTTAGTTGGGCTAGAAATTAATCATGAATTAATTACGTAGGGGAGAGTGGGGTAAGTTGAGCCAAAGGGTAAGATGAGCCACCCCCTGTTACTTGGAAATGGTAAAAGAAATTGATCATGTGACCAAATATTTAGGAGATGGGCATCAATTCATGGAGTCTGTGAAGGTTAGAAGCACATGGGTGAAGGGGTTAGACATTTAATTCCAAAAGAAAACATCTTTCACTCTTGAAAGTGAATCTAGGGCGGCACAGTGGTGTAGTGGTTAGCACTGTCCCCTCACAGCAAGAAGGTCCTGGGTTCGAATCTGGGTCAGGGCGTTTCTGTGTGGAGTTTGCATGTTCTCCCTGTGTCTGCGTGGGTTTACTCCAGTTTCCTCCCACATCCCAAAAACATACATAAGTGGGATTAGGTTAATTGGCCACTTTCAAATTGCCCGTAAGTGTGAATGTGAGCGTGGATGGTTGTTCGTCTTTATTTGTCAGCCCTGCGATAAACTGGCGAATTGTCCAGGGTGTACCCTGCCTTTGACCAAAGGTGCTGGGATAGGCTCCAGCCCCCCCTGCGACCCCCAACGGGAATAAGCGATAGAAAATAGATGAATGAAAGTGAGTTTAGTCTGTCAGAATTTTTATTAGAATCGTGTTCAGAAAAGATCATTTTAATTTTGTTTTATACATCAATTGTGGTATCTATGAGGTCAAAAACCTAGCATAAAAGTCCACCATTTTAACTTAGAGGACTCATAAAGTCATAATAGTAGTTCTGGGGTAAATTGAACTAGTGGCTCAACTGAGAGAGTTTCAGTTCAGATTGTTGAAATGTGTTACTTTTTCGTTTCAAAAGTGCAGCTGTGAATGTTCTGAATCACTTCAAGACATTCTGACACTCATTCTGTTGGTTTGCAGGGATGCACAACATCTTGAAATATATGCAGATACACTAGTTAGAGACAAAACTATGATTGCCTTGATGTAGTGATCTGAAATATGAATAATGGCTCATCTTACCCCGCTCTCCCCTATTTATTTCTTTACCCAAAAAAAAAAAAAATAAAACAAGTGTGTTTTTCTTCTTCTGTGCGATTCAAATCTTAGCAAACCATATTTTTTAAATATTCATTTTTAACCCCCTAATTAATTGGACACCGTGACATTGGGTCGTATCTTGCTCAGGCTTGCCTAATGGTCATGTCAGCTTAGGTCACAGGCATAATTTACTGAACCACTCATACTAACATTATGTGCACAGTTTGAAAAATCGGCCTTAGACTAATTGCAGCTGCGGGAATTAGTGGCTTTGTTCGACTGCTCCAGTAGGAGACATGGCAGTGAGACTTGGTCACATCTTGCATAATGCTATTAAGTATATTTCTCCAAGTTTGGGATTTACCGCTAGGGGATTATGATGTTGCCTCCCAGGCATACAACTAATGCCTGTTGCCAATTTGTCTCCACCTGCTGGGAGAGGGACCCCCTGATGAAAGCATATTGTCGTAGGACCTTTTTATTTTTTTCACTGTGCCTCCCCAGCCCTCCGTCTCCTCCTCCTGCTCCTCCTCCTCCACCTAGCCCAGCAGACAAGCCATTATAGAGCATATCAGAATTCTTAGATGAATGAGAAAATAATCGTTGGGATCAGTGCCGGTGGCCCTGCAAGTTGTCATTATGCTATATATATGCTAATGAGCAGCACTGATGGAGGAGCCGGTGTTGGTATGTGAAGGAGAAATGGACAGCCACTAAAATGATAAGGCCTTGAAATGAACCTGAACCTGAATTTCTGCCTGGCCGCTGTTATACCTCTGATAGCCTCTGACAGCTCCAGAATTAGGGTCGGCTAAGAACTGTGGAAAGTGCCACTTAGACATGTCCTTCTCTAACTACTATTGTGCTGTGCTCTGAATTCTCCCCGCAGGTTTATCTGAGATTAGAGCTGAGACGCAGAGGCTTCTTTGTAGTTTCCTGTCGAATTTTGTGACCTCATAAGGTCGGGATTTGATGAAAGAAGTTTTATTTCCTGGAAGATTATATTATTTCAGCTCTTACATGTGATAACCATCGAGGCCAGTACAGTGCACTCCTTAATCCACAGCATCCATCATGTCTGAGCTTTTGAGCCTTTTCTGCTGTATACCTCGGCTAGGCTGTTATTAGAGGTGGGAGACTTCCAAATGTCACTTGTACATTTTCTGAATTGTTTGTCTTTTCTCCAGGAGGCGAGTGGCGGATAAAATACAACCGAGCCATTCGTGAAATGGATTTTACAAAAAAGAAACTCCAGCAGGACTTTGATGACAAGCTGGAGACAGAGCAGCAGAGCAAAAGACATCTGGAGAGAAGGGCAAGAAACTTTTTAGCACAGCAACATGATTGAACAAAACTGAGCGATATTTACATTTTCTATGTGTGGCCAATTACTTGTGTAAAAGCCATCATCATAACGTGCAATGAGCTGCATTAAAGAATAATAAAAATGTGTGTTTTTTAATATATGTGTGTGTGATTACGACCGTGTGTGCGCTCTGCAGCTGGCTGATTTACAGACAGATAATGAGGATGTGCAGCGCTCTGTGCAGCAGCTGAAGAAGAAGTGCCAGAAACTGACGGCAGAGCTGCAGGACACCAAGCTGCACCTGGAGGGCCTGCACAGCCGCAACCATGATCTGGAGAAGAAGCAGAGGAAGTCAGTCTCTCTGTCTTTCTCTTTGTCTTTCTCTCTGTCTGCCCATTTGCCTTCCTGCTTTTTCTTCTTTCCTAAGCGAATACTCATCACAGAGAACACTGTGCTCTTTTCTCCTCAGAGGGCCTGGCATGCTCACTCTGACCTCTCCAGAAGAACGCTAACATTTTCTTTAATTTCAATAGTGGCTGAGATGTTCTGTAATCTGTGGAATTGCATTAGCTGAGAAATTGACTCAGACTTTAAGCACTTGAGAAGCTATCGCTGTGGCAGAATGTGATCTCTCCCCTGTGGCTAATTGAAGATGCTCTGTGGGTGAAATTATTTTCAGCTGCGCTTCAGAGAGAAAAACAGGGAAATACAGCGAGCTGACAGCATGAAACACTTAGCTGTTAAGTTCACTAAGCATAAGTGTTTCTGCCCGAGACAACTGAAGAAACATTTGCACATTATTACAGCCCCAGTTGTAAATTGATGGCTAATGGAAAGGGATAAAAGTGGAGGCTAAACTGGAGGCAGTGCTGAACTGATGATGGGCTTTTTGTGGGGGAATGAACTCATAAACTCAAAATCTGCAAAGTAACAGAATTAATGGCTACATATTAGGTACAATTAATCAGGATTTAAGACTTTATGTAACGTTGCAACAGATGCAGCTCATGTAGCCTTTATGTAATGATCAACTCGTCTCAATCTACATTACTTGCTGTTAAACCCTGTGGAACCTCAGTCTTATGTAATCAAGTTTGTGATTGTCCTGAGCTGTTTGTGTGTGTGCGTTTGTGTGTAACTCTGTCTGTTTGTGTGTTTTCAGATTTGACCTGGAGCAGAATCAGGCTCAGGCTGAGGTACAAAGAGAAAAGAGCCAGAGGGAGAAGCTGGCTCGAGAGAAAGACATAATGACCGGCGAGATCTTTAACCTCCGCCAGCAGCTTCAGGTAAGCTTCTTTACTCTACTTACATAACAAGTTCTCTAAAGTCCGCGCTCTGGGGACTGCATTCGTACTCTCACTGCTCTTTCTTGACATTACCGGGCTGGTCCAGATGTGTGCGTTACTTTGTTTCTTTACGCCCGCAGGACAAGGATAGTGAATTGTGCACGGTGAACATGAAGGTTCAGCAGTTGGAGGCAGAGCTTCAGGATCTGTCATCCCAGGAGTCCAAGGATGAAGCCTCACTGGCTAGGATCAAGAAGCAGGTCCGCGACCTGGAGGCCAAGGTGAAAGACCAAGAGGAAGAGCTGGACGAACAGGCTGGAACCATCCAGATGTTGGAACAGGTACAGAGCAGATGGTGCTGATGTGGTAAATCACAGCCATATGGAGAAATATCAGAGATTTTACTGCTTACGACTGTTACAAATCATGCTTATCGATGTTTTAAACCATGATTCGTCATTATCTAAGATCTAATTTTTAAAAAAATCTTTCTTTTGAAATACAATTATGGTAAAAAACATAATTCCCTGACTGTTAAGTGTTTGTGATGGTCTGTAAATGAAAACTAGCGACTCTTGCTCTTTAAAACTGTGCGGTTTTAAGTGTCTTATCTTGGTCTATATTTATATGCATTATTTTATATGCCTGTTGTCTACATATGTTCAGGCTAAGCTGCGGCTTGAGATGGAGATGGAAAGGCAGCGGCAGACCCATTCAAAAGAGATTGAAAGCAAGGATGAAGAAGTGGAGGAGATTAGGCGGTCGTGCAGTAAGAAGGTATGCGCCGCTTATTCTTTTAGGTCCACGGATATTTTTTCCTACTTGAAACATACAGGTAACTAGACATGGATAAGGCAGCAATGAGACTCACGTGTATTCTCAACTTTGTGTTGAATTTAAGTGTACTTATAGAACCTCAAGTAGCTCAACGTTTTACAATCTCTCTCTTTTTTTTTTTTTTTACCTTATTTATTAATATTTTCCATGTACAAAGCATGTTGAAATACAATGAAGGTCATGACATATACCCCCCTCTCCTCATCCACACTCACCCTTGGGAGGAAAATAAGAAAGTAAACAAAAAGTTATAGATAAGTATAGTTAACCAAAACATATATTCAGTGATTGAAGAAGTAAGTATTTAAATTTAGAGCCAGAAAATTAAGTGAACAGATAAAGGAGAACTATAAATAAAAGAACTATATAATACTTAGATTAAAAAGTGAGAAAATAAACTAGACAAATAATCAAAAATAAATAAAAATAAACTTAAACTTACATTCTTACTTGATTATTTCAAATTGTGTTTGATTTTTAAGGGTTTTACATGTGGTTTGAAAAATGTTGTACCCATCAAAAAGAAGTATTTTATGCAGTTAATTTAATGACAGTAACAGTCAAAGTATTTTAATAGGTGAACTCAGTCTAAAGAGACGATAAAGCCTTTATTAAAGGGATAATTCAAATTTTCAATTAGGTTGCTTTAAGTGCACATCTTTGTCACCGATTACCTATATTGTGCAATTTTGAAATGTATACACATACCCAGACGTGGTGTGATAAAGAAACATAGCTCTTCAAGAATACAGCTTCCTGACAGCGCAGTTGAGTGGTGAAAATATTTAAGAATATAATAATGTCAAAGTCATGTTGCTGTTTTATGAGAGACTTCATGAAGGCAGCAAAAGTATGCTTAACCACAGTCGTAACTGGAGTCATAACACAGAGTTTGTTTATGTCTGTATATACACGCATCACTCTTGGTCCATGACCTCCCAGAGTAGAGCCTGTTCATCTATTTCAAGTCCACAGGAGATGGTACACTACATGCTGGCTTAAGAGACTCCTATTTTCTTGTGATTTAAGTGCAGTTTTAGTTTACTGAAGTGACAACATGATAATAAGGATTTGTAAAAAATAAAAACTCAAATATCGTTGGGTCTTCCCACAAGAGGAGTAGTAAGCAACAGTAACACTTTATTTGACGCCTATCTCTATAACACATTATAGATGTATGTATAATGCATTATAATCATGTTATAACACTGTATCACTATAGTTATAAACACTTATAAATAATTATAATAATGAATGTTATTATGAGTTACAAGGTCAGGTATTATAATGTGTTATAACTGTTAACAGCAGCTGCATTGCATTATCTATGTGGGCATTGTCAGTGAGTTGTTATCAGTTATAACACTAATAATACCTGACCTTGTAAGTCATGATAAAATGCTTTATAATGTGTTATGATTATTGCTATAAAGCATTATTATCCTTTATGAGTGTTTATAACTATAGTTATACAGTGCTATAGCGTGATTATAACACATTATAAATATATATATAATGCGTTATAGAGATAGGCGCAAAATAAAATGTTACAGAAACAACTTTAAAAATGTTTGTTGACTGCAATAATTAAGGTCAGATCGATCATTTCTCATGCATACCAGACAGGGACATTTTAAGGCTTATTGGTTTTTAATGCAGTTCAGAGAAGATTTGTGTTTTGAGTTAAAATCTTTATTTTAGAACAGCGAGCTGGATACAGTTGTAAGAAGATATCCATATACAGAGACAAATAACTCACTGTAAGATTACCACGAATGGATGCCAGGCTGATATTTGGGCAGAGAGTGTTCTTCACAATAATTGTTTTTCCTGCATACAGGATTAGATAATGCTATCTGGACTACAAACGTACTACAAATCAGAACATTTTCATGCTGAAAATCAGAATCCCAAAGTGCAAATTCTGCATTTTTATATAGAATGGGTAAATATAGAGAAAAGAATCAAGGCTCCATATCCTCTGCAGAAACCAAGTAACTTTTGAGACGTACCATGTGTGACCCCATCCATAAAAATATCTCTACAAGTGAAAGGTTAAAAAAATTGGAGAGAACATTTTATTTTGAAAATCATGTTGATGTGTCTCTGGGCCAGCAGATCTGCTCTGGGGGATCTGTGTGTCTGTGATGTGTGAGAGCAGCATGTCTAACAGGATGGTCGATGGTGTGTTGTGTCTGCCTTTGTTTATCACCCATCATCTGTTTGTGCATCCTGACACCCTGTTCTTGTGTCCTGCAGCTGAAACAGATGGAGGTGCAGCTGGAGGAGGAGTATGAAGACAAGCAGAAAGTGTTGCGTGAGAGGAGAGAGCTTGAGTCCAAACTGCTCAACGCCCAGGACCAGGTACATCCATCACTTTGCCTCTGGTCTCTGCCAGTGCAGTCACGATAAGTATGCCACTTCTTTTGATTGAAAAGAAACTGTTTTTGAGTCTCAAGAGGTGCTGCTACGCTAGGGTTTTAAAAGAGGATGGGGGGAAAAAAAAGAAAGAGAATACTGGGTAGAGAGGTGTGCTTTTTTGTCATTCAGGTGGGCCAGAGGGATGTGGAGATGGAGAAGAGACTGAAAAAAGACTTAAAGAGAACCAAAGTTCTTCTAGCTGATGCACAGATTATGCTGGACCACCTGAAGAGCAACGCCCCGAGCAAGAGGGAGATCGCTCAGCTCAAAAATCAAGTATGCAAAAAGATGATTCACACATAGAGAAACCATCCATACACCTTCTGAGTATAAAAAAAAGTTGATAAATCTTTACTCCTCTGCTAAACCATGATATGTTCTTGATCTTGGTCTGTTCGTATTTGTCCCTCACCTCCTCTCTGGTTACTTTCCCCTCCTCCTGTTTTTCACAGCTGGAGGAGTCAGAGTTTACCAGTGCTGCGGCTGTCAAGGCTCGAAAGAGCATGGAGCTTGAAATAGAGGACCTCCACATCCAAATGGAGGACGTGGCCAAAGCCAAGATATCGGTGAGTTTTGACATCTGCTAGCTAGGAGTCCAGAGGGTGTGGTGTGCAAGTGTAAAGGGGAACTGCGATAAGTCCTGCATATGTTAGTAACATAATACATTTTTTATGGTTTCTTCCTTATCTGAGGCACACATTTATGCAAATTTCACTGCAGAATCTGATTTTTTTTTTTTACATAAAAGAAAATGCAAATATTTACTTTCCTTCTTTTTACAAACGCTGTTTAACTATTGGAGAGTTTTTGCCGATCAAATTAGCGCTCTATGAAATGCAGCAGGCCTTTAGCATTAATATGCACGCATCATCAAGCCGTATTCAAATGATAAATGCCCTTTGGCACATATCTGATTTTAGTATTTTGCTCTAATGGATAAATAAGCTTTGTCGAATGTTTTTTTCCTCTTTCCCTCTGCTCATTAATGGCTGTCTCATGAGAGTGCCGCCTGCATTTCAGACTCGACGCTGAGGATGTTTGCGTCTCTGGGGAATCCACACAGAGTGCAGTGTGTGCCTGTGCTTTGCTTGTTAATTGCTGCATTTATGGCAAGGGGAGGTCTTGTAAATGTCTCAGATTATAAAAAAAAAAATGTATCAGGGGCCTGAGTCTTCATCCTTTGAACATAAAGGATGAACTCTAAATAGGACGTCACCAGTATGCGAAACTGGCTGCACTTTTCCCCGCCTAAATCAGCCAATTGATTATCTCCAATTGGTCTCATCCTGCAGCCAGGACCCCGTCCAGATTGTGTTTCATCGCCATTAGATGAGATTCCAGGGCTGCCACAGCTTTGCCAGCTAATGACCATTTATCATATTCAATAGCTCATGAATAAAACCCTGTCACTCTTTGCTAAAGTGTGTCCTTCTCGCTGTGTGCCTTAGCTGGAAGAACAGGTCAGCCGTCTGCAGAGAGAGAAGAATGACCTGCAGTCTCGTATGGAGGAGGATCAGGAGGACTTGAATGAGCTGATGAAGAAGCATAAAGCTGCGGTTGCCCAGGTAACTTAACCCCCTTTACACCTCACTGAGTCGATAGTTAACAGACACAATAGAGGGAGTGAAACAGACTACGACACAGGCCATGAAATACTTTACAAATACCATTTCACTATGTTTAAAAATTAAAAACATTTCAGAGCACCATCTTTGATAATGATGGTAGCATTTTGTCGCTCTTTTCATGTTCAAGTAGAGTGGCTTTGAGTTTTGGAGGACATATTCCCCTCTAAACGCAGTGTGTGCTCTGCAATCAGGGAGATGCAATCTGTTCACATGACCAATTATTTGGCAAGGACATATTATGTTCACTAACCGTTTCCATTAGAGAGGATGTCATTTAGAGGAAGAGAAAGCATACATCAATAGTTACACTTTGTCTTCCTCTCATAAACCTGTGAATGTACTCTAATTCTCTGATTCTTTTACTTTCTGCAATCGTGTGTGTGTGTCTGTGTGTGTGTGAAAAGTCTGCCAGGGACTTGAGCCAGATCAGTGACCTGCAGGCCCAGCTGGAAGAGGCTACAAAAGAGAAGCAGGAGATCCAAGAAAAGGTAAAAAGAAGTGTTCAGAAGCACTCAAAGTGCCTGCAATAAAACCCGCCTGCTGCCTCGACGCTTTTCTCTGATTAGACTTCGGCTTCTCACACAGTTTCTGATTATTCTGACCCAAAAAAAAAATTTAGTTTCTTACCCTTTTTTTGATGCAATTTGCATTTAAATAGTTGGAAATCAGTGCAGATTTACAGTGAAGGGGGGAAATTGTTCCTTTGCCACTCAGTACTTACATTACAAAGGGAGGGTCATGTTCATAAACTGGGCTACTTGTTTCCATGTTTGAACCTATTAGATCAGACTCAAAGGGCTCATTTTGTCCCTTTTAGTCATTATTTATCAAACTGCTCCTGTTTAAAGGATTTATCACAATTGAGGTTTTGTCCATCATTTTTTTTTTTGTGCCGATGGTTTTATCTGCAATATCAGAGCATTTTCAGTACAGGGTAGATACTGGAAGTGAGTGTGAAATCACTCTCGGCTGATGCTGTCAGTTTGTCAGATAGCGTTACTGATGCGATGTGATAATTGGGCAAAATAAGAAAACTCATTATGGTACGCTGGCCATTTAATGCTTGGTTTACAGGATTATTCCAATCAATTTAAACAAACCATGAAGGTGCAGCACCATAAATAAAAGGAGGGACTCAATTAATTAATAAAAACAGATAATCAAAAATATGAACAGTCCTAGAAACTCAGGACTGATTCTGTGCAGAACACTGTTTTTACATGCAGAGTTTGCAGCTTTCTTCCCTGCATGGCCTGAGTTTATAGCCATCCCTACATTCTGCTGATATGTATAAAAAGTCCCAGACAGAGTGAAAACTGGTTATAGCTCCAGTGTTTAAAAAATCTGGTAATGCACCTTTTCTAAAGGGTTTTGAGGAAAAGAAAAATGTCTGTAGCTACATTCTGTTAATATGTATTAACAGCCACAAACAATGAGAGCACTTATTCATGAGTGTTTCAGTGTGAAAAGAACCAGTACAGTGTATGCATGTGCAGGATTACTGGGTTTAACACCAATGCATGGACACTTAATCCTTTAACTAGTTGTTTTGCAACCTGCATTAAGGAAAGTTTAAGATTTCATGAATAGTAGTGTTTGATGAATTTTGATAATTTGATAATTGTTTCATGAATTTTTTGCTGCCTTAAAGTCCCACTACGATAATTTTTTCTTTTCTACTTAAAGTGTTATCAGTGGTCTTTTAATTGTGATTATGAAGTTGTTTTTTTTTACCAAAAATCGCATTACCTGGGTCATTTTCAAAGGCTTTTCTTCTGCAGAGCTCCAGTAGCTTGTTATTAGGGCTGGGACAATAATAAGCTACCATTGAAATGCTTTTCTCCAAATTCGATTCTTCTATGATTTTTTGATGCCAATTCGATTTAAATTGCGATTCTACGATATTAATGGGTTTCTCGATCTCTAGTCTGCATTTTTAACACCAGTGAAACAATTGAATGATTATGAATGTCTACTGGCTATTTCATATTACCCCAAAAAATACACATCCCAAGTAAGTCAATTTTTAATGTTTATTCTTAAGTTAGAAAAAAAAATCAATTTTTGAACATGAAAATAGATTAAACAATTGTAAACCTAAAAAAATCACGATACTTATGTGAATTGATTTTTCTCCCACCCCTACTTATCAGCAATTCACCTCTGAGTCGTAAGCCGAGGCAGCGCTTCTCTGCACATTTCTCATCATGCTAGCTTGCAGCCTAATATTTCCAGTGTAATAGAAGCAGCAGGTAACAGGAAGTATTCAGCTCTCGGACACTAATGTTTTTAGGGACATGATGAAAGCTAATATTATAATTAGCTTTCTTACTTAGCATAGCAATCCGCTAACACACATGCTTGTTTCGCGATTGTTCTCTCGTTTTTTTCGAGTGTGGCCTGCATAGCGGGGCTCCAGGGGCGGAGCTTGGATTTCTTACATAGAAAATCTCACTCAATCTGAGCCTGCTGTTTGGGTCTGCCAGAGATTCACAAAGATTTGAATACAGAAATACTCAGAAATGCAATTTTGCACTTAGTTTTCTCATGATATGTGCTGTAGCATCAGAAAAAATGCCATACATGTAGACAACAAGAAAAACATGATTTTCATCAGAGTGGGTCTTTAAAGACTTGCTCTAAAATGTAGGTGTGCAGCTGCATGTTGCCGTCATCCGTGTGAGAATGCTATAAAGTTAGTTACTCAATGATAAATCTGACCTTACAGCTAACATCCTGTCAGTCTTTTATTTGACTGGTTTGGTTTCCATAATCATGGAGCTACAGTATTTCCATCTGTTTACTTTGCCTCAGTTTTCAGTCAAATGATTGTGGGTTGGCATAAATGTGGATTTGTGTGAAAAAAGGTTAATGCACCTGATTTAGGCTTGTGTTGATAATAAGTGCTTTCATAATAATAGTGTTTTCGTATAACCTTTACCATGTCATGTGTGTCGTGCGTTAATGCATCCCCTTTTTGCTCGGTTGATGTGTTTATTTGCAAAACGAATCGCCTCTGGGCTGTTAAAGCTGAATATCTTTGGTATATGACATTTTTTCACTGAGGGTTTGTGTGCACGTTACACACGCACACGCCTTACTTTAAGCGTTGATATGCAGTCGACTAAACAAATAAAACCGTCTGCCTTGAGCAGAATGTCTTTCAAATATAATTACACTAAAGGACAGAATTGAGCTCTTGCCACCCTCTAACAGCAGACCCTGTCTCTATTAGATTAAGCTATAGATGCGTGCCAAATCTCTGCTCCACTCAGTTATATTCAAGGCCCACCCATCAGAATATTTTTGGCTTCGCTAGAGACACTCTGCAGGCTGTGAGGCATTGTTAAAACCTGCCAGAGAAGGCGGTGATAGCCATCTAAAGCATCTGACCTTGAAGTGGTTATCTCATCCCCAGTAGGAGGGAAATCTGGCTTCTTTAGTAATATCAAAGGAGAACTCCAAATCCTCCTTGTCTCAGAAGCAAAGTCCCTCATTAGGTGCCATACCACCCTTTGGGCTGGTTTTTGTTGTGACGTATCTTTCTTCCTTTTATCAGTCACGAGAAAATGATTCGGATGGAACAAACGTGCTTTGCATGAAGCCGGAGTCTCTCTAAAAGCCTTTGAAATTACTGTGACTCTGTGTCAGTAAGCCTGAACCACAAGCCCATCTTTTGACCATTTAAAGAGGCTGATAAAGAGCTTATAATTCAGACCGGATACTCAATATTCACAAGTACCAAGATGGATTAAATGTGAACAAAAAGAATAAAAAAAGATCATTAATTTAGTTTTAATACAAAAATATAATGCCAGCACTCTCTCTAAAGTATCATAGTCTTTGTGTAAGAAACGGTGAGAAAAGCAGAGGTCAAGAAAGAGGTTTGCAGCATGAGAGGTCATCCTCGGGGGAGTAATTGCGTGTTTATGCATTTGTGCATGTGTGTCCTTCCTACAGGTCCATTCCCTTCAGAGCCAGCTTGAGTTCCAGGAACAGTCTATGGTGGAAAAGTCCCTCGTGTGCCGTCAAGAGGCCAAGATCCGTGAGCTAGAGACCAAGCTGGAGTATGAGAGAACGCAGATCAAACGACTGGAGGTGAGATAAACCCTGGGGCCTATTCTACGAAGCAGGATTACTGCTTAGCGAGGTAACTTCGAGGGTAAGTTCGGGGTTTCCTGTTCTACGCGGGTTCACTTCTTAGCGAGGCAATGAATTCATCTTGGAAATGAATTAGACATGTCTGGTGCACGTTAAAAGCGCATGTTAAACAGTGCTATTTCAGGGTGATAATGGCATCAAAGATTTTTTGGGCACTATACTTACGCATTGAGACTGTCTGCAATTTTCTGCCAGCATTCCGTCCGTGCTTTTGCAGCGGCGACGGTGTCGCTTTTGAGGTTTATGATAGATTTGAATTCTTCATACTTTCTCATGATCGTCTCCTGCTCCTCGTTTGTAAAGTATGCGGTCCTTCACTCTCCGGCCTGCTCTGACGCTCCAGACTGGTCCATGTTCGCGATTGGTCAGATGCGGTGAGCTCCGCCTTACATGCGTTTAGCGAGACCGCTAGCTACCGTGCTAAGTTGAGCGAGGTAGCTCCAAGGCTACTGCGCTAGGTCGAACTTGCTTCGTAGAATAGGCCCCTGGTGTGTGGTAAACCTTTGATAAACATGTTTTGTATATCTGCGATTGCAGATTTGACATTTAAATTCATATTTATCAAGAGGTAGAGGAGATATACATCAAATTTATAATTTCCTTGCAAAGTTTGACAGCTGTGAGAGTCTGTTAAATTATCCCCCAGAAAACAAAAAACTGTATTCACAACAAAGAAAATAACCAAGTATGTATTGTTTTTCAGCCTTAAAAATTCTGTCAGCTATTTCCATCAAAGACAGTCATTTTTTATTTTAATCATGCAACTTCAAAGTGTGTTTACAAGGGCTATCACAATATACCGCTTGATGGTAACTGTTTTTTAAATGGTCAAATATGGATATCATGCCATAAATTAGCAAACGGTAATGCCGTGAGTTGTTAGGTGACGTCCTTTATGCTGGTTGTCACATGCCGTTATCTAAGAGGATTATTGGGGGCTTTTAAAAACTCAAGTTCCAGGTATTTTGTAAATCTAAATACAACATCAGAAAACCCATTCGTGGAACATTTATACTTTTTTATTAAGACCCAACGTCAGGGTCTTAATAGGTCTGTACACCAGAATTATGCTATAGCACTACAATGAAGTATTACCTCCGTGCACAGTGGTACTTTCACATTTAATCCTGAAATGCTGAATCTCCATGTGACAAGACAATCTGATCTGATCTGACTGTACCCTTGATGGCTACTAATCACTTCAACTAAGATCCATTACAATAAAGAACAATCTGAGATTCATGTAGACATGATCCAGTTTGGTGTGGATCAATGTAAATTGAAAAACTGAATCCCAAGTAAGTTTTTGCTCAATATTACTGAGTGAAAAATGTTTCATTCAAAACGACATCCTCAGCATTATTACTTTTTTTGTAATGGTACGAAGTTAAAAAAAAAAAGGGGGAAAGGACCCAAAATGCAGAACAAAAAAATGATTTATTTAAATAGAAAGAAAAAGACAAAAAGGAACAAAAAGAGAAAAATACACAAAAATCATTGGGGCAAAATCACAGGGAACAACTGGGGACACTGGCATACAGACACACTGACAAACAGACAATGAACCAACCAGGAAGGAGGGTAAGATGGGGACTATATACACACTGGTAAACGAGCAACAGGTGAGGCAAACGAGACACAGGTGAAACTCGTGGGTGATTAACGAAGGAGGGAAAACTAGGGGAGTAAAGCCAGACTAGAAACACAAGGAATCAACTACTACAAAATAAAACAGAAAACACTGAAAACTGATATAATGAATAAAACACAGAGAACAGGAGGGAAACAGGGTCAAACACAAACTGAAAACAGGAATAATAGTGAAAACGCAAGGGAAAATAGACACAATGGGCTCAAATGAACAGAAGATATCATGACACTTTAACAACAGACAAAAGACTAAATCATCATGACTAGATCATAATGCAAAACCTTCAGTCTTTATCTCACCTATATCTCATCGATACCTGATGTCTCATTATGACAGTTTTTTTTTTTTTTTTTTTTTTTTTTTCCAAGAAATCTGTAAATCTGTTTTAACCAACACAGACTATTTGACTCCTCAGTATATTTTTATCTTTATGGACTTTTTTAAAAATCTCAGCAAACACTTAAATCAAAGTTCAACTATAAAAGCATCTTCAACTCTCCACAGAGTCTCGTGGGTCGTCTAAAGGAGAACCTGGAGAAGATGACGGAGGAGAGAAACCAACGCATCGCAGCAGAAAACAGAGAGAAGGAGCAGAACAAGCGAATACAGCGACAGATAAGAGACATGAAAGAAGAAATGACGGAGCTGTCCAAGAAGGAGTCCGAGGCCAGCAGGAAGAAGCATGAACTGGTAAGTCATGAGCTGCTGCTGCGAGGCTTCATAAGATTCAGTGGAGCTCACGTTAGAGGAGGTAACTGTGCTTCTCCTTCTTCTTCTACTCTGCTGTGATCTGCCCAACAGGAAATGGACATTGAGAGCTTAGAGGCAGCAAATCAGAGCTTACAAGTTGACCTCAAGCTGGCCTTTAAGAGGATAGGTGACCTGCAGGCGGCCATAGAGGACGAAATGGAAAGTGATGACAATGACGACTTAATCAACAGGTAGAGTACAGCTATTTACGTTCTCTTTAGTGTAACGAAAGCTCTAATCCTGAGTACCAAGACAAGTTATCATTACAGACTAAATCTGAGTCTTCTTTTAAAGTAACTCCCACTTTTTTAAATACAGCTAAAGTTCAGTAATTCTGAGTTCATTCTGTTTTTTTGTTTGTTTTTACTTTGTGCGTGGGAAGGTGTTAACTTTATTTGGCTTTTTGTTCTATTCTCTGGATTTTAAACTCACAATGTTTTATACCAAGCTTTTTATAAATGTGTTTTTCAAAGGTGCCATCCGGATAGATTTTAGTATTTTATATTTGATATCATGAGCTTTCAGAAAGATACTGAAGCATTTTTATTTTCTATGTCCTGTATTTTTCTACATCAATATCTCTTCTAGTATGATATTTATCCGTCAGTCAATCACTCGAGAATAGCGAATGGCTTTGACTTAATGGGTCAAGAAAGGAAAGAGTCATATAAAGTAAGAGGAACAAACAAAGCAGCTACAACAGATAGCTAGATAAACTTATGATGAGAGTAAAAGTGTGTGTAACATAATTGATAGCTTTATTTACAGTATGACTGATAATAATAGTTGAAGTTTAAACAGGTCCAACAGGAAAGATCAACATTTATAACTTATATAATGATAACAGAGAAGCTTCAGGGCAGATTGAACCTTAAGAGTGAAAGTCTTTGGCCCGGTCTTAAAAGTGTGGGGGGGTGTCTGCCTCCTGAACCCAAACTTGATGAATCCAAAGTAAAGGGGCCAGATAATTAAAAGCTCTATCTACCATCTTTCGTACTCTGTGAGTCATTTTGCACCTAGTTTCTTATCCAAATACTCCTGCTATGATTTAATTTCTGAAAGCTCACTGCGTCTGATCTTCAGTCAGGGCACCGTTTTCTTCTGTTTGGTTATCCCTCTCTCTTTGCAGAAGGTTTGAGGGTTATGCTAGCACCAGGTCCACTGAGGTAAACAAAGCCTTCGATAAAGCAAACCTTTAAAAAAAAGTGACCTCACACACACTGGGTCCGTTTGGCAATGAGACTTGCCGTAGCGCAAGTTGATTTATCGAGTATGTTCCTTATAATAGACAATAGTTAAATTATGAGTGTGTCGGTGTAAAGCTTTCTATTTACTGTTATCCTGTTTTGCACCAGTTTTTTGTGTTTCTCACCTCCTCTGTTTCTCTTTTTTTCCTTGTTCCCCTTTTGGTGTCCACACTCCTGGCAGTTTACAAGACACGGTGACAAAATATCAGAAACGAAAGAACAAAACGTGAGAATGAAAACAAAAATGCATCCTTTGTTTTTGTCATAATGGTCGTTGCTACGTTTTTTTGTTCCCTGTTTTAGCCATAGGAGAGAATAATGCAGTATCCCTTATCCTGCAGTTTGTGTTTTTCACAACAACACTGTGAGGAGAAGTCATTTTAAACAGAATGGAAAGCTGTGTCTGGTATACATCACTGATAAAAGCTTTGCTGAAAGGATGGACCAGTATTGCATTTGGTTTCATTATATTTTGTGCCAAGTGTCTGGAGGTCTGTTCACAGCCAGTCTGTGTGGACATTTCAGGCTTGTTTTTCTGCTTTCAGAGTAATAAAAAAAAAAACTGTTGGCACAAAGTATAATTCACTGACTGTTAGAAGAAATGTTAGCTATGATACCGAACTCACTGGGAATCTAAATGACCCATTATCTTCCAAGCGGTCATGACTGCTTTAGAAGATGTGACCAAAATAAAACCAGGATTAATCCTGTGGTTATACTGCATCATTGTCTCCATAAACTTTAATACTTTTAACAACATATATGTATGTCTTTTATCTGCTTTGTCTTTTAACACCTTCACAATGCATTTCTATGGATCTTAAATCAACGCTTTTTGCACTGAAGGCTGCTGACATTTTCCTTCTACTTTTTTTTGAGACTCCTTCAATCCACATGCAGGAAGTCCAACTCTCACTGAGTTTGTATTATATGGTTACAACAGATTTTTGTCATTATATGATGCATAAAAAACATAATAGCAGGTACATTTGTATTTTATGTGTTAATTTCTTGACAGTTTTAGATTAATTCCAGCAGATAATTAAGGTTTTGCATCATTACAATTGATAGTGATAGGAAAGGAAAAAGTCACATCAGAGACAAGGAAAGAAAAATATAGTATGTACAGTAAGGGCTGGATAATAAACCAAAAATTTACCAATACTAAAATAAACGACAACAACCGATGTCATTTTGTCCACGTCAATATATTCAGAGTAGGGCTTCACAATATATCGTTTCAGCATCGTCATCGCAATGTATTTGTGCGCGATAGTCACATTGCAGAGCCTGCGATGTCGGAGGTGAATGAACTCATCTAATTTCAAGGGTAGCTGACTGAGATACACTGTATGTGACTCAGCATGTGCTGTGCAGCGATCCACCAATCACAGTTGTCTTTTACTCAGTTGCCAATCAGACTATCCTGCCAGCTGTCAATCAAAATCAGAGAGGAAAAAACACGCCCCTACACATGGAGTGAGTCACTGGCACTGCCGTTGTTGTGCCGAAACGCGTATGCAGAGAATTACTCTCGGAGCATTACTCATCACTGTTTAGCCCCACAAATAAGAATTGTATGGGTTTTATATTGTACATTTCCGTGGACCACTCTACTATAAACAGTGCACGTTTTTGCGAGGTGCATGCCATTCTTGGCTGACATGCATTTCTCGGCACAACACCGCTAACAACAACAACAATTGCAAAATGAGCAACAAACGAGAGAAAACCACCGAAAATTAAGACTTGTTGCCAAAAGGAAAAGGAAAGTCAGTTATCTGTCATCTATTGCCACAATAACGTCCCAGCACAATAAAAGCTAAAAATATCTCTAAGACAGACAGAAGCCATTCTACTTACATTCACAAAATGAGGTAAGATCAGAGCAGGTTAACTGTCCAGAAGATTTCAGCAGTGCAGCATAGCAGAAAATGCCATTCAGGTCATCTGGTGAAAATTCCTGAATTTTTAATATCGCAATATATATCGCAGGGTTGAAAAACATTGCAATATTAGTTTTTTTCAATATAGTGCAGCCTTAATTTGGAGTCAAAAAAATAAATAAAAGTTGGTTTTGGATGTGTGTAGGTAGGCTATGGTCCCATGTTCCTTTAAGACGCTGTCCTACGTCAGAGACGTGACTCCACCCCATACAGTTGGTAACAGAGAAGGACAGACAGGTGAGGAGATGGAGGACGGTTCAAAAGTTGTAGCGGCTGGAGCGGCAGCTGAAGTAGACAAAGTTAATGTGGGAGAGGGTGAGCAGCTTGTGGAGTAGTTATCATCTGTTGATGGTTATCAAGGCGAACTGCTCAATATATGGTGTTATTGATTCAAGGCCATATCGCCCAGCCCTATTTACAGTACATTCCCAGAGAGATGGAGTCAATAGAGGATCTGTTTTGTAACCACAGTGCAAACTCAGTATGTTAGGGCCACTCTACATGTGCTTTGGAGGACCTAATGGTTGTGATGATTGTGTAACGATTGCAGCACAGGAACTTTGTAAGTGGTTGCAAAGTCTGTGAGCCGCTTTGTTTGCTAAGTGCATTGCTGAAATGCTCAGACATTTCAATGGCTGCTTGCCTCGCATGAAAGTATGACACTAACCCAATATTATTCCACAGTGTTATGTAACATTTGGCTTAAATAGGAAAGATCACCTTGTCCTTCATTTGAGATGGGTTTTCATTGATCATGTCTGCTAAACGACTAACTCTATTCCATTACTCTTTGGTCATAATGCAGCCTTTTTTTGCCTTGCTAGATAATTTGAAGTTTCATAAGAGCTCATTAAAGAAATGTGGTCCTCATCTGTGATTTCAAGTTCAACCTCTGATTGCTGTTTCAAAGAGACATGTCGTCACATTCTTTTAATCGCTTTTCTTTTTTGTTATCCAATGTCTCATCAGACAGACTGTGTGTGTATCAATGCTCTGCTTTTCATTCTGTGCAGCTCCACAAAAAGAACAATGATTTTTCATGTTTACTTAATTGCATTTTCCCCTCCTTTGACATCATTGCATTAGCAGCTGAGTGCACATTAATGGAGGAGGTGATTCTTCTTGTAATTATGAAGTTGATTTTCCAGTTGATTTACATTATTATTCAATCGTTTTGTACTTCAGTGCTACAAAACAGAGCCGACAATAGCTACAGTGTTACTATAATACTGGAGGATTGACAGGTTAAATAATACTGGGTTTTCATGCTGGGTTTTTGTATACATGTGTAAAATAAGGCTTTTATGTAGAGCAGTATGTCAGTAATTTCCTCAGTATGGACTGACATGAAAAGCAGCTTTTTCCACCTATAGCTCAATGTACTGATTACTCTGATTCAAACAAGTATTACACCACAGAGTGTGAAGTGTTCACTGTTTTGTATTATCATAAACGAATGCCCTGTGCTCTTTATGCCAGTAGTTAATTAGCTCATGTTGAACAGATACAAAAAAAATATGGTGCTGAACCTACAAGTGTTAAACTGATAAAACCCAGCCATAAGAGATGTGATGCTGAGTGAAACTATTTGTGACAAAGATTTACAACCAGTGCAGGCAAATTGTCAGAAGCTATTAATGTTAGCTTCTAAATTCTCGGGGCTTGTTGGTATCTGCGAGCCTCAGGACTGGTTAGCTGGTAGTGCAGGGCCAAGGACAAATCGTTTGTGACACCATTTGCACAGCACTCAATTGCAAGCCACCTTCTATTTCACATGTGTGAGTGTGTTAGGGGAGATAATTTGGCTGAGGGCTGGTTTCAGTAATTTGTTGTGTAATATATCATGTTAAAGAGTCAAAGCATCATAGAGATGACAAATGGGCAGCATGTGTAATCTACTTCCAACAGGTTAATGAACCGTACTACTCTTTTACAGTGGGCTTTTGTTAGTTTGTGGTAAGCTTGGGCTGTGGGAAATAGAAGTACGGTGTATTATAGCAGAACTTAGACTCACACAAATTTAGCATGATGCCTCATGAAGCAGCTCTCAAACAGGGTTTTCCTGTGGAAAATAATATAATCAGGCCATTTAGTCTCTCCGGGATCATCATTATGTTTCACCCAGAAAGCCTGGCTGAAGGGTTGATGATGAGAAGGTTAAATATGTTAATGCACACAGAAAGCTTGAGAGCCTGAATATCCAAGAATCTTAGAGTTTTTTTTTTTTTTTTTTTGGTCTGTGCTCACTCCCTCCCTCGCAACACTCACACACCCACCACCACCTTTTTGTGTTAAAACAATAGTTTTTAGACACCTCACCAAAAAGACAGGAAAAGGGACACTTTGTTCTCTGGAAAAAACATAATGGAAAGTGTGACACAAAGCTTGATGACAAAGGAAACATTGTGCTGCTCACTTGGACACCTACAAAGATGGATGCGTGCGATGTGGACAAATGACAGTGCTCAGCAGTCTTGCTGTCATCTCACACCTCTTTGAATACAGTGTTTGGTCTTTTAAGCATTTTTATAACATTTTGCATCATGTTTCGAGGATAAAAATAGATAAGCTTGTCCAGAAACAAGATCTATTACCGGCATTGCTGCTTCTCATTTGTTAAGTCAGTCAGTTGTCTGTGGACATGGCATGCAACATATTGATAATTCAGTGATAAACAAGGCAAGGCAAATATGTAAGATTGATGCAAGTCAAAAGTTGGCTGTAGATAGGACTATAAATAATAATGTAGATGAAGTCTGTCATAAATCAAGAGGAACTGAAAATTGCTGCTCTTCTGCTGCAACCCTGACACCGCTGTCTGCTACAGTGTGTTTAATATACAGTGCATTGTCCTGCTCTGACACCCAAAACAATAGCTTAGAAAACACAATTTTCTCTGCCAGACTTTACCATGGCAACGCAAGTCAAATGTAGTTTAGGCTTTCAAAACATATGCATTGAAATGTAATTTTAAAGCTGTCTCTGAGACATGTAAAATTGTGGAAAACATAGAAAAGGGAAATTTCAGCCTAACTCAGTCTTGTTTGTAAAACACCTTTCATATAAACATGCAGCACAAAGCACCTCTCCTGTGAAACATTAAAACAGATGGAATAGAAGAACAACAACAGTGACAAGGTTGCTTTGGCTGCAAGACAACTCGATCTCTACCCCAATGACAGCCAGGATTGGCTCCAGCCTCCTACAACTACAAATGGGATAAACAGAGGGTTGAAAATTGATGACAGAAAGGTGATTGAAATCAGCAAATAAAATAAGTTAAAATCTAAAAAGGAAAAAAAAAAACACATTAAAAATTAAAAATGAAAGGATATGATACCATACAATAAGATGCGATTTGATACAACAAGATACAGTATATGATATGATACAATATGATATGGTATAGTACAACAGCATATGTTACAATGTGTTATGCTGAGATATATACGCTGCAATTCGATTTGATAGGATATGACAGGATGTGATCGATGAAATGTGATATCACACAATACAATACTAAGCATTTGTGTGGAATGATGTTTATCGTGTCTTCAGTTTCTTAGAAATCGTTTTCTTTTTCCCTTTATCTCAGACATGTAATCTTTTTCATGTACCTTGACATGTTTCAGCAGAAACTTCTGCCTTCCTCAGAAGTGTCACTTGGCGGCAGGTGTGACAGGACACGTCATATCAGCTGGTGTTATTGAGGCGTGACTGTCCTGTCAATTCTTTTTTTTTTTTGGTTTGACGTGGGTACTTTGCAGATCACATGTCTGAGATAAAGGAAAAAGAAAATTATTTCTAATATTTAGTATTTCTTAAAGGGACTCTGTTTTGTCAAGTCAAGGGCTGCACATCAGTGATGATAATCACTCAGATTCAGGCTAATAAAGTCAAATAAAAATTTAGCACATAGGATTAAATCAGTGTTTCCTTTCAAAATTAAGGTGAGAATTGGAGTTACTCTCGTAAAGCACCGCACAAACACAAATGAACCATGATGGTTGGACCGACTTAGAGGCGACACCACCTTTTATTGTTTTCCCTCATCATTTTTCCTTCATGTCTACCCTCAGGACAATCCTATGCATAATTCAGCATGCAGTTGACATGAATGAAGATTGACCTCATTCAGGTGGCATCCACCAAGCTTTTTTTTTTTCATGGAGATCCACAGGTCTCTGTATATTGATTGTTATGTCAAGCGTAGGGCCACGGGGATGTCTCATGGCCTCACTCCAATAACAATCAGCAGGAGCAGGTGACATGCCACACAGATGCTAGTGGCCTGGAACCAGCCAAACAAGTTCATTACAGCCCCAACAGCTTCATCTACGTTGTGCCTGGAGAATGCATTCACTCATTTATGTCTGCTCCTCATGCTGTCTGATCAACATAAATGTGTTTAAATTATTGCATGGCGTAAACATGCCTGTTTGTGTGCTGAGGTTACATTTTATTACTCACCCCTATGAATGTAAAAATATGAATACAATCATAATAACTAACAATCACAGCTTTTGACGACTGTTACCAATGTTTTCCTGGATTGCTTGTAATTTATTGTCCACTGGCTGATGTTGTCTGCTTTACGAGTCATTTAATGTCAATTATTGTGTAAAAACCCAAATAAATTTTAAATACAGAACAGTTTTAACCACTTTATAAAAAGATTGGAGTGGATTTGTAGCATTTGGAAACTGTTTAGGACATGAATTTGCATTTTGATTCCCTAAATGGAAGATTTTTACCTTTTAAAGATGTTTAAATGACTTGTTAAGATGAATATTTTTACTACTTAAAGTTGGATCCTGACTCGCTTGCTGGTTGTGTTTCTTCACAGCGGTGATGACACAGAAACAGACTCAGAGGTGGAGGACCGTGTGGATGGAGTTAAGTCTTGGCTCTCAAAGAACAAAGGCGCGACAAAGACCACGTCGGATGAGAGTAGTCTGAAGAGCACCAGGTCAGTACTCGCAACCTTTTGCATCATGGCAGATTACTATGGACTTCCCTGTTGTAAAGCAGTGATAAAACTCCTCTCTTTCCCAGCCTTGAAAGGGCCCAGGATTACCTGGGGCAGTTTGTAACAGAAGGATGGGTATTTCATGTGATTAGGTGTCATCTCTCTCTCCCAGTAATCTGTCTAATGACAGCAGGCGGGATGGGGAAGCGGCTGCTGTCAAGTTTATTGAAGTGGCCCGTGGCCAGTTGGCATGCCTGCTAAATGACGTCTCTGCCACAGTTAGATAGATCTTCTCACTGGTTGATTGGCTCACTTTCCACAGTGTACACTAGACATAATAGCAATAGAAGGGGGTATTGTATTTGCTGCTTTACTCTAGACTGGTTCCAAGGACAAAATGAAAAAGACAGATTTATTTTTCTGGCATCTTTTGAGAAATTAGGTGCCTACGTTTTTGAAACTCTTATCTGATCCTTCTGTTTGGTTTTATCTCGCTGAATGAAGCGTCAAATCAGAAGAGATGTTTCCTTTACAATATGTAGTTTCTGATTTACAGCCTTTGTGTTCTGACGGTTTTATTTGTATGGCGTCACCCTAGAAACGCAGCAACTGCAGACACGAAAGACATGAAGGAAGTCAAGGAGAAGACCAACGATGGAAGCAAAGACACAAAAGAGTTAGAGCAGAACAGGTCAGTATCTGTCATGAGCTCTCTAAGCTACAGGAAACGCTCTAACCTCAAAGACTCCATAGGAGGCAGAGGTGATGAGAGCTCCCTGTTTAGCACTCTCAAAGAACAGCCCGACACACCAGACCACTCCTCCATTCGCAAAGCCAAGTCTAAGTCTGGAGACCTCCAGGAGGATTGGAAGAAAAGCCAGGCGCAGGAGGATTTGGATGATAAAGGCTCCGTCATCTCCATGGCGTACTCTGAAGCCACCAGTAGAGCCAGGAAGGGCTTTGAGTCCCGCTGGACCTCCCGCAGCAGCCCTGAATTCGATAAGGAGTCTATGGTGTCCTCTGTGGCTCCCAGCAGGATGTCCACAAGGAGGGGAATGTTGGACATCGACGATGACAGCAAGTCGGTGATCAGCAGCGTGAGTCGCTCCAGTCCTCGCTCACTACACCGCAGCTCCTCCTGGAAAGACGAACGACGCAGCAGCTCACGCTTGTCTCTGGCTCGCAGCTGCGGCCTGAGTGAGTTTGGTTTGCATGTAGATGATGACGACGACGATGATGATGGTCGTAGTGTTGCTTTTAGCGAAGGGGGAACTTCATCTTTCAGCCCTCGCTCTCTCAGCCGAAGCTTCTCTAACCCAGGACAACCGCGCTCCTCAGACAGCACTTTACCAGAAACATCGGACATCAAGACCGTCGCCCATCGCAACTACCTAGATCCTGATTTGGAGGCTGCAATCAATGAGGTGCTGAGCTTCAAACCTATAAAGTTCAAGCGCAGCAAACTCGACGAATCAAGTGGCGAGGAAGAGGAGGAAAAGAAGGGACCAGGAAGTGAGGACAACAGGAGGAAAGGGGAGGATGAAGGGCTTGGTACCAGCACATCTGGCCTGCGTAAATCTGCATCAGGCTCTGCTCTTGACTACAATCGACCATCGAGCATTCTGAGCAGCAGCAGCTCCCGCAGTCGGAGGGATAAGAAAAGCAGAATCTCACTCTCAGACGACTCTTCATCAGATGAGCGTCAAAGCAGAAAGAGCTCAAGAGGGAAGAAGGGCAAGAAGTCCAAGAAGAGATCCAAGAGGAAGCCCAGCGAGTCAGAGGATTCATCTTCCTCCTCAGAGTCGTCCGAGTCATCCTCTTCCGGCTCGACGATCTCCTACCGCAGCTCCAACAGCGTTAAAAGGAGCCCGAAACAACCGTCTGATGATGAAGAGGAGCCCAGGCCACCAAGCAAGAAGGAAACAAAGAAGAAGCAGAAGAAGATGGACAACATGATGATGAAGTACCTCTACAGGGCTGACAGTGACTGATACCAGCAGTGGAAGGTGATGCTTGGTGTGATGATGATAACCCAGGAGCCGGGCATGACTAAAACGGAGACTAACCGTCCTTCACTGAGTGTGCTGACTAAGTTTGCTGTGTGCGCATGTTTATCCCCGATTCAGACTCAGATCTAGTAAAACCATTGTGAATCTTAACTATCAGATTATACTTATAAATCTGGATCTTTTGGTCGGTACAAAGTTTTGCTGTCGGTGGTATTCAGGTGTCCGTGTCTGCTCGATATTTGGTTTGAATTGCACGCTTTGATTTTAATGTCTATAAAAAAGATCGGAGGAAGGAATTTTTGTAGATTTAGATGTTGTCTCTCAAAACCAAATGGTGCCAAAATCAGTCACCAGTGCATCCAGTCTTCTGACCACTTTACGTGTTTTTACACCACCTGACACATTCTCCCATTTACAATTTGAGCTGCAGTGGAAAGTGCTTGTCAATGTTATTTAATCCCAATCACCTGTACTCCGATAACGCTGGCATTTGAGATAAGGTGTCTTGGCAATGGACCAACGGCATCTTTAACCAGCTAAGAATTGCACCTGTTCCTCCCTTTTTATTTGCAAGTATTTGTCCTCGTTTCAACAGAAAGCCAATTTACCCAATCTACTTCTAGTTTCCAGCGCTGAGACACTTCAAATATAGTTTGTTGAGAGGTTTGCTCTAATCCATGATTACAATCCACTAAAGCTTCCTTTCTTCAATGTTGCTTCAAGGTCTATACTTCCATCATCATTAAGTGTAAACCTTAAAATACCACACAGACATACTTTTGTTGAAAAGCAGTGTTCGTATTCTGCGAATTCGAGTAGCTCTCCTCGATGTTGTGATTGATGCCGTTTTAAGTAGATGTTGTTGATGGAGGATGCTTTCCTGTGGCTGTTCTTTAAGCACTAACAGATGCCGGCAATTAGGGACGAATCTAAACGACACCAATTTTGGCTGTATTGTTAACTGAGAGAAGTTTGCGGAGAGGTGTGACATGACTTAATAGTGCTTGATGTGGGTACTTTGCATCATATTTAAAATGCTAAGATTAGCTTCAAGCTTCAAAAGCCAATCTATTTTAAGAGTAATTGTGACAGACAGTTTAAGCATCTCCGCTTGTGTTATTTTGAAACGTGTAAAAGAATTTCTGATTTTTTTCTTTTCTAGTTGAGAGCTGTATCTTTGGATTAGCGCTGTAGGGCAAATTAATAAATTCAGTTATGCTGAGTGAACTGAATATGCTGCAGATACATGTATAGTCCCATCTACAGGGACATTGGTCATTTTACCAATGTCCCTGTTCTCTCGTTCATTGTGTTTCATCAGTAACCCATTAGCTTTACTTCCCCTTGTCACAGTGTAGATGAATCATATTGATGCTGTCTTTACAATGTCCCTGCTTTAGAATAACATCTTCAAGTAGTCCAGATTCCGCTTTTCTCTGTAGCCTGACCTTGTACAAATCAATATTATGGATTTGGGTACTAACACAGTCCACACTTATTATATTCTCAATGGGTATGGTGTACATGAGAGATTTTAAGTAATCTAGGTATATATATTTAAAGTGTATATTCATGTGTATATATGTGTATATAGATATTTGATGTTTATATGTATGGATATATCTTTGTTTTAGTATTAATGATTAGTTATATAATCATGCTAGACTTTGGAGCTTTGGTTATTTTTTGCCAACATCAGTAAAGGGTTAATGAATAGGAAGGAACGAGGGTAGGTACATATGAGCTGAATAGCTTCAACCTACTCCTTTTCAATCTCTAAAAAAAAGGAATTCCTTGTCTAAAATTGTGCTGTATATATATTTGATCGAATAAACAATACATTTCCAATATCAATCATTTCTATTCTACATTGAACCTCGAAATGAAAACGTAATTGAGTCTTTAACATAAAATTGTGATTCCTGATGTGTTGGTGAAGCAAGTTTAAGAATGGTTTAGAAAACATCTTTAACCCTCAGACCTAATTGTGCCCCTTTCTCAACCAAATTTGGACATCAAAATCTACATAGTTCTAAGCAGATGCAGTATGAGTAGTATATAATTTGGATAGTTGACAGTTCCAGCTGAGATTTGATGATGTTCTTGTGCTACTGGAGCAAAGATTAGTGGGTATGGAGGTCTTAGGGTATGAAATGTCTACAGTGAGTGAGTTGCCATTAGAGTAATGCACTGCTGTTCCATGTGGTCATGGCAACATGCTTCATGGATATAAAGCTCTGGATTTAGGTGACCTTTTCAAAAGTGTATTGGATAGAAGCGAACTAGAACAGAGCATAAATAATTGCCAGCTGTACTCTACTAATATTCAAACATTGTGACACAAACACTTATGCATCACTCCTGTTATTTCTTGAAATCATTCTTGTGGATTGATCTCCCAATGTTCATGAATGATCATGCATGGAAAAAACTGTAATGCCATGTTGAAAATGCAAATTAACAGTTATTGTTATTAGTTTGATACGTGCACATATGCCATTCAAACCACATGGGTGCTGTTGTTTGCTACCTTGGGATGAGTGTAATCTTGCAGCCTAAATTGCTTGTGGTGTCTCCTGCCATATTTTTTTACAATGCCTTATTCCTTTCAGTTCTGTTTCTCCAGCCTGCAGCCAAGTGATGATATTATGTTGTGTCTGTATGTCTGTTGACCCTTATAGCCCTCCTGTGTGTCGTAAACAGCCGGGTCTTGGCAGATCGGATGAGGAGGACGAGGCGGAGAGAGACTCCAGCAGGCAGTCGCTGAGGCAGAGCGACAGCGAAGGCGCATTGGCAGAGAGTGCATCATAACCAGAACTCAGGTCACCCTTTTCTTTGAGTGACACCAAACACGCAGGTGAAACACGTCTTTTAGTCCACAACACTGACACCACTGTTCAGCTTGTAAGAGAGGACGGCTGCTTCAGCAGGACAGAAAGGAAGAGGAATTACACTGAACTTTCTCTCAAGTGAATTCAGCCTGAACTTTTTTGTTATTTTTTATAATATGGCTGTGGACTTGATGTTACCTCTCTTGTTGAATGGTGTTTTAATTAATTTAATGCAACATATTGAATAAGGTCATTGAAACAGTGAAGTTAAGCGCTATCAAAAGAACTCCCTGCTCCTTCTTTACTTATAAGAGCTGCTTTTCAGGCAAATTTAAGCTCTCCTCTGGACTCTCTGCTCAGTCTTCACATAGCTCTGCCAAGAGGATTTAGATAAGCTCGCTCCTCCAGGAACCTCTGACCAACTATTAAGACTGTTCTTATCTCATCCCCATTACTGGGAACTGGCGCAGTGGGAGGAATTAACCCATTTTCAATTAATTATCATGCTGTAAGTTTACATTTGGCTCTTGTTCCAAGTCCAGATATCAATCACTGGAACAAAGTGATGCTGGGTCACTGATCAGAAATGATCACAGCTAAATGGCTTCTGAAAAATATATTTATATTTAGACCAGGCTGTTAGAGGTCATAGATTTATTTGAAATGGAGTAAAGCTTAATCTGATTTCAAAGTGTGTGAAGAGATTAAATAAATATCTATTATATAAGGAATCAAAGCCTATACATGAACATGCTATTCAAGTGAATTCAGCTATTTTTAAAGCTAGAGAGAGAGTGTTTTATCACATTAAGGTTTATGCAATATTCTTGATGTATTTCTGTTGGGTAGTTTGCATGTTTTGATCTGTTTGGATTGGTTGTTTGAGGTTCAGTCGTGCTTTTGTCCACCAGTGTGATGTCTTGTCAAGTTCAAAGGGAATGTATTTTTTTATTACTTTGCTCTCATAACGCTTCTTTTAGAGTTGTTGTTTTTTCAGACATTGCAGATGCCAGGGGTGTGTCCAGACTTTGTATTTTTTTAATGGGCTGGCCCATTCTGGGGCACTGATTTATGAGGGGAGGTGTGAGTATGTGCATACAGACCCACAAATGAATAGGTTTTCCATATTCACTTACCATATCTTCTTTAACTACAAAGTTTAAATATTATCCAGACTTTATAGCAGTATTACTTTAAGGAGCAAGATGAGACAGTAGGAGCATAGAAACCCTCTAAACCTAATTATTCAAGGTCTCAAGAAGATGTTGTTGGTCCAAAATCACAATCATAAGCTACTTTAAATACATTTTAATAGGATTATTTATTACATTCATCTTTTCTTCTCCTATTTATTCCACACCTGCTTCATTAAATAGATGAGTAAAGTATTTTCCATATTTTTAAGGACCTATAAAAGAAATTGTGATATATTTAGTTGCTGCAGAAACTGCCTTGAACCTGTTACAACAGCCCAAATAGTTGACTTCAAAATAAGTCCACCATTTGATTACACAAATAGCCAATTATAGCTCAGGATGACAACAGGGGTGGCCGATGAGCATCCGTGGGGCCCACCCCAGGTTGCTCCTCTGGACACACCCCTGGCAGATGCAGACATGTTGGTTTATTTTTCAAAAATAAAGAAACACTGAATCTCGACTTTATATCACAGGTAAAGATCTTCAACTGCCGTGGGGGACATTGCTCTGTTTTCATCGCATCTTGTTGCAGGTGTGCAATGCATATTGTCTACAACTGAGGAAATCATTTTGGCCATATTGGTTATAGCAGTAAAAGAAAGACAGTGTTTTCAGTGAAGTGTTTTCCTAAGATTTAAAGGTGCCAAAGACTGTGTTCATTTGATGGTGTGTGTTTTTTTTCATGGAGTGAGATTTTAAGTGAAAGATTTCTTGGCAGACTCTATCTTTACCTCATAGACTACTGCCAAAAATAACCTTAAATTTAACCATCCTGCCCACATGATTAAAAACCATTATGTGATTTTTATTCATTTATTTTTTGCTGGTTAGAGTTAGACAGATATCTTTAGCTGTATGTGACCTAATGAATTTTAAACTCTATTTCAATAACCTGTAGGTGCATCTAAAAAGAGAAGCATTAACTTCATATCCATGTGTGTACTTTGTGCTCATGTGCAAAGAAAAGCTTTAAGTGTCTGGCTTGCTATTTGCATATCTTCTCAGAAGAGACTAATCTGCATTTCATGTCTTATTTTCTCCCTTTTTTTTCTTTGCCTCACACATGAATATTAATGCGGGACACAGTAAACTTTGATGTGAGTGAATCAGAATAGACTTGTTAAATGACAAAAACAGTGCAAGTGTCACTTCCTGGAAGTTGGAGTTGCTGGTATAATGCATAATGTTGAAAAAGTTTGTACACTGGAGTGTATCTTTAAGAGGACTTGTCTATTTTTGTGATTAAGTGGATTGTTATTTATAATCTGAGTGATTTTAGAGGGTTTTTTTTAGTAAATAAATTCAGCTGTTTGTTTACAGAATCAATATCATCTTGATTTATTTTAATAAAAAGTAGCGTTTGTACCCAGTTTTCCTTCCCGCCAGGAAACAGTTGGAGAGAAGGAGGTGAGAGTGTACTCAGGACATTTTTAGCAAAAACAAGTCATTGATGTTTGATTAATTGTAGCTCATCTACCCCAGAGAAACTTCTCATTATTCCCACCCAGTTCTCCCAGGAGACTGCAGAGGAAACAAACAATGCTGTGAAATTAATAACTGAGCTCTCATAAGACTCAGCCTTGCTCACAGTACCTGACTGCTGCACAGTTCAAAACTGTGCTTGGGGCAAACTCATGAAGATCAAAAAGCGAGAGCAAGCACAGTCACCCTCCCTGCATCAATCTCTATTCTACATAGGTGAGGCTTACCTGGATTCAAGGGGATTGATGGGTTTAGATTAGCACCCTGGTTAACATTCACAGTCAGTGTGTTTTGCTTTAAAGAATTCCCTATTTATCCAACCAATCTGTAATCCTTATTCCTACACACAACCTGTCTGGGTGCTGCCTCTGTGGCAGGGAGCTTTGGCTGTAATTTCTCTCCACTTGTGTGCAGCCTCTGGGTGGCTGCATGTTTCTGCTTAAAGGCTTTCCATTGAGTGACAGATTAAATTCTGCTCCCGATTTTACTTATTTGGGCTCTAACACTGTTTCACAAGCCACTGGAGCAGGAAGTCATTAGCTCGACAAAGCCAAGCAAGTCTGTGTTTACGCTGCAGCCCTCCCTGTTATTTAGACTGAACGCTTTGGACACGGACAGTTTCTACATTGGAGGTACGATGCTGCACAGCTACGAATGAGATATCTTTACTATATTAGATATTAAAATATCAGCAATTTTCAACATTGTAGAAATGACTCACATTAGACTCACAGCTTCATATCAGCCAACTAAAAAAAAAACTCACTAGTTTAATGATAAACTGATTCTGTGTTCATTTTGAGCTAAATTTTCACATATTTTTTCTTTCTGCTCTAAAATATGTCAAGATGTTGCCTCTCTTTATCATAAAAGACAGTAATTACACATTATTTGAGGTATATTTGTGTTAGATGGACAAAAAAATAAAATTTTAAAGATGTGACTCTAAGGTCTATGACAATGCATCAAGCATTTTCTGACCATTCAAATTCACGTAGCCTGAAATTATTGGATTCATCCTGAGAAATACTGACTAAAACATCATGAATATAAATCAACTTGAGAAACTGGTTCACATATTTGTTAGTTACAACTACTTTATGTGCCTTTGGCCAAATAAAGCCCCTGTAAGACCTCAATTTAATTCTTAAAAAAAATATTTTAAAAAGTTAAATATAAATGTGGTCTGTTATGGTGTCTCCTGAAGTGAAAAAGAGTTAAACCGTCTTCATGCATGATTCCCACTGGGTTCATTAGTCCACAGCATGCACTTTCTGGCAACTGGACTCCTCTTAGTACTCTGTTTTCACCATGTGAAGGTTAAAGTCCTGCCAGCTCCCGACATTGTTGTTCAGATCAGCTAACAGGGAATCTGACTGAGGAACATGTACCCATGCGACTGACCACTTCTGGTTACATATCTGAATGTAACCCGAGAGTCCTTTAAATCAAACTAAGACTCTACAAGGTTTTTCAGTGTAGTTCACTGTGTGCTATAAATGCTTGATTACCACCTAATAATATGGATAAAGAAACTATTAACTAAATGGCAATAATAATAATAATAATAATAATAGTAATAATAATAACAGCAACAACAACAACAATGATAACAATAATAACAACAGCAACAACAACAACCACTATAATAATAATAATAATAATAATAACAACAACAAGAATAATAATAATAACAATAATAACAGCAACAACAACAATAATAATAATAATAACAATAACAATTATAACAACAGCAACAACAACCATAATAATAATAATAATAATAATAATAGTAAAAGTAATAATAATAACAACAACAACAATAATAATAATAATAATAACAATAATAACAACAGCAACAGCAACAACCACAATAATAATAATAATAATAATAATAATAATAATAATAATAAAAATAATAAAAATAACAACAATAACTATCAATGTTAATTTCTATATCAATAACAAAACAATTATCATATTCATATATATAATCATAAACTAATGACGTAATGAAGCTGTCAAAAGAGGCTTGACTGGTTACTATGCATGCTAGCATGTTTTGTGTAGCCGAGATGTTGCTGGATATTGATAACAATATCAATGTCAATTTCTTTATCAATATCAATGACAAAACAAAACAATAATCGTATTCATATTCATATACATAATCATGAACTAATGACGTAATGAAGTTGTCTAAAGAGGTTAGACTGGTTACTATGCATGCTAGCATGTTTTGTGTAGCCAAGACATTGCTAGCTTGTTTAAAGCACAATCATCTGAGTAAACTTCATGAAGCAATAACACACTACTTTACAAAAAGGTAATAAATGTTTATTTCAAACCATTAATTTTAGGAAAGGGACAATAGAAATGTACTCCAAAGTTATGAAGATGTTCTATTAGAGATGTGTCTTATGCCAATAAAACAGCCATAGAGAACTGGTATCAGTTTATTCATTGGTCTCTTGTTTAAAAGTGTATCTTTATTTTTCTAGTTGGGCTAATTTTGGACTTTTTGTTGAGAGAAATACAAAGCTATCAGTATGAGAGGCAATTTTTAAAAGGGTTAAAAGCAACAATGTGTTTGTTAAAATGACACACTACATTTTTTGATGTATTATAATCCCATTAGTAACATATTATTTTCAAGTGGAGATAGGAAATGTAAATGTATTCCAGAATAGGTCTAAATTAAACATCAGACTCTGTTTCCTGTTCATTTCCTGTTCATTTCCTCTGGAATTTTCCTCAATATATTCATGGAAACCATTTGTCTCTCCTAACAGAATTCAGTGCCAGTGTGTACAAAAATGCACCTTTTAAATTTACAAAGCAGATGGAGAACAGCCAAACTGAATCAGAACTGACTCCTCAATAAAACTGTGTGCCAGTTTACGCATAAGCACCTCTGTTTGCCAAGCACCTCCATGTTCTGACCTTGGTTGAAGGCCACCCTGCCAGGCGGTAAAAGATGTGGGGGGAGAACGTGTTTATCACGCATCATCCTCAATTATTAGCGCTCCCAGTTTCCTGCTGGATGCCGACTGTGGTTGAAGCGCTGATTGGAGGCACTGGGACACTGCCTGCAGGGACCAGGTGAGGAGGCTGCGCTCATTTGCAATTCTGAGATGAAAAGACGCAGCAGTGTGTGCTGCCTGGGTGCCTCTCTTTGTTTGCACATATCATTTCCACTCTAATGAACACTGCACAGTAGTTGGCCATTGTTACAAGGCTCAAAGGTAGACTCAAACATTGTTTACATTTTGCTAAGGTCTCAGCCGGTCCTGGGGTAAAATAAAAGCATATTTTCTCTCTTCCTGTACCATAAAAAGAGTTCCAGTTTTAGCTCCTTTAGCAATCTGAGATCTTTGATTTGTTCCTGCTTTATTCCTCTCCTCATACCTTAGCATAGAGCAAAACCTTGAAAACAAATTGCTGAAATCCTTGGAGTGGAAAAAAGGAAATGTAGTGACTATCACCAATTTCAGTGCTGGATTTGTCTCTCTATCTCAGCTCCACAGTGTGCAGGTGGCCAAAGCCTCCTGCTGTGCTCAGAGCTGTTCACTGCTTAGTGTCCCTGCCAGAGGAGAGTTACTGCCCCCTTCACTGGTGTGTGTGTACAGTATCTGTGTGAGTGTGTGTGTGAGTGAGTGAGAGGTAAATGAAGACTTAAGATGTACTTTACAGCAGTCCACCACATCTGCAGGATTTGAAATGGACATAAATGGCTTTACCTCTTGGCCTCTCTCAACGGGGAAGTGCACTAAAGATCGTTTACCTGTTTCATAAACTCCTCGAGCACTTGCTCCGTGATGTGGTTTTACTTTTTGTGTCTTTCACCTTATACTGCTTTTATGTCCTCTGCAATCTCAGAGACCTGTGCAGAAATGAGGGGTTCAAATTCTCTCTTTTGTGCAGTTTTAAGTCCAAACTTTCTGAGAGAAGCAGGCCTTAAAATCTAAAGCAACAATGTTTTTTTTTACTGTGCAAAAAAAAGGCAGAACAATTTTTTTTTAATGTGCATGCTGTTGATGATTGGCTGTGACTGCTGGAACTCGTACTGCAATTTACAGCTCCCAATCAAATGTGAATCCTCTGAGATTTGAAATGACACCTTCCCACCTGTTTGAATTTCATAATCCTCCCACTGAATGGCCCATTTTTGTTTCTTCAAGATTGACAAGAGATAAAGAAAAGATGTGAAATATTTCTGTTGCAAAAAAAGAAAACAACACTCCAAACCCTGTACTTTGTTTTATTACACTGGCTGTGTTTTGCCTCTCTTGGATGTCTCCTCTTCAGCTCGTAAATGTTTTGAAAAAAGCAACTTTATGGCCTGTACTTTGAGACAAAAACAGATGGAAGGGTCCTCGAGTTGGAGGTAGTGGCTGCTTTTGCATTTCCCTGCAAGTCATTGTTTTACAGTAGATAACTAAATAGCTCTTTTAACTTCAGACCTGGGGCGCCACAGTGGTGTAGTGGTTAGCACTGTCACAGCAAGAAGGTCCTGGGTTCAAACCCGGGTCAGGGGGTTTCTGTGTGGAGTTTGCATGTCCTCCCTGTGTCTGCATGGGTTTACTTTGGGTACACCGGTTTCCTCCACATCCCAAAAATATGCAGAAGTGTCAGCCCTGCGATGAACTGGCGACCTGTCCAGGGTGTCCCCTGCCTTCGCCCGAAGATGCTAGGATAGGCTCCAGCCCCCCTGCGACCCCGGGAACAAGAAGAAGTGGTAGAAAATGAATGGATGGACTTCAAACCTGGTTCTTGCTCCTCTTGCCGTCTGTACAACA